CTCGCCGGCGGCGAGCGCGCGACAATTACCCGGGACCGGAAGGGACGCGCACACTCGCAGAAACAAAACCAGGCGCGCGCGAAGGAAATGAAGTGTGTGCGAAGAGTCGTCCGCCCGGATCTTCCTGCATATTGACTCCGGAGATCTAATCTACGAGAGTCCTTCAAGGAAAGGTGGCAAAGTGAATCAAACAGTTCGAAGGCGTTCGGAATGATATGTTACTTTTAATATTTCCGAGGTGGATAAATTATTTTTATTTTTTGAGGGTAGCAAAACTTTTAGGGAAGTAAATTTTTAAAACTGAACTTTGTAATATGATAATAACTTAGATCAACTTGTTTTTTCTTTGAGAAATATTTTTTGTTGACGCCACTGGAATTTTTGCCGAATTGTTATTTTTTATACTTTTGGCCATCAACATTACATCTCATTAAATGCGGAACGATATCACGTCTGGGATTTTTAGCGTGTAATAAATTATCTGAAGGGGCCGTATTTTTGCCGCCCCCGCTGACCGCACGCGCACACGCAAAGTTTTATTACTTTTATATCGTCTTGCATTGTCCGGCGGTGACTTGTATATGATGTTTTTAATTTGTGTGGCTGCAGTTTTACATTGCGCTGCCCCCAACTCGGAGGCGGCTGGCGCGTTATTATGATGTGAATAGCGAGCGCCATTGTTTTTCGCGACAATATTTTAACGTTCTTTCCGTCCCGCGGCGCGAGCTCGCATTTTTTGCACTTCTTGCCGCCGCCGCCGCCTCCCGCCACCTCTGCGCATTCTTTTATTCATTCGTCCATTCATTTCATTCGTGTTTATTTATTATTATAGTTGGCCTCGGCACATCAAGAACAAAAGAACGAATTGAAACAATTGCGCGACAAACAAGTTTTTTGTTGTTGCATTTTTTTAAATGACTAGATTTATCCCACTTTTTATATTTCATATTTTCGGTAGCTGCGTTCGTGTAGAATGTAGATGGCGCATTGAGGACGACATAAAGTTGTTGATTTTTTGCGTCTTTTCCTCTTTCGCCAGACAACAATACTAGTCGTATTCGCGCGGTGCTTTCGTCGAATGTGATTTGGTCCTTTTCGGCGTTCGTCCTTAACAAAAGTCACTTCGAGTCGTTGGCTCGCCGGCTGACAATATCGGCTGGCTGGCTGTCGTCCTGTGCCGGTAAGGACTCCCTCGGGCATCCGTCTCGCGTCTCGGCGCAGTCAGCAAGTTATCTCAATATGTACTCGAAACGAAGCGAGCGGCGAACGTTTCATACTCGGCCGAGGACGCGGAAAAGACGGATGGGGATGGCGCTGGGGAAGGACGAGGAGGATGCCGGGGGCAGCGAAGGAGTATTGGCGAGTTATCGACGCCGGTGATCGACTCGAACAGTGCGCGGCACGTCCGCATCGTCGTCGCTTAGAAAAATTTTCGAATTGACCCCGGAGGACATTTTTATTTTTCACAACATTTTTAAGGGGTGAGTTAACAAAAGAAAACAAGTTTTGAATTATTTATAAACTATTATTTGTTTATAATAGGCAAGTTAATGTCCAGTAAATATCCAAACTAATGGTAATGTGAGTTTTTTTTGTTTATTTGTTACGCTTTCACACAAAAACCATTAAATCTATTTTTATAAATTTTTGTGTACAGATATATTTGGCCCAGGAAAAGAAAATAGGCTATTTTTAGTTGCATAAATATAACTTTTAGGGTGTAAAATAAGGGATGAAAGTTGATATAGGTACGTTTAATAGTTAAAATTATATAATTTAAATCCGGATGGCGCTGTAGTGCATCACTGCATATCACTACTTAGTATAAAACAAAGTCGCTTTCTCTGTCTGTCCCTTTGTATGCTTAAATTTTTGAAACTACGCAACGGATTTTGATGCGGTTTTTTTGTAATAGATAGAGTGATTCAAGAGGCAGGTTTATATGTACGAGTATAATAACATCCATTAAATAGTAGAGAAGTACTGATATTTTTGAGGTTTCTAATGTGATGTCGTAAATAATTACATTTTTTTCGCTTACATTACAAACGCAGGCTTAACCCTACGAGTTTTATAAAAATAATGTACTAAGTATTGTACACATTGAAAAGGTCTACAGAAAAGTCCGTGATGATATATGTCTATCTCTTATAGATAACCCACAATAACTTTTTTTGTCATTTACTTTTTATGACAAATAATGGCTAATTTTCGAAGCGATTTTAACCAATACAGCATTAATCCTTAACCAATTAAACACCTTGAATACATTGTTTATTTAATATAGATTATATGGCCCTTTACACCGTACGATTTAAGTGACTATTTTCGAAGATATTACTGATTTAAAAATTGCGGGACGTAGCGTTTGCGGCGGTACCGGCTGGCCGCCCGGTGCGGCAAGAGCGTGCCTATAAATAGCGCGTCTGAGGCCGCGGTTTTCCCTATAGCACTTTGAATTTAGCAGCAAATAGAAAATTTTATTGGCGGAGTTGAGCAATAAAAAAGTAAATATTTAGACTACTTTTTATTAAAATCAGCGAGACACAATTTCAAGTAAAACTGCTTCAATATTCTGCTGATTTTTAAACAATTAATCACTCCACAGAATTATGAAAATATAATTTGTGTTGGAGAAATATTTCAACATTTAATATCCATAACTTTTTTGGAGGTCATAAAAAGAACCCACGAATTCTACACAATAAAAAAGCGCCGCCTAAGAATGATGTGACTGAATGTGACCATTTTACATTTCTACTTTGCGCTGCGACGTTTTGCTTACCTTTTGCCCTCATCTCGTACTCATCTTTTGCGTGAGTTTCTCCGCACAGACTCACCTGAACTTTTTTACATTTTTGCGCCGACGACGACGTCTCCGCCGCCGCCGCGGTAATCTAATGCATTTAAAAAGGCGTAAAGTCACACCTTGCTACCCCACCATTCCCGCCCCCAACACTGGCACATTATCCCCGACACCCTCGACCCCGGCGATATTTCCTCGCACGCGTCACACCTTTCACCCTCGCCTATTTTTTTGTGCCACCGCCGCTCTTACAGCAATTCAAGCTTGCTTTTCGTTTCTTTTTGCGCTTTTCACTCCATGCTGAGTGTGTATGTGCGTTTTTTCGTCTCTTCTCCGCGTTATCCGTTATGAATGACTGTCTCTATGCGTACACACATACCAACACCTACCTGCTGGATATGTGTGTGGCTTTTGCAAAAAAAGGCGCACAATAAAAACAGAATAATGACGTCGTTACGATGAAACATCGCTGCATCTTTTATGAAGTCGCAAATTAATGAATGTGCCCGAAGACGGAGCGCGAGCGCGCGCGGGCGTAAATGTTTAATGTTTACCACGGCCGCCGCAGCCGCTGCCACCGCCGCCTCCTGCGTTATGTGTGTGTCGCCGGTTGAAGCCGGGATCCAGCGAAAAGTTGAATAAGTGGAAAGCGCAGCCGAGCGCGCGACGGTCAACGCACGCATCGCCTTGATTTTCATATGTCTAATGCGGGGCGAGGACCGCCGGGCAGGCGGCCATCTTGTTCCTGGTACGGTCGAGTGCACCGGTCCCTTTGATATTTCCTTCACGGTTAATTAACCGACAAACAGCGCTAGCCAACAATAACCAAACAAGCGCATTAACAACAAAATACAGCGTAAGTACACCAATTTCGAATTTACCGCAATTTGGTTCAAAGCTCTACAAACCGAATGTAAATTATTCATATACTCTTACAGCATTTACCATTTGTAATGAAGTTTTTCTTTAATATCACAAATTTAACAGAATAAATATTTTGGTTTGTCAAAAATTCAATTTTTGCAAATTTTTATTTCACTTGTTGATTATTTTGAATTTTTGAATTTTCTAAAATGACTACTAAATTATTTATTTATGACGTGTTCCAAATGAAGTGACGAATGAACCAAATGAAGGGCTAAATAATTTCACGATTCGCAAAGTTGGAATATTTGGAAATGCAGTTATTCCGAGATAAATTCGGTGAAACTTGTTGGCAAATCGCGATGGTCACGAATCCGAACGCGTCCGCTTCAAATATTCAACGCACATCTGCACACAGTAGCAACCGAACTAAATGATAGCGAATGAGGAATGAGTAACGACTGATACACCGCTGCCGAGGGGGGCAGCATGGGGGCCAAGCGAGAAAATTGCATTCGTGCCGTGCGCGTTTCTCGCGTACGTTTTCTCATCCTCTTTCAGTTCGGCAGCGCGCCATCCCTGTGATGTGGGCAATTTCGTGCGGATGTATCGACTAATCGCATCCTCCCTGCCGCCGCCGCCGCCGATATCCTCGCCCCGTAAACGTTTTCACAGCGAGATGCACAGAGATGCGCGCTGATTTCGTTCCGGCGTGTGCGGTGCGGGCTTTGTGTTGCCTCCGTGCTTGTGTTTGCCGTGTATTTACGTATGGAATTTATGATTATGCACTTAGATTAGCTGCGCTGTTAGTCGTAATTACTGCAGCGGACGCCGCCGCTTCAAACCGAATTTCCACGCCGGGACAAATTGCTCACGTCCATATTTGCGATTGTAAACAAAATACGACGCGAGAAGCGCGCGATAATGCGTTAAATAAAGTTATTCGAACGTTATGCAATTGCAATTCTATCAAAACAACAAAATGGACGTATGCATCAAACGTGTTAATTACCATTTAACAATATATAAACACACACAAATTGCATTAATTCACTTTGAGATCTTATGTAAACTATTCGGAAACTTTTTCGGTTTCAAATGCATCGCTAATTTTAAATTTACTCTTGTAGTTCTATGTCGGGTGTCAGAGGGCGCCACCTCCTGGACACACTTTCCAAATTTGTAATAATTGTAAAAAAAAATAGATAAAAACTTGAAGAGTATTCTTTATATTACAATGTAATACTTATATTTATTTATTTTTCGTTATTTGGTCATGTTTTAGATATTTATAAACATAACAAGTACGCATGCGCAATACGTACTTGTCAACCTTCAAGTGATTCATTTCTGGTTTCCATCAAAACACAGCTGAGTTCCCAATTTGTCAATAATTTAACGTTTATTACTAATTGAAGCATACAATCACTACTAATAACTACTACACAATTTACAGACGTGCAGACTACTTAGAAAATGTCTGTGAGCCAAGGTAATTGCACAAGAAATTGATATTTCTAGATTTGTTCATAATTTTTGTTTGTTCACTGAAAAACATCAATTAATCTATTCAATTTCTGTAGATAATCGTCCAGAACTCTTTGAAGAAGTTAAACTTTATCAGAATGCCCGTGAACGTGAGAAGTACGACAACATGGCTGATTTGTATGCAGTTATAAACACTTTGCAGCAACTTGAGAAGGCCTATATTCGAGATTGTGTTACGCCAAAGGAATACACTGGAGCCTGCAGTAAACTACTTGTTCAATACAAAGCAGCTTTTAGACAGGTTAAGGGTGATGAGTTTCCTAATATTGATGCATTTGTGAAGAAATTTCGTGTAAGTATCAATTATTATCTGCAATATATGCAATATTTTCATTTTTTGTTTTAGCTGGATTGCCCTGCTGCTTTAGAACGTATTAAAGAAGACAGACCAATAACAATCAAAGATGATAAGGGAAACACAAGCAAATGTATTGCAGATATTGTTTCTGTAAGTTGTTTTTATTTAGAAACACTTCCAAGTTTAATAAGTTACATTTTTAGTTGTTTATTACACTTATGGACAAACTGCGGCTCGAAATTCGTGCAATGGACGACTTGCATCCGGAGTTACGTGATTTGGTTGATACAATGAACCGATTGAGCATCCTACCCTCTGAATTTGAAGGGAAACAGAAAGTTACCGAATGGTTGGGCACGTTGAATGCGATGCAAGCATCTGACGAGCTCTCTGAAGCGCAGGTGCGACAGCTTCTTTTGATCTTGAGAGTTCGTACAGCGCATTTAACAAAGTTTTGCACAATTCTTCATAATGTTTGTGGGAACACACTTCACCAGAGAGAATCATATTTCGTGCAGAAATGCTTGCAATTATTGCCACTGGCGTGTATTTTAAGTTTAATTACGCATATATTTTAGTAATAGATTGTTATTTAACATAAGAACATAAATTAAGATGTAAGTTTTTGCCATCAGAACTCTTAATATTCTTGCATAGCAGACGTAATCAAGTTGGTACAGTTTGAATTTGGCGCCTGTTTTTAGTAATTTTTCTAGGGGATTTTACTTCCGTTAGTTGGGACCACTGCATGTAACTTGGTAATTTCAGTGCAACCAACCTAACGAAACTAAACATAACCAGGGAAACTTGCATGGTTACTATAGCTCTTTTCGTGAACGTTCATCACCGCGGTGCGTACGTTCAATTTTTAAATCCACAAACATCCTTGTGGTTTTCATCCCTATTAGTGTAAAAAGCTAATAACAAAACACAAACATGCCACCAAAATTCGATCCCAACGAAGTTAAATATGGTAAGGGCCAATTTTATTTAAAAGAAACATTTGCAATCGCCTAATCTTATAACCTAAAATTTTCAATGTTATTGTTGCAATGTTCATTAAAACTGTTGTTTTACTAAATTAACTTCTTTTTTGTAGTGTACATGAGGTGTGTTGGTGGCGAAGTTGGTGCCACTTCCTCCTTGGCTCCTAAAATTGGTCCATTGGGTCTGGTGAGTGAAGACAAAATTGCTACTTTCTGCTCCTGGTTTAACAACTTATTTTCTAATGTACATATTCTCTTGTAGTCTCCAAAGAAAGTTGGTGACGATATTGCCAAGGGTACCGCTGACTGGAAAGGTCTTAAGATCACTGTCCAGCTGAAAATCCAAAACAGACAAGCTACAATTTCTGTCTGCCCATCAGCTGCTTCATTGATCATTAAAGCTTTGAAGGAACCTCCACGTGACAGGAAGAAGGTTAAGAACAGTAAGTTTTGTTACTCAATTTAATGGTTTTGTAAGTTTAAAACTGATCAACATTTTAGTTAAACATAGTGGCAATATCACCTTTGATGATATCCTCAGCATTGCAAGACAAATGAGGCCACGTTCAATGGCGAAACAGTTGTCCGGCACCGTGAAGGAAGTGCTTGGTACCGCGCAGTCAGTCGGTTGCACTGTTGATGGTAAGAACCCACACGACGTGATTGACGAGGTAAACAATGGCAGTTTAGAAGTGCCCGAAGAATAGACGTTTAATTCTTTGATAAAATATAAAATTTAAAAAAAACAAGGCGCTCTTGTTTAATTTATTGAAATAATCCTGATATTATTTATTGAGCTGCTGACTATAATTTGTGGTTCTTCTATGATTCTCTACAGGATAGGTTGCTATGTGTTGTAGCATGTTTATAAGTTTTATATAATTAAAACTTATTATCTTGGTATGGTTGTATTCCATGCAACCAACACATTCAATCTGTATTTATTCCAATCAGCCATACCAGTTCTGGAAATGATTTCACCCTTGCCATCTAGAACTATCATTGAGGGGATTTCAGAGATTCCATAAACAAGCCTCAACACCCTAAAATGTACATTTGAGGATTTTAATGAACTAGTGTAAGATTATTTACCAGATAGCTGGATCACCAAATGGTACAGCATACCAACTACCATGCCTCTGTGTAAAGTACGTTTTCATTGTTTCTTCATCATAGTCAAAGCTCACATATATAACTTCAAGCCTTAAATGTAGTTCTTGGCTTTTAGTATAAATTTCTTTTAAATTTATTAAGAATTGCTTGCAGTCCGAACTCCAAGACGCAGCAAAGTACAAAATAATTATCCTTCGATTCTTGAAAGCTTTCTCGCATGGCACAATAACACCCGTGCAACTCATAAGCTCGTTGCTTTCTATAAATTCCATTTCGTGTATAAAATAAGTATACTGACGTTTGAAAACAACGTACAGAAGAAAACACTTGAATTTTTTGAAAGACAGTTGGTAACTTAAACAGAAAGTCCCTAGTTATATTTTTATATTACATAATTTTGCGTAAAATTTGGCATATAACATTTTTATATACATATATTTCATATTTAACATGCAATATATTTAAAATATTTAGATATAAAATTATTATGTTAAAGAGTATGAAATTTTGGTAATTAGTTAGTTACCAATGGTTGCGCAGTAAAACCAAAATCCCCAAGTTTCAAACTGACAGTTTTGAATTTCACCAATAAGCGCCAATCACAACACGTTGAGTACCTGTTGAAATCCCGTCCAATCTCAACGGCCGTTATCAAATTTTGAACACTTTGCGGTCAAAAGAATAAATAAAAAAACTTGCATTCGTGTCCACACCTTAACTGTACGATAATAAGATGAGTGTGCACGATTCTCTCGCCGAAACGCCACAGCCATCCGCCTGTTCGACCGAAACTAAGCAATCACGCCAATTTTCAATACCAACGAACCCAGTGCAAGTGAAATTGGACGTGAAGAGAAATCTTATGGACATGAACGTTTCAACGGAATCATTGGGTATATTATCGCTGGACGATATGAAACCAACAAAGGTAAATATATTTTAGAATCATTGTACATAAAATACAATAATGTAAGGTTGTCTAATATTTTTTTTAATCAGGATTCTCTTACATCAATTCATAATCCAGCCACCACAAGTACAATTGCAACAACAAGCAGCACAGAGGCACGCCAACAGGTCCTGGAAAGCACTCGCGCTTTATTAGCTAAATTCGCCAACAGAAAGAACAGCTCAAGTCTTACAGAAAGTACAGTTAATGAGAGTGATTTACAAATGACACCATCTAAAGGCAGCACCATTAATGAAAGTGATTTGCTAAACAAAAGCACTGCAAGCAATGTTTCAGTAAATCAAGCAAGGAGAAATTCAGTTACATCAAACACTTCATCCTTATCATATGGTGATTCAATCAGTGCTTACATCAGTGAATTACAACATCAGTTGGGAGCTAATTCAACTGCAACCCTCAGTGACATCATTGGCAATAAGTCAAAACAATCCTTTGAGTTGGATAGTGGAATGTTTCAATGTGCTGAAGAAATGAAGCAACAACTTGATGAGGATGAGAAAGCATTGAGAAAAAAATATGCTGCACTACCAAATGCTACTCAAGCTTCATTCAACAATCTGGAGAATATTTCTGCTCATTTTGATGAAAAAGTCTCAATGGGTGAATTTTTCAAACAGAAAAGTGATATCTGCTCACTCTTCAAAACTAGTAGTCCTAAAAGAAAACCTATAGCTTTGGTCAACTCTACAGCAATTGAAGATGACACAAAGGAGAGTACCACACTGAATGAAAGTGTCTTATCTGCAATCAATCAAAGTATTGCTAGTGTTTTGAGTTTGTCTCAGATACAAGGATTAATCACAGGTGATGAAAACACACCAAACAAGGTGATTGAGAAATTGATCAAAGCACCACTACAAATAAATAATACCAACTCAAGTAAAATGCAACAAAGTCACATTAATCAAACTGAAAATGCGCCGCCTGTTTTGTTAAAAGATGGATATTTTAACTCACGGTCGAGTTTGGGCTCGCCAAGTTTATCATCAGTTGGCAAATTGTCGAAATTTGCTAGTAGCACAGATTTGAGAACTCCTACAAAAGAAAGTATGGCTTCATCAACGAAAATTTACACTGCACGGAGTTTGAGCAGCATAAATGATAATAAGGAGAATATGATGAGTCCTAGACGGTTAGAGGAGAAGAATAGGACTTTGAATTCGTGTCGAAGCACTAGTAGTATGGATAGCATTCCTGATGGCATTGCAAAGTTAGCAAGCACAAAATGTGAAATGGTTTGGGGATGCATTAAGGAAGGCAGGGCTGTTTCAATGGATATTACTATTAGGAATAAGAATAATCGCAGAGTTAAATTTATGGTATGTTTAAATTAATAGTTTTTCATTTCTTTCATGTTTTTTATTTGTTTTTTTTTTTATTAAGTTAACGTATTATATCAGTTGTATAACTTTTATATACATTTTACAATTCTTAAAACAACTTTTGTTTCAGATTAACACGAGTAATTCAAACTTTAAGTTAACCAACATGGAACTTCAAGGCGATAAAGCAATACTCCTCCTACACCCATTGGAAACCCGCCAATTATTTATCTCATGCTCCCCGAACGCCATCGGTCCTCAAACAGGCAATCTCGTTTTTACTCCCATCGTGCGCAAAGAAGAACAACTCGCCAGCCGTCAACAAATTGCGATGTATGCATATGGCGGCCATGTCAACATTCAAATTAAAGGACAAACTCGTGACCTCGCCGGAAAACTTTGGGTGTCACTTGGTCCACTCGACGGTCGCTATGAACTCATCGCTGATTTTGTCATACGCAACAGCGGTACTATTGATGGTTTTGTTTCATTGACTGTTAATTCCAAATCACTTTGCGCCTACGATGATATTAGTCTTACCCCATCGAAAGTAATCATCAAACGCGGTTCTGAAACCAATGTACGCGTGCGCTTCCGGCCCAGCAAGAACGATCTTCAGCTGTTGAATCAGGCATTAAGTAATAAAAGCATGAAAGCGTCTGAAATTGCTGTTATTAAGATGATTTCCGGCGCGGATATCAATCGTCAACGCATCAATAAAATCAGCAAGAAGATTCCAAAGGAGTATGAGTACAATATGCAAGATCCACTTGCACAGCAGCTAAATGCGCCGTATCAAAACGCAACGCGTGGTGAAGATATTCGCTATTTTAATGAATCTGTCAAATCTGTGAAGAGTTTGATGCAGACACTTGATTGCACAGAGATATCTCTACTAGTTGATCGTGATATGGACGCTACTTTAATGCCGGAAGCTGATGATTCAACTGTATTGTTTAAAACAATGATTAGTCCCGATGATAGCGAATTAATGGACAACTTCGCGGAACACTCATACCTGAAATCATTCAAAGTTGAACCGGACAAGGTGATTTTGACACCTCCGGCTAAATGTGCTGATCACATACTTCTGAATACCACTTACGACAGGCCTGTACAATTTAGAGTGTCTATATCACCCGAAGGACCGGTGAGGATTTCACCTAGGTGCGGAATGGTGCGGCCGGGTGAAACTGTCATGGTCAAAGTCGAATGCGAGTATGGCGTCACAATGGCTCGCCAGGACTTTGAAGTTCTCTTCGAGATCGAGGACGAGGCGCTTAAGAGCAAGGTTAGTGTTTTGAACTTATAATTTTATATCAAATACTATAGCTTTTATGATGTTTACAATTTTACGTGACAATCCATATTATAAAATCTAGAATTATTCAAAATGGCAGGCGACCGTTTTGTCGCCCTTCGTTGTTTGTGATTTATGACTGAGAAACAGTTTACAATTTTGTACAAAACTAGTTTACACACTATTTATAGTCAGTATTTACAATTTAAATTAAAATCATAAATTATTATTACCCATGTGGTTTCTTTCACTTTTAACTTAACGTGCTCTGCGCACACGACGACAACATGATGTTTTTGTGATTCGGCGTTCAATTTCACTGCACGCACGGCGCCGCCGAGAATAATTTATAACAAGGAAATGCTGCATTGAAAATGCGGGGACTATCACTTTGCGACCGTTTTTAACACACTTCCTTATGATTTTAATCGACATTATGTTCGACACATTTCTCACTTTTATTTTCATTACTCCCGGAGAGGAACTTGCGCACCCTTTCTTGATACTCGGAATTACTCTCGGTCTTCGGCAGATTGCCACCGTCTTCAGTCTTGGGTAAATATTTTGCTAGTTTTGAACTGTTTGGAAAGTGATTTAAAATATCTGGTGGCACTACTGGTGGTGGCGCTTTTTTATTGCCCTTGTGAACTGTGTTGACTTCAATTTTACCTCTGCTCTTCGAGATAATTATATCATCCGGATAGGAGTTGCGCATTCCGGCGAATGCTACTCTTGCACTGAGACCAGACCAAATCATCTCCAGTAAACAAGCGATCATTATATTCAATGAAAGAACAAATTTAATGTTTGGCAGTTTACTATCATCAGACAATTTGTTGGTATTGCTATTGTTTACTCGAAAATCAAACTCAAAGTTTGGCAAATCCGAGTATTTCTCATATTCAGCAATGAGGGTGATGATCATGACGAATACACATATTGAAGAGAGTATAGTTGATGTTAGAGTAGCCAGGAAGAACCATCGGATGTTGTGATCGATGTACCATCGCTTCCAGGCTAATAAACCGAAGATTCCTGCGAGGAATGCTCCCAGTGACATTAAACATGGCGCCAATGCACAGTTGCGATGTGTTAGTGATAAAAATTGTATTTCTCTAGTTGCATTCATGGTTAGATCCACTTCTGCTTGCTCTAGTTCCATAGAAGTATTAAAACTTGTTGATTCTTCATTTTGAATTGTACTTAGAGTAGTGTTATGACTACCATGATGAATATGATAATTGGATATGCTTAACATCGCCATTAAAAGCGCTGTAATAGCTAGTGCGATGTGTACGACACTTAAACCAAGAACTGTAGATGCAGAATATCTTCTCTCAGATGGATACAATCCTGTGGGATCCGGATTGGTACGGATTTTTATCTTGTAGATATTTTCCATGTTAAAGTTTGTGCTTGTAGTAAAAAATCTAAAAATAAAAATATGAATAAGTAGAGTGCAAATGTCAAAAACATGATTTTCCGCCATATTGGAATATGTTTAATTTAAAATTCCATCGGTAAAAGAACAAAGAATGTTTATGAAAATTGAAATTACTTTACATACTTTCTATTATGTTTTATGTTTACTGTTTTGTGCTCTGTTTTGCGCAGATTCTTGTGCGCTGCGCGACGTGCGCGTGAGTTGTGAAAACAATTATTGTAAGAATTGTAAATTGTTAGTTGTTAGCGTAAGCAATCGATGTTACGACACTCGCGCGCGGTCGATTGCTAAACGTTGCGCTCTTGTTTTCTTATTTTGTGGCGGCGTGCTCGCAAGCCCCTTTTAACTCGGTTGATCTCTTGTGGCACTTTCTTTGTGTGAACTTCGGCATGAACTTACAACATTCGCGGAGCTCCACCGGCCTTGGATTACGCGATTATGTGCGCGTATTAACATTAATCATGTTTTATTAATGTCATTTGCGCGTAGCAGTGAAGCTGAAGCGGATGAAACAGCTTTTGTTTTACCGTTTTGACCATTACAATCGTCAAAACAAGATTAAGATGAAGATTTTTAAGTTACTTAAGTACTTACCAAAGATTTATTTAGTTTCGATTTGTGTTCAACAAGATTTTTGTTTTATTCGTTTTACTATTATGTTGGTTTAATTGTGCGTCGATTTGTAGAAGCATTTTTTATAGTAATTGTGGTTTTAATTGAAGTTTTGAAGTCGGAATGTCCGAGTTGAGAGCGTTCGCGAGTTGTGGGTTCGACCGTGGACTGCGCCCGGCCTGCAGTCGCTTCAAAACTGGTTAATAATAAAATAAATGCATGTCGCGACTCGCGTTCGGCCCGTGAGGCGAGAAGAGAAGGCGCACTTTACCAGGTGGGGCAGGACGAGCTGAAAACACGATCGCAAAATTGCAAAATAAAGAGTAAAGGCACGTAAACAACGAGAAGGGACATCCCGATACAAAGTACATAATAAAACAAGTAGAAGTACTTAAGTTAAATGATTGGAAGTATATTTCTACGACACAATTCTTCAACACTACTAAAAAAACTTTTTTTTAATTAACATTTGATTTGTTTGATTTGTCTTAGTTTAGAATAGCAGAATAACTTAAAATATAAAAAAATATTATTTATAGTGTTAAATAAGGGATGAAAATTGATATAAAGATTAAATCATAGGTATAGCTAAATAATGAATCCGAGATGACGCTCGTTATGCTTTATACGCATTTCTCATTTCTTTAAAATAAAATTGCGAATTTGATGATAAGAATTGACATACGAGTATACTAGGTCCAAAAAAACAAGAAAGCAAAAACGAAGTTCCGAGCAAAATCCAGCATAATATACATTATTAATCTACTATTGTTCTATTTTTATTACTCTAGCACCGAAAGAACTTTTTAAATAATATTGCTGAGTGCCGATTGTCCTTGACATACTGATTTCCGCTCCCAGATTGTAAGTACTCGCGATCGTACATATTTTCTATTCATGTCTTCACCGCACTCCGTGCAAGACCGTGTGACTGCTAAAACGCTAATGAAGCTCAATGCGCAGGAATGTTCAGGTATGTCTGTGGTCTTGCCCACAATGTACGAAACCTCCAACTCCAACACACACGTGAGTAAACTGATTCTGTACACACATGCACGAGCAAATAAAGCCGGAGTATTCGCTTTATAAACGCTCAACAGGCTGACAACAAAAGCGTGCATTCATTTGCCGGCGTGTCTTTGGCTTCGTTTGCGTTCGCTTGTTCATTCACATGACTTCATCATCTTTAATGATATTGAATACTATTCGTAATTGTATATTTCATATGGGTTTGTTGACTTGTTAAATTCTACAATTACGTCTAATGTTTAATTCTAATGCATAATGTATATTATAATATAATAATTTTAATTAATTTAATATTTTTATGAATAATTAAAAAATATAAAAATATAAAATATAAAGTCGTTGAATTTAATTATATAAAAAGAGTGAGACTGTTTTTGGAAATTAATATCTTTAAATACATAAAAATTTATAGAAACAATTTTAATTACCTAGGTATAATTTAATAAGTGCTTATAAAAAGGAACATTTTTAAGAAAGAGTGTCCAAAATGATGTTAATTAGGTGAGAAATGAATGAGACCCGCACTGGACCGCTGAACGATTTAGGCACTGATTACGGTTATTACTACGCGGTCCCCCTTTATACCTGCGGGCAACCCGCTTTAAATGGTGGGGGTAAGATGCTGCTTTGTGAGGCTGCGCACGAATTTGAATTTGCAAATTCATTTGTTTGAATAAAGAAGTCTAAAGTGTTGCCCTCCATTTCATATCGCGATTCATATCGCGGAACTGTTCTATCTATATATATAAAATTTGCGTGTCACAGTGTTTGTTTCCATACTCCTCCGAAACGGCTTTACCGATTTTTACCAAATTTTATATGCGTATTAAGTAGGTCTGAGAATCGGCTAACATCTATTTTTCATACCCCTAAGTGATAAGGGTTGTTTACCCTTAACTTTTTTTAAAAATTTTGGACAAATTCTTTTGTTTTTATTTTTTTTATAATGTGGAATTAAAAAATACATACAACCCTAAATTTTAAGTTTTTTATCACCAACCCCTATTTCTTTATAGCCATTTTAGTAATTTAATCATTTTTCATCCCGTTCAAAGAAAATTTTTATATGCGTATTCAGTAGGTCTGAGAATCGGTAACTTCATATCTCTAAGTGATAAGGGTTGTTCACCCTTAATTTTTTTTAAATTTTGGTCGAAATTTTTTGTTTTTATTCTTTTAATGTGGCACTAAAATATACATACAACCTTAAATTTTTGGTTTCTTATCACCAACCCCTATTTTTTATAATAAGTAAGTTACTTTTTGTCTACACTAAAATTTATCTAGAAACTAGAAATAATTTATATGGCAAAACAACGTTTGCCCGGTTAACAAGTATTCTATAATATTTATATTATGTGTTTATACACTAGATAACAATGGTTTACCCCTACATTGATTGCATGATAGCAAACAAATAAACACGCTGCATAACATTGATTGTAATCCGCGTTAAATATTAGTACTTGTGCAGCTGTGCAATCAACTTTTGACTTAACTCACTCACTCTTGAATATCATCGTGGGAATTCACACAAAATATGAAATCTTCAATAAATTGCGATAAAATGTTATTATTCACACGATTCCATACAATTTACAAATGTTACGTGCATTACATTTGTATTTTTGTAATACCAATGCAAGTTTAAAATTACTCCTACGAGTAAGTGTAATGTTTGTGTATAATATTTTCTTGCCATTACGATTTCGCGAAGAATTGGAGCGAACACGAAGCAAGCACGAATGCACACATCAATTGCACGCCATGGCAAATCATAAACTAAAATAAAGCAAAAAATTAAGTAATAGCTGAATGCCTGAATATCGCGAACTTGCTGAGCGAACACTCTAACGACTTCGCATTGCTACGGTGTTCCTTTTCAGCTTATACTCTGGATACTCTGTTTTATGTCGATATAAGCATGACAAACCGATTTGCGAGGCATTCAAGCGCATATTATAACAGGAAATAAATGATAGCATTATAGTGTTTTGTGATTAGTGATACTTTGCGCTGTGTTCTAGTTGTATTTGGTCAGGTAATGTTTATAACATTACTAATACCGTCATTTTCACGACTAAGTCATTATAACATTAATTATAATTATCTTACCATAAATATGTGCCTTATACGTAACTTAATAATATTCTTCTAACGCGAGACAAAAAAGACAACAAAAAAACAAGTTGCGCGTGCGGCTTGTCATCAGTATGGTAGAATGATGGTACCCATGTCTAGAATAGTTTATAACGCGGCGTGAAACACCGGCAAAAAGGAACTGGTAGGACTGGTATATTTGTGATGGTCGGAAGAAAGACCGAAAGAAAGGTGCAAACGGTATGTGGCACGTGCGCAGGAAGACAGCTGTCGGTTGCTCTTTCCAGTAAGCTCGAGGGCCCCACGGTGTCATTAATTTCACCCTACGGCATATACTACTCGTACGTGTGTGGAACATTCTATAAACAAACGTTTCCCTTTAAATGTTCTATTTTTAGAAATTTTAAGAAGAAAAAGTTGCAAGTAAAGTATATATACTCGTAATTGTTAGTATTTTTAGTTAAGTAATGAAAACTTTTTTGAAATATTTATTTATAAATTTTGCGTGAATATTGGATTTACAATTTTTATATTTTGAGTTAACATGTTTCGCACAGAGGGCATCTTCATAAAGTTTATGGTATATTTAATATAAAATAAAATAAAATAAAATAAAAAATATAAAAATTGTATATCCAATATTCACTTAAAATTTATAAATAAATATTTCAAATATACAATGGATTACGTATTCGCAAAAGAAAGTAATAATGAAAACTTTTTGTCAAAAAATAATAGAAAAATTTTAAATATTTGTATCCCAAAAATAAGTTGTTTACAACTTCACATGTTTACTGATTTCTAATCAGTAATCTCTGTAGCATTGCGGTTTAAAAAAATCCTGAACATGACTTATTAGCTTATCAATGTTTTACATACATTTCTTTCATACGCGTATTTCATACACATTCTTATTTCTATTGCAAGTACGAGTACAATAGCTGCGTGCTATACTACCAGTGGAGGATTTTAACGGTCGTCGTGTGCTGAACGTACGCACGATATCTATAAATACGCAAGGGAAAATACTTATCTACCCCACCGGTTGGCGGGTACAACGCATTCAACATATGATTGTACGCTACAGGGTGTTTACGCACGTATATCAACATCAAAGTCCTTTCGTTCCTATTGGATTCCTCGCGTTTTTGAAAACATGCGGTGTGTTTCATATGCAGCTGTGTTCCCTTCGTCAATTCCGTCGGTTACGCATGCATTATTCGATGCGAAGGGCCCGTTAGCAAATGGGCGCACGCCGTATAGACCCTCAACATCAACCGTCGAATTCACCATTTCAGTCATTCAGTCGTTGCGTAGCCACGCGCGATGCAACATCCGCCAAATTCAAGCCAATTTACATTTTAACGGTTTTTATTTTACGCGGCATACGAAATAGTTTGAAAATTTTGTGAATTAAAATTTATCAGTGAAAAAAAATGTCGCGACCAAAGAAACAAGGTTCTTATACGAATCCAGCGTTTTGTCAACAAAGTGAATTCTTCGATTCGCGGTGTAAAAGTCCCCAAAGAAGACAATCTCCTGTCGGAGCACAAACCGTGCATATTCTGGACACATCAATCCGAAGCATTCAAGAGGAACCTTTACCGCCAAGACCTTCAACGGCCAATTCAGTGCGATCCCACTATGAAGTCGAGGAATGTGATGAAGAACAAGAGTTTTACGAAGAGATGATCGTTGATGATCGTGGAGCTATCCAAGAAAAGAAGTTTGTTGTTGTCCATCAACAACATCAGAGTATTCAAAGCAGTCCTGGTAGACTAGATTACATTCCACTACAAAAGCAACAACTTCAACAACAACACGCACAAAATACTACACGTGGAAGATCCAGAGTTGCTTCACCTCCCAAAGTTTTATATCATGAAGAAGTCGATGCTTCAACTGGGAGATTACATCGTTACGCGACCATACCAACTGATGATGAGTTGGATGATGATGATGATGAGTGTGAGGAAGCTCATGAAGTTGAAGAACACGAAATACCACCACAGCAACCACCACAACAACAGCAGCGACAACATTTCGCGTTGGTTCCCGTTTCGGAGATTAAAAACAACAAGCGCTACGCTGTTATTACCCAGGAGGATATTGCGAATGCTTCTAGACCGGTTACAACAATGGCGAGACCAAGTCCCAGGCTTAGTCCAATGCCTAGTCCTGTAAGACTCTATCCGCAACACGTGGTACCAACATCAGGGCCATCAATACCTACTCAAGTACCAGTTCAACTTCAACGTAGACCAGCACCCAATCCACTTGCCACACAAAAACTTCATGAATTATTAACAACGCCGAAGAAAAATGTGCCTGTGTCCGCCATGTCGCCATTATCTCCAATCTCACCTATACAACCTATCCGGGGTAGTTTAAGGAATACACCGCCACCCAGAGCGCAACAAAAGTTGAATTATACGATTGGTAGCCGCCCACTTGCAAAAGGGGCAACTGCTTCACAACCGGTTGATAAAAGGCACACCGCCATTGTTGCTCCAATTTGTTCCAGTCCAGTGCAGACTGTTTACCATGAAACTACTTTCACGGATAAGATGGATCCGGATGGGGTTGTCTGCAAGAGTAATCCTGCACAGAAAACAATTGCTGTTGCTGCGTTTATGATGATTTTATGTGGGGCAGTCACAACTGGATTGTCAATTTATATGATTTCTTATTTGGGAAGAAATTATTATCTGGATTTTGGTATTTTGTCGGGTTCTATTTGTTTCATGTTGGGGTTGTTGGGATTCAGATCAAGACAAGTTTATTGGTTGCCTAATCGAAATTATATTTCCGGTAAGTGTCAAATTTTAAGTATATTTATTAATTAATATGCTAATTTCTTTTCTTGTTTTACAGGTTATTTTGTACTGAGCGTTTTCAGTCTGTTGACGTGCTGTGGATTGTTGGTACTGCTCGTCACGCAACCGCGACCCGGCACGCTGCTGGCGGACATGACTTCCGGCGCCGTGTGTGGCATTTCCGGTCTCTCACTGGGACTGGCGGCCATTGGTTTATTGGCGTCGTATTGCTGCAACGTGCCGCCGCCAGACAATCGCGTGCAGCATTGTGCACCCGGATTTACCGTTTGAGGGCAACACGCTTCATCGATTTCTAATTAAGTAATTAACCAAATATATATTTTTATTCTTGAACTCAAGCAAGAACGGGATCCAAAGAATTACTGCTACATACTTTGTTTGTACATAATACGCGATTTAGTTGATAAGATTATTTAATATATTGTAAACATTAATAATGTATAATTTATACCGTCTTAAGTGTATTCTTAACTAGATTATGAATTACGAATATAGCTTTTGTTATTGTTTGCATGGCTGTCATTAATATTTAATATAATTTAAGGATATGTACTTATTGTGTTAAATCAGGACAATCAATATGGATTATTGAGCCTTATTATTATAAGTATTAACTTATCTTTATTTATTTACCGTAAAAATAAAAATACACTCAAGTCAGTTTATTTCAAAAATAAAAATATAGTTACTAACTATATGCAACCATACTCTTTTGATGTAATGTTGGTTGCCTACATTGGTACTACACGTGTTGTTCAAAAGTTTTTGCAAGGTTAATAAATAGTAAACGATGAAAGCGATAAAAAATATAAAACTGAAGAGAAACCCGAAAAAATGCCGGGACTAGTCGACATTAAAACCATAGACGACGAAGATGAAGTAGAGTGTTTTTCCGAAGATTCTGACGTGGAGGAAGAAGTAAGATTTGTTTAAAACATCTCTAAATTATTGTATAACCTGAAACTCATGTTTTGTTCATTAATTTTATTTCTCTTCTACTTAATTTCTTATAGTACCAACCAACGAAACAGAAAAACAAGAAGAAAGTTGATTTTGACACCGATTTTAATTTTGTTGGCTCCACAGAAGAATACAACAAAGATGTTTGGAATGATCTCTCCAAGTATGTTAAAAGAAAAGCCAAGTCCAAAACTGATGACAAAATCAAAAAAGCGCGTAAAACACTACAAGACCAAGCCCAAAACTCTGATGAAGAGAAAGAAGACATAAAAGAAGATAATCAATCAGATGTATCACTCTCAGATGATGAGTTAAAGTATGACAATATAAAAATCAAAGAAAAAAAGAAAAAGAAGAAGAAAACTGTGGAGGAAGAGGAGTTTTTTGAGGAAGGTGAGATTGCCAATACTGAAATTGGTAGTTTCTATGAAATGAACTTGTCTAGACCATTGATGAAAGCCATTGGTGAGATGAAATTTGTTCATCCAACACCTATACAAGCCTCAACAATTCCTGTTGCCCTCCTGGGCAGAGATATTTGTGGATGTGCAGCTACAGGCACAGGTAAAACAGCTGCATACATGCTTCCAACACTTGAGAGATTGTTATTTAGACCAGCAGACAATGCAATCACCAGAGTTTTAGTGCTTGTACCAACTAGGGAACTTGGTGTGCAAGTATATCAAGTTTCCAAACAACTGACACAGTTCACTGATGTTGAAATTGGTTTGGCTGTGGGTGGTTTAGACTTGAAAACTCAAGAAAACATTTTAAGGAAGAATCCGGACATTGTTATTGCCACACCAGGTCGACTTATTGATCATTTAAAAAGTACACCTTCATTCTCATTAGATTCTATTGAAGTTTTGATTCTGGATGAAGCTGATAGAATGTTGGATGAGTACTTTGCTGAGCAAATGAAGGAAATTATCAAACAATGTTCCAGAACTAGGCAGACAATGTTGTTCTCTGCAACAATGACTGATGAAGTTAATGATTTGGCTGCTGTGTCACTTAATAAACCGGTAAAACTATTTGCAAATAGTAATCGTGAGGTAGCGTTCAATCTACGCCAGGAATTCATCCGTATTCGAGCTGAGGATGATCGTGAAGCCATTTTGGCTTCGCTTGTATGTCGTACATTCAGAGCGCATTGCATTGTATTCGTTCAGACCAAGAAGCAGGCGCATAAATTACACATTATGTTGGGATTGTTTGGTGTGCGTGTTGTTGAGTTGCACGGGAATTTAACTCAACCACAGCGGTTGGAGTCATTGGCAAAGTTTAAGAAGGAAGAGGCTGATGTACTTGTTGCGACTGATGTCGCCGCTAGAGGTTTGGATATTTCTGGCGTGCAAACTGTTATTAATTTTGTGATGCCTGCCACAATTGAGCATTATATTCACCGAGTGGGTAGGACGGCGCGTGCTGGACGTGCGGGTGTATCGGTTTCGTTGGCTGGGGAGACCGAGAGGAAGATTGTGAAGGAAATTATTAAGAAAGCGGCGAATCCGGTGAAGTCAAGATTAATTCCACCGGAGATTGTGGAGAAGTACAAAACTAAGCTGGAAAAGATGGAGCCGGAAATTGAAAATATTCTCAGGGAGGAATATGAGGAACGTTTGTTGAGTAAAACGGAGAATCAAGCGAATCGTGCACAAAAATTACTTGCAGGTATATTTATTTCATTATTTGAATTTGAATTTGGATAAGATGAATATAAATTGTTAAATTAATTTTATTTACAGGTGATCTTGACAATAAGCGTCCGTGGTTCCAATCCAAGAAAGAACGCAAAGACGAGCAAGATAGACTTGCGTTAAATCCGAAAACTGGCGACAAACCTGACAAGACTGCAAAGAAAAAGCCGGAGAAAGGAAAGAAGGCGAAGAAATCTGACACGGACACGGAATTAGCTAAAGTTGCGTTGGTTCAAGCGCGATTAGCAAAGAGGAAAACCAAACAAAAAAAGATCAACACTTGTTATGACGCTGCCACTCCTACAGCGATGAAAACAAAGAACAAGAAGTCCAGTTTTGATATGGAGCTAACCGACACATCTGCAAAGGGCGCTAAAAAGTTGAGGTATAACGCTCACGCCGCAATGAAGCAAAATGATAAGAATGGTAAAGGCGGAAAAGGATTTAAGGGTAGCAAGGCCGGTAAAGGGGGTGGTAAGCCAGGTGCGAAGGGCGGTAACAAAGGAAAAGGGAAAGCGTTTGGTAAGCCAATGGCGAAGAAACAACGTTGAATTAAATCAATTTTAATAAACATTCTTGTTAATACATAACTTTTAAAATTCACTTTGAAACTAAAATATTTCCAGTCTTAAATTAAAAATGCGGCATCGGACATAAGAAAACAATTTAAAAAATTATTGCTTCATTGGTAGGAACTTTGAATAAGATCATGCGCAATGAACATAACATTATTATTAATTATCATGATTATTTAACGACTTTTGACTTTACATCCTTTTCAACGTAGCATATAAATTTAAATTATGCCTATAACACCAAATAGCACAACTGAACACATCTTAGTTCGACGTGTACACAACAGGGCTAATCTCTATATACTGAGCCTGTTTTTTAGTTATACGGCAAACCGCATAGCTGAGCGTGTGTCGGCTATCTATGTACGTAGTATACAATCTTTGTTCAGTCGTCTTATCGCGCCGGTGTGTTCGCACGCGTTCCTCTTGCAAGTCTTGTTTGTTTTTGGTTGAAGTTCGTCATCGAAATTACTAATATGAAATTAATTTCATCTTTACGCGCTTATCGGTATTTGTGTTGCAAATTCGGAATGCATCGCGTTACATCTCTGAAAATTTGAATTGGTTCAATCGTTACAATCCAGCATCTACAGCATGTGCTTGCTGCAAACTGCGAGGGACACCAGTTGTAGTTTGCCATCGTTCGACAGGTAGGTTTAGCATTGAATTAATATTATTTATTTATTTTTCATCATTAATTTGGTCTATATAACGGTCTTGTAATCAGCATTTATAGTCTTTTGCATGTACGCATTCGCGAAGATTTACACATTGTGAAATAGAAATGTTATTGTTTTTGTCTACGCGTTTATCAATGCCAATGTGCAAGTTTTTATGCGTTCTGAACTTGCACTGTCCGCCTGTTCGCCGCAGAAGACACGTTTTAGTATGTGTGAATATGTGTTTTAACTTTATTTTTAAATTCCATGTTTCACTTTCTTTCCTCTAAATAAATAAATATGATACAATTTGATTATTAATAATTTTATGATATTATCATAATTTTTGTGGAATTTCGAATCTTGCGATGGAAAATTATGAAAATTATTCCGGGAACCGTGCGATTAGAGTGATTCTTTCAAATTTAAATAGAGCCAGAGCCATTTTATACAATGTGACGTTATCGCTCATCCAAATAACGCGAGAGGTGACTTGAAATTGTTTTAAAACATTTATGATTTTTGCGAGTTTTGGTATCACCCGGTGGAAATTCGGCTGTATCTCGCGAACCGTTTGTGTGATTTCAATGATTCTTTCAAATTTATATAGGGCGAGAGGGATTTTATAAGAAGCGCTATTGCCACCCCCGGAAATATTGCTGCAAGTGCCCTAAAATCACTCTCAAACTTTATCGAATTTTGCAAATTTTTGAAACACCCGCGTTGTATTTTTGTTTTTCAAAAGACTAATTTTGGCTTGTTTTAGGGATTTTGCACATGAACCTGACATCGTAGGAAAACCATTCTTTCATAAGATTGTTGGTATTGAATTTCTTTATCATTTTCATTAATAACTCTAGTGATTTGTTAATTAATTAGCAGCAAAAATTGCAATTTTGTGTTTTGAAGGACTAATTTTGGGTTGTTTTAGGGGTTTTGTACCAGAACCTAAGACTGTAGCACCACCATTCTTTCATCAGATTGCAAGTATTGAATTTCTTTGTCATTTTCATAAATAAATTTAGTAATTAGTTTGTTAATTTGCAACAAAAGTTGCATTTTTGTGTTTCGAAAGACTAATTTTGTCATGTTTTAGGGGTTTTGCACATGAACCTCACATCGTAGGAGAACCATTGTTTCATCAGATTGTAGGTATTGAATTTCTTTATCATTTTCATTAATAACTTTATTGATTTGTTGATTAATTAGCAACAAAAATTGCATTTTTGTGTTTTGAAATACTAATTTTGGGTTATTTTAGGGGTTTTGCACCTGTACCTAAGATCGTAGGAGAACCATTCTTTCATCAGATTGTAGGTATTGAATTTCTTTGTCATTTTCATAAATAAATTTAGTAATTAGTTTGTTAATTTGCAACAAAAGTTGCATTTTTGTGTTTCGAAAGACTAATTTTGTCATGTTTTAGGGGTTTTGCACATGAACCTCACATCATAGGAGCACCATTCTTTCATCAGATTGTAGGTATTGAATTTCTTTATTATTTTCACAAATAACTTTAGTAATTAGTTTGTTGATTAGCAGCAAAAATTGAACTTTTGTGTTTCAAAAGACTAATTTTGGCTTGTTTTAGGGGTTTTGCACATGAACGTGCCATCGTAGGAGAACCATTCTTTCATCAGATTGTAGGTATTCAATTTCTTTATTATTTTCACAAATAAATTTAGTAATTAGATTGTTAATTAGCAGTAAAAATTGCATTTTTGTGTTTCGATAGACTAATTTTGGCATGTTTTAGGGGTTTTGCACATGAACCTGACATCATAGGAGAACCATTCTTTCATCAGATTGTAGGTATTGAATTTCTTTATCATTTTCATACATAACTTTAGTAATTAGTTTGTTAATTAGCAACAAAAATTGCATTTTTGTGTTTCGATAGACTAATTTTGGCATGTTTTAGGGGTTTTGCACATGAACCTGACATCATAGGAGCACCATTCTTTCATCAGATTGTAGGTATTGAATTTCTTTATCATTTTCATAAATAACTTTATCAATTAGTTTGTTAATTAGCAACAAAAATTGCATTTTTGTGTTTCGAAAGACTAATTTTGTCATGTTTTAGGGGTTTTGCACATGAACCTCACATCATAGGAGCACCATTCTTTCATCAGATTGTAGGTATTGAATTTCTTTATTATTTTCACAAATTACTTTAGTAATTAGTTTGTTGATTAGCAGCAAAAATTGAACTTTTGTGTTTCAAAAGACTAATTTTGGCTTGTTTTAGGGGTTTTGCACATGAACCTGACATCATAGGAGAACCATTCTTTCATCAGATTGTAGGTATTCAATTTCTTTATTATTTTCACAAATAAATTTAGTAATTAGTTTGTTAATTAGCAGTAAAAATTGCATTTTTGTGTTTCGATAGACTAATTTTGGCATGTTTTAGGGGTTTTGCACATGAACCTGACATCATAGGAGAACCATTCTTTCATCAGATTGTAGGTATTGAATTTCTTTATCATTTTCATAAATAACTTTATCAATTAGTTTGTTAATTAGCAACAAAAATTGCATTTTTGTGTTTCGAAAGACTAATTTTGTCATGTTTTAGGGGTTTTGCACATGAACCTCACATCATAGGAGCACCATTCTTTCATCAGATTGTAGGTATTGAATTTGTTTATCATTTTCATACATAACTTTAGTAATTAGTTTGTTAATTAGCAACAAAAATTGCATTTTTGTGTTTCGATAGACTAATTTTGGCATGTTTTAGGGGTTTTGCACATGAACCTGACATCATAGGAGCACCATTCTTTCATCAGATTGTAGGTATTGAATTTCTATATCATTTTCATACATAACTTTAGTAATTAGTTTGTTAATTAGCAACAAAAATTGCATTTTTGTGTTTCGATAGACTAATTTTGGCATGTTTTAGGGGATTTGCACATGAACCTGACATCATAGGAGAACCATTCTTTCATCAGATTGTAGGTATTGAATTTCTTTATCATTTTCATAAATAACTTTAGTAATTAGTTTGTTAATTAGCAACAAAAATTGCATTTTTGTGTTTCGATAGACTAATTTTGGCATGTTTTAGGGGATTTGCACATAAACCTGACATCATAGGAGAACCATTCTTTCATCAGATTGTAGGTATTGAATTTCTTTATCATTTTCATAAATAACTTTAGTAATTAGTTTGTTAATTAGCAACAAAAATTGCATTTTTGTGTTTCGATAGACTAATTTTGGCATGTTTTAGGGGTTTTGCACATGAACCTGACATCATAGGAGAACCATTCTTTCATCAGATTGTAGGTATTGAATTTCTTTATCATTTTCATAAATAACTTTAGTAATTAGTTTGTTAATTAGCAACGATAAAATTGCATTTGCACATTTTGTGTTTCGATTGAAGACTAATTTTGGCATGTTTTAGGGGATTTGCACATGAACCTGACATCATAGGAGAACCATTCTTTCATCAGATTGTAGGTATTGAATTTCTTTATCATTTTCATAAATTACTTTAGTAATTAGTTTGTTAATTAGCAACAAAAATTGCATTTTTGTGTTTCGATAGACTAATTTTGGCATGTTTTAGGGGTTTTGCACATAAACCTGACATCATAGGAGAACCATTCTTTCATCAGATTGTAGGTATTGAATTTCTTTATCATTTTCATAAATAACTTTTGTAATTAGTTTGTTAATTAGCAACAAAAATTGCACTTTTGTGTTTCGATAGACTAATTTTGGCATGTTTTAGGGGTTTTGCACCTGAACTTGACATCATAGTAGAACCATTCTTTCATCAGATTGTAGGTATTGAATTTCTTTATCATTTTCTTAAATAACTTTAGTGATTTGTTTGTAAATTAACAGCAAAAATTCCATTTTTGTGTTTCGAAAGACTAATTTTGGCTTGTTTTAGGGGTTTTGCACCCAAACCTGACATCGTAGGAGAACCATTCTTTCATCAGATTGTAGGTATTGAATTTGTTTATCATTTTCATAAATAACTTCATTAATTAGTTTGTTAATTAGCAACAAAAATTGCATTTTTGTGTTTCGATAGACTAATTTTAGCTTGTTTTAGGGGATTTGCACATGAACCTGACATCATAGGAGAACCATTCTTTCATCAGATTGTAGGTATTGAATTTCTTTATCATTTTCTTAATTAACTTTAGTGATTTGTTTGTAAATTAACAGCAAAAATTCCATTTTTGTGTTTCGAAAGACTAATTTTGGCTTGTTTTAGGGGTTTTGCACCCAAACCTGACATCGTAGGAGAACCATTCTTTCATCAGATTGTAGGTATTGAATTTGTTTATCATTTTCATAAATAACTTCATTAATTAGTTTGTTAATTAGCAACAAAAATTGCATTTTTGTGTTTCGATAGACTAATTTTGGCATGTTTTAGGGGATTTGCACATGAACCTGACATCATAGGAGAACCATTCTTTCATCAGATTGTAGGTATTGAATTTCTTTATCATTTTCATAAATAACTTTAATAATTAGTTTGTTAATTAGCAACAAAAATTGCATTTTTGTGTTTCGATAGCCTAATTTTGGCATGTTTTAGGGGATTTGCACATAAACCTGCATTGTAGGAGAACCATTCTTTCATCAGATTGTAGGTATTGAATTTGTTTATCATTTTCAAACATAACTTTAGTAATTAGTTTGTTAATTAGCAACAAAAATTGCATTTTTGTGTTTCGATAGACTAATTTTGGCATGTTTTAGGGGATTTGCACATGAACCTGACATCATAGGAGAACCATTCTTTCATCAGATTGTAGGTATTGAATTTCTTTATCATTTTCATAAATAACTTTAGTAATTAGTTTGTTAATTAGCAACAAAATTGCATTTTTGTGTTTCGATAGACTAATTTTGGCATGTTTTAGGGGATTTGCACATAAACCTGACATCATAGGAGAACCATTCTTTCATCAGATTGTAGGTATTGAATTTCTTTATCATTTTCATAAATAACTTTAGTAATTAGTTTGTTAATTAGCAACAAAAATTGCATTTTTGTGTTTCGATAGACTAATTTTGGCATGTTTTAGGGGATTTGCACATAAACCTGACATCATAGGAGAACCATTTTTCATCAGATTGTAGGTATTGAATTTCTTTATCATTTTCATAAATAACTTTAGTAATTAGTTTGTTAATTAGCAACAAAAATTGCATTTTTGTGTTTCGATAGACTAATTTTGGCATGTTTTAGGGGATTTGCACATAAACCTGACATCATAGGAGAACCATTCTTTCATCAGATTGTAGGTATTGAATTTCTTTATCATTTTCATAAATAACTTTAGTAATTAGTTTGTTAATTAGCAACAAAAATTGCATTTTTGTGTTTCGATAGACTAATTTTGGCATGTTTTAGGGGTTTTGCACATGAACCTGACATCATAGTAGAACCATTCTTTCATCAGATTGTAGGTATTGAATTTCTTTATCATTTTCATAAATAACTTTTGTAATTAGTTTGTTAATTAGCAACAAAAATTGCACTTTTGTGTTTCGATAGACTAATTTTGGCATGTTTTAGGGGTTTTGCACCTGAACTTGACATCATAGTAGAACCATTCTTTCATCAGATTGTAGGTATTGAATTTCTTTATCATTTTCTTAAATAACTTTAGTGATTTGTTTGTAAATTAACAGCAAAAATTCCATTTTTGTGTTTCGAAAGACTAATTTTGGCTTGTTTTAGGGGTTTTGCACCCAAACCTGACATCGTAGGAGAACCATTCTTTCATCAGATTGTAGGTATTGAATTTGTTTATCATTTTCATAAATAACTTCATTAATTAGTTTGTTAATTAGCAACAAAAATTGCATTTTTGTGTTTCGATAGACTAATTTTAGCTTGTTTTAGGGGATTTGCACATGAACGAGCCATCGTAGGAGAACCATTTTTTCATCAGATTGTAAGTATTGAATTTCTTTATCATTTTCAATAATAACTTTAGTGATTTGTTAATTAATTAGCAACAAAAATTGCGTTTTCATGTTTCCAAGGACTAATTTTTGCTTTTTTTCGGGGTAAGCACCTGAATGCGGCTGCCCCTTAATATCAGCGGGGTCCCTAAATATGTAGAATTTAATTCTTGGTCATAAAAGGGGTAAAAGCAACTGAAACGCGACCGAACCTGCAAAAAATTGCAATTTTCCAATTTTTAACGATTTATTTCAATTGCGAATATATGCGTAAACTAAAAGAGATCGAAAGGAACGAACCGCAGAGTCTTAATCTACGACAATTCTCTATAAAGTAATACATATTTTGTTGCAGTATTGTAAAGTATTCTTAGGTGGACTAGAATACACGCCTAACAAGTTTTTTTATTGCTTTCAGCGTGCGTATCTCAACAGCGATAGTGACCTCGTGCAGTTGCTGTCGGCTGTGCAACTCAAGGCATACGCAGTTCCATTTTGGTTGTCGAGTGAATCGCGCGTTTTCATTGCGACTACTTTTTGTTCTTCCAATCATAATTAGATAAATTGCGGAATGTTCAAACAATTGACGGCATTTACTGAAATCGAATGTGAATGTTGTTTTTGCTAGTGAGATAGCATTCGTTGAATGTTCATCAATCGCGGAGTTATCTGTGGTTCACCTATGCGCGTGTGATGTTCCGTCGGCTGTCGGCGATTGTTTTTCGCTTGTGGAATTACTTTGCACTCGTGTTAACCTATGTGTAAATAACCTGCGTGTCCACATAAACTTAATAATAACTTGGATTTATGTTTAATTAATATAAATAAACAACGTTGATGCCTGTTGAAGAAGTTTAGGAGCACTTGTGCCAAGGAGTCTACCGCTTCCCTCGCATAAATATTTGAGATACGCGTATTACAAGGCAAGTTTTACTTTCGGAACATTTAAGAGCTGTCTATGATTTTCGATTTTAAAAAATGTATGTAGTTTTTAATGTTGCTAATAAATCATATTGTAATATTATATACTTCTTCATATTTCGTTCTGGTTTCCCCTTTGCCGTTTGCAGGATTGATGTCTTGAATCATATTCCGTATAAATCTTAAGTGCGTCGAGCGTGTTCAATATATAGCTGTTATTTGTGTTGTGTTGTTGTTTTTAAAAAGTTGAATATAGTAGAAACATAAATAGGAGAATCAAATACTTAAGATAAAAACACTCGGTGGTCGAGTGGAGACGTGCACCTGCTGGCATGCTAGCAGACACGGATCGAATCTCAGGTATAGAAGGCATTTTTCTCAAATATAAAAATAACGGGTGTAATTTGGGTTGCATATGTAAACTCAAATAAAATATAAGAGAAATTGCAATACAAGTGAAAGCAATAAGAGAAGTACGAAAGTAGTAAGTAGTGAAACGGAAAACAGAGAAATAGGAGGAGTAGATGAAGGAATAGCAGAGAAGAGTAGAAGACAGAAGGAAGAGAACCGAGTAGAGAAGAGGAGGAGGAGATAGAAGAAAGAGCAACCAGGAGTGGATCAGATTTTTAAATTTTTTGGCACGTGTCGTTATAAGACAGTCTACGCCCACTGCCTACGCCCTACGCCCACTGCTTCGATGTGTCCATTACTCCCGGCCCAACCTACAGCTACGATGTCTCTGCGCTTCATCCCCGAAATTATCAGGCATATAAACAATTTTTATGGTGGGGGATCACCCCCGGAGAGAGGGAACTCCTCATAAGGACAATCCTTATAAAGTATTGTTGAAATATTTCTAAGTTTTAAGTCTCCTCAAGAGAGGTGACATTTAAAAATATTCTTACAACTTCTGACCTGTAGCTGAAATGAAAGAAGGAGTACACAAATCACACAGGTTACCTTAACAATTTTTATAGAGGGGATCATCCCCTGAGAGAGGGAACTTAGAGACCTGTGCCTGTAATGATAGAAGAGGTACACAAATCAAAGAAGTAAATATATCCTGCTATTTCTTTATTAACAATAGAATACAAATTTATATTTTACAACTCAACAGAATACATGTCTCCATATTGAACGACCTGCATAGCCGCGCACATGCCAGCAAGTACTACTTCATAAAGTTCTACCGCAATAATGAAATTAGTAAATAGCCAATTTTCTAGGTGATTGAAAATGGAAACAAATATACAGGGTGTTACAAAAGGAAAATTTAAAGTGCAAAAATAAAACTCTCAACACTACAAACGCCGCTCGTTTTCACTAGGCGATCAGGGAAATTAATATACAAGGTGTTCCAGAAAGAAAATTCAAGGTGCAAAGGGGAAAATACTAAAAACATCAGCTAAAGCAAAGTTTTCACGGACACAAAGGAAAACATATATACAGGGTGTTCTAGAAAGAAAATTCCAAGTTCAAAACAGAGAAAACTCAAAACTAAAGGTCATTTTCTACTTGCGGTTAAGAAAACTAATATACAGAGTGTTACAAAAAGGAAATTACTACATCACAAAAGAAAATGCCAAGTTCAAGAAGGAAAATAAAAGGAAACACTAAATATAGACAGTTTTTGATAGAAAATTAAGGAAAACAAATATATAGGGTGTTACAAAAAGAAAATCAATAGTTCAAAAAAGAAAACACTCGGGAATCACAAATTTAGAAAACCTATAATAGGAAATCAGGAAAATCAACACACAGGGTGTTACAAATAGGAAATTTCTACATTTAAAAATAAAATTCAAATTTTAAATAGAAAACGACCCGGAAACGATAAATTTAGTCAGTTTTACATTAGAGAGCACGGATAATTAATACATAATTATCTATCATACTAATTCAAGAAGAAATTAACAACAATATGTTAATATAAAATCAGAGTTTTTACCCGAAAAATATCGGAAAATTGAGCAATAGAGTGCTACAAAAATAAAACACTTACATTATAATATATTGTGAATATATATATTTATTAATTGATGGTAGCATAAACTGTATAAGGTAACCGCCGGGTTGTCACATCATCATAAATTGATAGAATATCCGGCAGAAAACATCTAAAATCTAAATCAACAGACGGCAAATGACGGCGCGTAGCAACAAAGTGGTTAAAGATGATAAAAATAACTATTTCTTTGTAAATATTAAGATATACTTAGACTGCGAAAACGAAAAACTATTCACCGTTCAAGATTTTTTTTCAACCAGAAATTATTAATTTAATGATGCAATTCGATTAAAAATGTTTCCGTGATCATCAAAAACATGACCGAACCGACGGCCGACGGCCGACGGCAAAGTAAGCGTGGTCGACCACATGAATATTGTCATTTTAATAATCCTCAGATAATTTTAAAAACCGTGCTAGTAATAATTAAATCAAGCATGTTATTTTCGGAAACGTGACTAAGAAGAATTCTGATTAAAATTTGCACCACCTGTTTGTAAGCTACAAAATTAATATCCCTCAAACTAAATAATCAATTTAAGTTAAACCGTATAACTTTCCGCAAAAAATTGTAATTATCCACATACCTGTGCATTGATCAGGAGATTTTCTATCCTGTAATATATTCTATCAACTGACACACGCGCAGGGATTAACGGGCACTTATTTCTCACCTAAGAAGACTCTAACCGCCATAAATCATTAAACAAAACAGGCACACATGCCCATTGCGAATATTTTGCCGATGGCCGAAAGAGTACACGACAATTAATCCAATTAAAACCACAAAACGCATGGCGATTAGAGAGACACGCTCGCGGACCACGCGGTGAAACAACTGCCGTGTGCGCTGCGCGTAGCCGGGTACAAGGCAGGTATGCAGCGGTATCACGCGTCAGTCGAACAAAAAAAGTTGTTTATACCCAAACGTACTGATAAACACGTAGTTGAGAAGACGAAACTAAAAATTCACAATGTTGAAATACACATACACGAAATTTACTTTTACTTTCACTACTTCTCGGCATACGAAAAGAATTTATTGGCTTTGGGGTGTAATATGATTGAGCCTTCGTAAAAGTTTACTGTATACCTTAGTTAATTAAATAATTGGTGTTCACAATACAGCGCCTAATATAAATATTCGCTGAAAGATAAAGTATTAAAATCGGAAAAATAAGAGGAGAAAAGAAATCATAACAAGAAAATGCATAAAGAGATGCTTACGACCTGCATATTCGCACACATTCGAATTAAGAAATAGCAATAAATACATGCAACTAATATACAGGGTGTTGCAAAAAGAAAACCAATTATTAAAAAAACAGTACGTTGCAACAATAAACTTTTCCCACTTTAACCAGGATGGTTATTAAATAATATACCGAGTGATACAGAGAGAAAATATACAGTTCAAAAAAGAAAACATCAGGACAACAAACTCGGTCAGTGCCTGATAAGAAAACAAGGAAAACTAGTATACAGGGTGATACAGAAGAAAAATTACTACATTTAAAAATATTATTCTACGATTCAGAGTAATACATCAGGAAACCACAAATGTAGTCAATTATTGACTGGAAATCAAAAAAACTAAATATACAGTGTGATACATTAGAAAAATGACAAGGTATAAAAAGAAAATTTCACAATAAAGTGGAAAACATACAAAAACAACAAATTTTATAAATTCTTGTTTGACCAAGGGAAGCAAACATACAGGATGTTACAAAAAGGAAATGACAGTATTAAAAAAGATATCTTTTATATAAATAAAACACCATAATGAATTATATTACCTACATATTGAGATTTACTTTGTGACGCGAAGTGCCAGCCGACTGCACCGCACACAACCCCGCGACAAGATATTAAAATGACGATATACATAGGGGAAAGTAGCCATATTTGGACCATTTTTATATTTTTTGATTTATAGAGCCACATATAAACTGTCAATAAAAATTAAGTAGCGGAAAAGTAACTCACAAGGCTTACCAACAAAATGATATTTTTGGTTTAAGTAAAAATTATATTTATACCCCTCAAATTTCAATTTAAAAAAATTGTGTTTTTGGTCCAAATTAAGAAACCGGTTTCCTAAATTGGACCGCGCGGTTTCCTAAATTGGACCATGCTTTTTTAACGGCAATTGACACAATAGTAAATTTTAGTTTTAGCAGTAACACAAGCACATTTTGTATAAACCAAAGTGCGGCATTTCATACAGTGGATCATTTCGAAGATTTGTGCTCGTCCACAAGCTTTTCTAGGAGGTCGAAAAAATGATATACGTTTTTCCTGTAAAACTCCGGTGTCTGTCTTCGGTCCAACTTGGGCAACTTGAAGAATTTATATATAATGATCAACAACAATCTTAATATAACATAACCTCTCAAAATTAATACTATAAATTATAGATAAATAAAGAAGCTTTCTGATGATAAAATAATAATCGGTAAAACAAACGTTTTAACGGCTTGACAGCTCTTGCACTTACGTCGTTATAATAGATTTGATAATCAATGATACACGAAGTTGTTGTCACGACGAAAGCACGCGGCAAGTTTTAACCCAAATAGTTGCATTAATTGTTTATAAATACGAGTAAAACAAGGGGCCAGTTAATTTTTGCATAAACTTCAACAGTCCGCGGATATCGTGGTGGTCCAACTTAGGCGCTGGTCCAAATTATGCTACTTTCCCCTACATTTCAAGACTTTAATTAATTTTCAAACTAATAAAAGTATCAACGCGACTACAGAATTTTGAATGCAAAAAAACAATGCGAGCTGAGAAAAACAGTGAAACCCACATTCTAAAGCAACAATTTAGACTTACGACGATTACGGTATCTCGTTACACGCAACTAAATATAGTAATGTAATAATGATATAATAATATTAAACATCTTACCGGGACATTGGATAATCAAAAGTAGCACTGAAACAGAAAAAAAAACACGTATGTTAATTCACTTATTGAGTCTACCCGTCGGATAGAGTCTTGTATTACAAGCAATATTTTAACTGACTAACGCACAATGAAAACTCGAGTTTCATGATCGTTTCACGCACAAATCAATATAAATTAAACATTAAATAGTTTAGTACCATTACGGGCCGATATTTATGTCAATAATTAACATTAAAATGCATTTCATTGAATTAAAATGAAAGAAAGGAGGCATGCCGCTTGCAAATAAGAACAGACTGATACGTTCGAATGATCGCAGCACGAACGCAACATGGAACTGGTTCAAAGCGATAAAAAAGTTGTTTATGCACAAGCATAGATAAATGATAGAGAATTTTCCAATCTTTCATAAACAGCAATTCGTTGGTTCGTTGGTCTCTTTTAGTTTAAGAGATATTAATTATCAAAAATCGTCGAAAAAAAGTATCAAGCACCCCCCCTTGGCAATTTTTTTCTTAAGACTTAAAATTTCATCTCGCAGATTTCCCTTTTAACTATTCTATCTGATAGAAAATAGTTCGTAGATTAAGATGCTGCGATCAGATCTTAATTATCTCTTTTAGTTTACGAGATATTCGCGATTGAATAAAATGGTCAAAAATTGATAAATGTCACTTTTTAGTACTTTTAAGGGCGTTTTTTGACCTTTTACGGTTGGAAATATAATTACTTTATATTTTTATCAGATAGACAATTTTCCAATGTTTCATAATCAACAATTCGTGGGTTGCTACCTCGTTTAGTTTAAGGGATATTAATGATCAAAAATCGTCGAAAAAAAGTATCAAGCACCCCCCCTTGGCAATTTTTTTCTTAAGACTTAAAATTTCATCTCGCAGATTTCCCTTTTAACTATTCTATCTGATAGAAAATAGTTCGTAGATTAAGATGCTGCGATCAGATCTTAATTATCTCTTTTAGTTTACGAGATATTCGCGATTGAATAAAATGGTCAAAAATTGATAAATGTCACTTTTTAGTACTTTTAAGGGCGTTTTTTGACCTTTTACGGTTGGAAATATAATTACTTTATATTTTTATCAGATAGACAATTTTCCAATGTTTCATAATCAACAATTCGTGGGTTGCTACCTCGTTTAGTTTAAGGGATATTAATTATCAAAAATCGTCGAAAAAAAGTATCAAGCACCCCCCCTTGGCAATTTTTTTCTTAAGACTTAAAATTTCATCTCGCAGATTTCCCTTTTAACTATTCTGTCTCTCAGATTTCCGTTTTAACTATCCCATCATATAGAGCATAGTCCGTAGATTAAGACGCTGCGATCAGATCCTAAATATCTCTTTTTGTTTGCGAGATATTCGCAATTGAATGGGTGAATGAGTCAGTTATACATTCATCCACGTACGGTACCACGTACCCTGAACACGAGTCACTTCTACCGCTGGATACTTCGACCAAATGTCTGGCAATGAGCAACGCATGTTAAAATAATGTTACTAATAAAATATGCAAAAATGGAGAGTATGTTAGTTCACTTATTGAGTCTTCTCGTCGTATAGAGCCTTGTATTACAAGCAATATTTTAACTGACTAACACACAATGAAAACTCGAGTTTTATGATCGTTTCACGCATAAATCATTATATGCTAAACAATACATAGTTTAGTTGTTTAGTACCATTACATGCCAATATTTGTGTCGATAATTAACGTTAAAATGTATTAATTGAATTAAAATGAAAGAAAGGTGGCAAGCCGCGTGCAAATAAGAACAGACTGATACGTTCGAACGATCGCAGCACGAATGCAACATGGAACTGGCTCAAAGCGATAATAAAGTTGTTTATGCACAAACATAGATAAACGCGTTGAGTTGAAAAAGAAACATTCAGGTATGTAGATCTAATACAATTTATATAATGTTAAGAAGAAACACGCAATCGGATGTGTGGAGCGGGTGCGTGCTACCAATCCTATTTTCCAAGCAAAACTTTAAAAAAATTGAAAAATTAAAATTCTATTTGCTTAATTATGATTTCTTATGCAGACAGAGTGCCAGATTTTACCTCAAATATTTAAGAGATATCTTCTTAAGTGGTTTTCTAATGATGACTTTTAAAATAAACTATTCCACGGAATGTAAAATTGTTAGTTATATTCATGATTTAAGAATTGAAGAATACTTGCTTAATTTTACTATTCCAATATAAACTGCAAGATGTGATTTTATTCCAAGAAATAAAGATTCGATATTTGCAGGTAAACAAACTTATCTCTTGTGCGAAATCGCGATCGCACACGGACACGGTGTGCACTCACTACCACCGACAAGAAATATTTAACGCGAAAACATGCATCGTAGTGCCATCTAACCGAATATCTAGTAACGGCAGGTTTAAATTCAAAACACATTTTATCAAATATGCAACAAAGTTGATATTGCATGGAAATACCAATCATAAGCAATTTAATAGTGCTGATCAAATCGTAATATTGCCTTAATTTATACGCTATGATACAATATAATAATATTATATTCACACATCGGAAAATTGTAGATTACGGAAGATAAATCCCTATTAGATGGAAATTTAAAATAATTTAATTTAATGAGGTAAAAAGTAAAAAACGCGTCTAAAAGTGCTAAAAATTGCAATCTCGTAAACTAAAAGAGATAGAAAGGAATGAATTGCAGAGTCTTAATCTACGGACAATTCGCTTTAAAATAAGCTAGTTAAATTGGAAATTAAAGAAATAAAATTTTAATTCAAAAGAAAAAATGGGCGAGAGGGGGTGCTTGATAATTTATTTCCACGATTTTCGACAGTGAATATCATCTAAACTATAAGAGAGAGCAACCAGAAAATTATAAGTTATGGCAGATTGGAAAATTCCCTAAATAAGTACCTGAATACGAGTCATTTCTACAGCTACCCTCGTACGGTGCCCTGAACACTAGTCACTTCTACCGCTACCCTCATACGGTGCCCTGAGAGCGATTTTAAGGCACTTCTAATGAGATGTCGGGGGTAGCAAAGGCGCAGCATATAATATGATTCTCGCACTATCTAAATTTGAAAGACTCATTGAAATCGAACAAACAATTCCCGAGATACAGTCAAATTTTCACCGTGTTTCGAATATTCAAAAAAAATAATATAATTAATATTAATTAATAATATAATTATAATAATAATTGTATCCTATTTCACGTTATTTAGGGGAAAGAAAGTGAAACATGGAATTTAAAAACTAAGTTAAAACACGTATTTACATATCAAAAACGTGTAGTCTGCATCACACGGACTGCAAAATCTGAATGCTATAAAAACTTGTTTACACGCTGGCATTGATAAACGCGTTGAGACAGAAACGATAACAATTCTATTGTATGTACAGACTAATTTCACGATGTTGAAATCTTCTCGAATTCGTACATACAAAGGACCATAACAGACCGAGACCGTTATATAGACATAATTAATAATGAAAAATAAATAAATAATATTAATTCAATGCTAAACCTACCTGTTGAACGATAAAGAACTTCGACTGATGTCCCCCGTAGTTTGCAGCAAGCACATGCCGTAGATGCTGGATTGAGACGACAGCACTAGCACTAATTCCAATTTCCGGAGATGTAAAGCAACGTTCCTTGAATCACAACACAAATACCGATAAGCGCGTAAAGATGAAATTAATGCCTTAGCAATTTCGATGGATGACGAAGTTCAAACAAAAACACCCGCGGCTTGCGAACGGAACGCGTGCGAACACACCGACGCGATAAGACGACTAGAAACACAGTTTGTATACTACGTACATACCTATATCGGTATGTCGCCTCTGCTATGCGGTTAGACGTAGAACTAAACCTCAAAACAGGCTCGATATACAGAGATATTGTCCCGTGCTGTACACGTCGAACTATGATGTGTTCACTTGTAAGGTTTGGTGTATTAGGACTAATTTAAATTCATAAATTACGTTGATAAGAATGTAAAGTCAAAAGTCATTGAATAATAATGAAGTTTATCTTGGTGCAATTTACATTGGCAGTGGTGTTCATGTTTATCTATTTGAAAGGATACTTTCCTTTCACTCATCATGAAGCTACTATCATCAATCCACCAACTGAAATTGAAGGAATTCCCCTTGACTTGAATCAATTTTACAAACCACAAGTACAGAAAATGGTGCTGATAATAATTGATGCTTTAAGATATGACTTTGTTACTGAAAAAGACATGCCATTTCTTTATTCAAACATGGATTGCTTATTGAAAGTGAAAGTAGAAGCTCCAACTGTAACATTACCAAGAATCAAGGCATTGACAACAGGAGCAATACCACAGTTTATAGATATTGTACTTAATCTGGGTGCAACAGCAAAAGTAGCAGATAGTTTTCTGCACAGGGCTCATGCTAGTGGTAAAAAAATGGTATTCTATGGAGATAACACATGGCTTATGATGTTTCCCAATCTGTTTGTAAGAGAAGAAGGCACAACATCATTTTTTGTGAATGATTTTACTGAAGTTGATAATAATGTCACCAGACATATTGACTCTGAATTGAAGAAAGATTGGGATATGATGTTCCTGCATTATTTAGGTAATGAAATTAACAGCAAACAGAAATTAACTTACATAAATTATTTAACATTTAATTTGTAGGCTTAGATCATATTGGGCATGTCAGAGGACCTTTCAATAGCCTGATTCACACAAAACTACATGAAATGGACGACATAATCAAGAAAATCATTACTACATCCAACACCTGGGACAATGACACCATTATCATGATAACTGGCGACCATGGAATGAAGGATTCCGGCGGACATGGTGGGACAACGTATGCAGAAACACATGTTCCTTTAATTCTGCATCACAACAAGGGTATAAATTGTAAATTGCATTCAGTTGATGTCTCAGACCAAATCATACAACAATCAGATATTGCAAACACAATTTCTGCATTGTTTAGTATAGCAATGCCTGCAAACAGCGCCGGAAAAATACTGCCGCAACTATTGACTTTAAATAAGTCTCAGTTACTTTACACATTATTCTATAACAGTTTAATTTTGCAAAGAAATGCTGAGAATTTAAATAATTGCCATGAAAATTTACAATTGGCGAGATATTTATTCAAAAATGCTGTTCAAACTTCTAATTTTGAGACATCAGATGCTAAAAAGCTGAGAAATTGTTTAAACAATGTTTGCAACAAATGAGTGATGAACTCATACAGACCTCAGTTAAACAGGACACTATTTTGTTAGTATTTGCAATGCTTGGTTCACTCAATTGTTTTCTGGTCATCTGTGGCCGGTTTAAAGATAGTTTAAAACTTTCACATACGTTTCTGACAATTGTCCCTGTAATTATTTTACTGAGTTCCTTCACTTTTACGTATTATAACTTTGAAATGCAAATAGCAGCTACTATACTTATTGGCATATTAACATTGATCACAATTTCATTAACAATAATTCCTAGTTTTTGTTTTTATAAGGTTATTGGTTTGTTTTGTGTGAGTCCAATCATATTTCACGGCGCTTTGTTAATTTCCTCAAGTTATATTGAAGAGGAACAGTACTTTTTTTACTACTTCACTTGCACTGCATCAGTATTAATTGCCATAGTTAATTATCGAACAATCAAACGTGTAACAATGTCCACCGCGATGCCTTTGACTATAATCGAGATTATTCGTATAACTCGAGGCATTTCAGAAGCCAAAGACTGGTTGCTAAAAGATGAACATACAATATATTTGAAAGTTTTACATATTGCTGCGTTAATTGCAACTGTGATAGTTATATTTAAACTGCAAAATTCAAACTATGAGCCTGCCTCTATTATTTTTAGCGCAGTAATATTTGTTATGGTTCATCTGCATACGTTTTATTATGAACGTTCGGTTGTTTTCGCGCAAACGATATGGTTCTTAATTTTACTTTACTTTTTAATAGCAACTGGTCTAAAGAACAAAAATTCAGTATTATTTACGTGGATGTTAGTCATGGCTTTCCAGTTGAGACCATACAACACCATTTTGTTACCTGCAATGGTGATATGTTCCTGTATTTTTAAGAAATCTATCATATCCGGTATCAAGAATAATTTACTTAGTAATTATTTAGTTGTCATTCATGTTTGGCTGGGTTATACCTTCTTTTTCATACAGGGCCATAGAAATAGCATTGCAAATATTGATTTAGTGCCTGGTTATCTTGGACTGAGTAATTATGTGCCATTTTTAGTAGGATTATTAACAGTTTGCCACAGCTATGGCTTTCAAACATTGAGTTTACTTTTGTTATTTAGCACAACAATTGATACAAAACCGAAAAGTTATGAGACATGGAAAACTATATTTTGTTACAAGATGTTTATACTTTTAGTTATTTATATTGTGCTTTTCTTTAGCCGGGGACACTTGTTCATCTGGTCTGTGTTTGCGCCAAAGTTGTTAATTGAATGTATGCATACATTTGTTCTATACTTACAAATGCTTTTGTATGGAATTTCTAAATTGTTCAATTATGTAAAAATAAGTCTGTGTAAAAAGATTAATATTGAATCAGTTGAAAAATACAAGTGAGTGAGTCTATTTTCTTTAAATTAATTGTAGATTGTGCTAGTTATCATCAGGCTTGTCTGGTGGAGGTCCACAAGGTTGCAACATTTTCTCCATCAGATTGAACTTGATTCTAGCTTTAGACTCATTCTCAGCAATGGCAAAATAATTCAGAAGATCTGGATGTCCTAAGTAACTGGAGCAGCTGTCTCTGTGTTGATTCACCATCCATTCAAATTTAGTTGTGTCTGCATGACCAGTGCCAATACATTTTGACTGTAGATGTTCTAGCTGACTGTAGATATTATATCTATCGCCCATTGGATTCCTATTAGTATATATTCAATATCAATTAATTCATTTTTTATATAAAATTCGTTGTTTAAACTTACATATTGTTGCTTTTTATATGAAAAATCACCGACGAAGAAACAATAAATACTTGGGTTATGTTTTGGACGCAAAATTATTTAGCCCTATGGCTGGTTGCCTACTTTCATTACACGGTTTAGGTTTATTCTTTCTTGGTAGTTGGCAAGACTGTGTTTAATTTGCCCGTTGGAAAATTTATATTGCAAAGTTGCCAGCACTGGTACATTCTCCCACTCCGTTACTGCTCTGTGGACATTTTGACAGTTTATGTAAGAAATCGAAGTGAGGTTGAACGAGATACTTAACGATCGTGTGCTTGATCCGGCCTGACTGATCATTTCAAGGAATATTACGATGGCTTCCCTATACGCTAAAGTGGCCCTGTCTACTGCCAGAAGGAACGTGCTCACCGCCTCCAGATGTTTCGCCACAAGGAGTAAGCGCCGCACCGCGCTGCCCGCCACCATCCGACCAGGTTCCCACCACATCCAGTTCCTTCCCATTTTTGCCCCAATGCACGTTACGTAATTCTGTTATTTACCTCAAATTTTCCATCGTTTTCACCCCTACAACAAATGTCATGCTTCTAAAGTTTTTCTAGAATTACTATCTATATTTTTAGATTATATCTGATGCTAATGTAAATATAATTTTAGCCACAATGGGCGATCCCGTTGAACACGCTACTGGCTTGGAAAAGCGTGAGCTGCTTGCAAAACTCGCTGGCAATGACAACCCCTTCGACCTCAAAGTAGTCAAGCGCGGCCCAGGCACCAAAGCTCAGCCAAACGAAATCCCATCGGCGTTCGATGCGCGTCTTGTTGGCTGCGTCTGTGAGGAGGATGCCACCAGCGTCACCTGGATGTGGTTGCACAAGGGTCAGCCGCGCCGCTGCGAGTGCGGTCATTGGTTCTCGCTGGTGCATAAGGACGCCTTGTAGAAATCTTAAATGTAATAGATTAATGATAGATGATTAATGAAATGTAATAAATTTTCTGAACGTAAAATTCAACCAACAACATTCAGCAGCATCAACAGAAATGGAAATTGAAGGCTATTGAAGGGCAGCTACCAGTTACACATTAATTTGCAGTTTTGACAACTATGTAAATAAGTTTCCATTAAATTATTGTTGTAATTAGAACTGTCCGCCATATGATTTTAACTGTCTGATTAAATCACGTTGAAGCAGATTTAGATTAAAAATACTTTCAAGCTACTTCAAAGTCAAGGCATGAGTAGGTATTTAAAGTTATACGAAAATTACATGGTTTACGCGTTTGACGTGCAGCATTCGTTTCTCATCATTCACGTTACGTGAAACTGTTCCAACTTTATATTCCTTTATTCCTCAGAAACTTGCCAGTAATTATCTCAACTTTGGTCGAATTATGGTTTAAATTGCTTTCAGTTAAAAGCAGGTTCCAACACTAACCTTCTTTTAATAAAAATAATTTCTGTTCAAAGGCAGGACTTATTTTAGGACATTTATAGATTTTTGATCTAAAGACAGTGCCAAACTTAGTTGAAAATTTTTTGGTTGAATAGAAATAATAATTAAAATTATATTCGGTCAAATAATAAGGTCGAACTATTTTTCTTAAAGAAAAGCACTAAACGCACTTCCGCAGATACTGAAGAACAAAGACTAAAGTAGGAACTAAACTAACTGCGCTTGTGATTTGTAAAATTACCAAACATAATTTAGTGCATTTTTGGTTGCCTAGCAAATCTGATTTTCCATTTTAGGGCAAATGTTTTCTATTTACAAGCAATAATTAAAAAGTAAACTTTATTACAGAAAAAATATAGTCGTCGCAATATTGTATCATGTTCGCATGTGATTTTAGATGTTCGCTCTCAAGTATCTTATTTGTTCATACGTAGCTGTTATTAACGTCACACACATGCATGGTTCCGACTTAAAAGTTAATCCATTACTATCATGTTCAATGTTCGGCTTAACTATATTCATTCTTAAAATCTACGTTCAACGCACGATTCAATTCGCACGCAATTCGTTACCGGCAACGATAATAACTTGCTCTTATCATTTTGGCGCTTGATTTCTTATCGAGTAGAGTTTTACGTGCTAACAAGTTTCATTTACAATGTAATTGTGATGAGAAAACACTTGATGCAAACGAGAATCAAAAGTAATAATCTTAAGAAAGTTTCAAATGAGTACCAAACGAGCAACTATAAAAAATTTACACCGTTCATAGTTGGTATTATGTATAACATTAATAGAGATGATTAAATTCACAAAATTCACGGAAACGACATGAGAATGGAATTGTGAATTGTCGATCACTTAGTTTAAAATTTCTGATACTCAGATGTACAGTTGGTTGCCGACGCTAGTGTTCTATTAAACGACTTGTCTCCATCTCACACCCAGCTCGTCTCTAATTGTCTACATTTTAAATTTTAGTTCAATGTGTTTCAATGGAATGTTGATGTTTTTGAACGAATGTTTCATAATGCTGCTGTTCGGTATGATCCGGTCCTATGTAGTCACCCATTGACAATGATTATTAAGGCACCAGAAATGTTTACTTTCATTTTCATTCGCTTCTCCTTCGCTTTACAACTTGTTAGTGTTCAAACACAAAAATGAAGACAGTGTCGATATAAAAAGTTGTTCGATTTATTATTTCTTGTTTTGCAATTAAAATCGAGTTGATTGAGAGAGAAAAAAAATCGGGTGGCACTGTATCGATTACAAAAATTATTGTTACTCCCAGATTGTTCAAAAAGCTATCATCAACTTTGACTCATTTCTTAAAATTTTATGTACGTGTGTTTAGTTGTGTCGCATTCAATTATGCCGCTTGTTTGTTTTTGTTAAACATTCGTTATATATATTTTTAAATAGTTTAGTAGTTTCCTTTAGTAAGTGTTTGGTTGGTCGACGTGTGATTTGATTCGTTCGTACGCTGCCGCTGGCCTAAAGGGGTAAAATTCGAGCGCCCAATCCAATACCTACTACTCGGTGTCCGACTCGGAATCGCTTTCCTCTTCGGCGTTCTGCAGCCACTCGACAAAGTTCTTCATCTGATCGACGAACATCATCTTGCCCTTGACGTTGTAGTCCTGCTTGTACCACTTCAGAATAACCTGCTCGGAAATGATGTCCGTTTTGTAGAACAGCATCACGATGCGGTGGAAGGCGCGCATGAACACCATGTTCTGGTAGCAGTACTCCTGAATCTTCAACAGCAGGCTCAATTCGGAGCGCACAGTTTGCGCAAACGCCGTGAACAGTGTTGTGTATTGCTTCAAGTGTTGCACGGACTGATCAGTTACCAATTCCTTAATAACAAAATAAGTAAGACATGACATTTATATATAAAAAAATGTTGGCACGCTTGATGTCACGCCATCAATAGATTTGATGACGGTCAGTATGCGCGCCGAATTATCTGCCCAGTTTGAATAAAACAAAAACTTGTAACCTGTTCTTATTTATATTCTACTGGGTGAACTACCATAAATATAAGGATCAAAAATGTTACCTCTTTTTTATTCCAATCTGGGATGTTCATGACAGTGGTCCAAATGATGCAGACAATCTCATGGTCGGAGATGCTCTCCTTGGCGGAAAACTCTTTGATCTCGGTGACGAGGTCCTTATGCGGTTTGCCATCGGCCAACCCATCGGCAATCATCACCTGCAGTTCCTTCTTCGCCTGCAATTGGTGCTGGTCGTTGTACAGCTTGAGAATCTCCTCGAGGCCGTTCTCGAGAAAGGCGTTGCGGAAATACAACAGCGACTGCTTGGTGTCGGGCACGAAGCTGATGAGCTGCGACTCGATGTTGGACTTTTGATAGCCGAGTGCAACGAGACGACGCCCTTCTCCTGGCGCCACCACTTGAACACCTCGATGAGGAAATCTAGAGCGAGGTTGTCCTTGACGAGGTGAGAGTTGTTCAGTACCAGGACAGCGTTGAAGGGAACACTGCCGTTGGACAACCAGAGCATCATCATTGCTGACAATTTCTTGCGGTCTGCCGGCGTAAAGTATTTGACGAATAATAGTATCTTCTTGATCTCATCCTGGAATAGCTTCTCCAAATACTTATAACGGCGCATCAGTTTGATGAACACCTGCTCCCAGCTCTTCATGAGGTCCATGCTGATTTCGTCCGGCGTGCAAAAGATGCACGCCTCCGTCTTGTACGGCCCGTCGCCCTCCTGCGAGAGCGCGCCGCCGGGCACCAAGATGCCGCCAGCGATGAGGATGTCGAAGAGTGCTTCGCCATAGCGGCGGTAGTCCAATCTGTTACCGGAGGTGTCGAGCAGGCGCGAGATCGCTTCAAAGTCGTTAGCACGTTGACTAGATAGTCCAGAGATTATCGCATCTCGGAAACCTACTGGATCGTATCTTTCCTTTTCATCTGCAAGCACAAACAGAAAAATACAACAATCCTTTAGCGTCCGACAGTAACTCACGATCGAACAAACTCACCTCTTTTTCTGGTCTTGATGCGTTGACCGGATAAAACTGGTTTTTCTACCTTTTGACTCATACAAAAATTTCTGAAACGCAGACAAAGTGCAAACGATTATTATTCTGTAAACTAATCAAACATTTATTGGCAATGACGTCATGCTTCATCAAAACGATAAGAGTTGACGCATCAATGTTGTGAAATTTCGCTGTGGTTTAAAAATGTCATCAAATGAGCGAAAGTACGAGCTCAACCTGGTCGCGCTCGTTGTGAAATCACAACAGCGTTTGAAACACAATGGAATGATTAATTTATTTGCACACAGCTGCGAGTGAATCATCGACATGCATCCCCGAGTTAACACATGCGCCGACAAAAGAGCGAAACTAGATCAAAATATCCAGAACGAAAAAAAAAACACAAAGATAGCGATAAAGAAAATGGTGGCCTCTAGTCCGGCGGCCTTGTCCAAATGTCTAAACACCGTAAATAATGAAACAAAGGTGGTGTGCGCTCGCTGCGCAATTGAAATCGAATAATAACGGGGATTAATTCGGGTCATCGACTCAAAAACCGCCATCGAATCGAACCGTCCTCGTCAACGTCGCTCGCGAACTCACGCTGCTAACCTCAACACTGGCAAACCACTACGTCGACAAATAAAATTTGAATTCGACTACGAACATGAATATGCTGCTAATGCATGCTATCTAACAGAAACAAGTGACGATTGCATGGTCTGTTACCCACGAGCTTCGCAATTTATCATGAGAATGATATTTTCACACTGCATGTAATTGAAAAGTGATCGTGGAAATGGTACGCTTGAAGGTTTCGTGATGTGCGGATGCACAATTGCAACGATCGGAGGACCTTGAAACAAAAATATAGGCCAACGAAAATAGGACGCGCGACGAAGGGGGTTTCAAACAATCGCCACACGATCGTCATTTATTTCGTTATAAAACTACGGCGATCGCGTGCAAATGGACGGCGCGTCGCGCCTCGTGCAAGGTATTTCCTGTCGCCGCCGAACCGCATGCTCGGTTAGGTACTCCGGCATTCTAATGGCGAACGATTGAGTGACGAATCGACAGCAGAAAAATGGTAACCAACAGCGTGGTATGTACTCACGTTTATACTGTTTTATAAAAAGCACCCCTCGATGAGCTCTCCAACAAACAATCTAACGACGAATCGACTACGAGACTCACTAACAGTTCTGCGTTGTGCGGAGACGGAGACGCAAAATGAATGACTGGCTGCTGGCTGGCTACGACTGTGTGTGTTACGCGGCTGGTGCGTAAGTGATCGTCGCCGGTGGTGTGAGTGGAGTTTGCTCGCGTTGGCACGCCTGCCGGCTTCCTGTGTGAGTGCGGCGCGTGCGCCTGCACTACTATCGCACCGTCTCGCTCACACGCACTCAATTACAAGCGATGACGTCCAGTGACAAACAGAGATGTAATGAAACTCGGCGGTACTCGATGGTACTCGGCGGTGCTCAGCGCTGCAGAAAAAAAGCAAATGGCCGTCTAACCGGAATCGATCACCGTCCTCCATCTTACATACCTCAATGGCGGGCGGTTTAAACGTGCGCTTCTCACGATAACAACAAAACTATCTTGTTTCTGATGGGTTTTCTGGAGGACGCTCGGTGGAATGAACGTTTGGAGATCTTTGTTTCGATGGTGTTGGACGCCAACGAATACACTGTACAATTTATACAAAATTGCTAAACTGATACAAAGGGACAACAGAAAAAACGTGCGTTTTCTATTTTTGATACACTGTCAACAAAACAAATGTGTTCAGGACAGTTCAGCAATACGCCAGCTAAGATTTTTAGCGGGTTACAATTATGAATTCACATAACACAATTAATTATGGTAAAAGCACACCAATTTTGCCATTAATTTAGATTGTTATTCGCACGCAAAAAGCTGCCATTTTAATACCAGTACTGGTTTGAAATAGAGTTGTTATCAGTAACAGTTGCGCATTACTGATAAGAGAGGTTTAAACAAAAAAGAAAAGAGCTTTTACAACTGCGTAATTGATGAATTACTACTACGCACGTGTGTTGCACAACTCCATTGTTAATAAATAAGTACACATTATTTGCAATAGTTATTAAATACACATTGAACTGAAATAAATACTCTACTATTATTGTGTATTAAATAGCAACTATCCATGTTTAAACATGCCGTAATTATATGATAATCACAAAGTTAATCTTGATTTTAAAAATATTGTAGCAACTTTTGGTTAGGCAACCCAAATTACACATTTTAAAACTTGGTTTCTTCAAGAAAATCCTGAATTATCGCTAAGAAAGGAAAATTAACGTGATTTTCATATGAAAACATTATAAAGTAAGGTCAATATTTAAAAATGTAATAATAATCCATAAAAATAATACACTAGTACGAGATTCGTTCAATAAATAATCAGTTTTAACGAATAATCTCAGCAGACCAGCCGCCGACGACTGGCTGCAACATTACAATCATTATTCTATCCATATTTATAGCATAGTTTCGAGCATTCCACACTACCTCATCGTCTCTTTGCTTGCTCATTCGTCATGAATCGTGCACATTAACAAATATTTAATAACATAGTATATAATAATGATTTTTAAAAAAGACAACAAATGAATACAATAAAAAAATGAGGATAAAAAGTAATGCGTACATCTAAAAAAACCTCTAGAAGAAAGACACTCCGTAAAATCGTGCGCGTGAGCGATATAACCCAAGGAATGTACTAAAAATCTTGTAAAATTGTTATTTTTGGTGTTAATAATTGGTACGATTATTATCATCATGTTGAATCATGATTTTGTGTGTGTGTGTTGTTCTCAATAGACAAAAGGTGGTACAGAATCAGTCTTAATTAACGTATTGACAGGATACATTCAACATTCAAAATTTAAAACAGACGAAAAACCACCAAAGCTGCCACGATAACGACCGGCAATAAAACATTTAATTTTGGGCACTTCTTGTTCAATATTCATCTCTTAAAATATAAACGTTTATGTACAGCATTGCGTTTTCGAATTTTCCACAAAAATATAATCCGCTGCGCATGCATTCGAGATTATCCGAGACTTTAATAATTAGTGGGCTTTATTGTTTATATAAATATTAATAGTTATTCATTTTTCATTAATTTTATAAGAACGCAATGTCCCCCGCTATGTAATTTCTTCACTTTTTTCTGTTTTAACGCATTAGTAGTTTTACTTTAGTTTTGATTTCTTTCATTTCGACTGCCGATGATGGGACAAAAGAACGTCCATGAATTAAAAACCTAATGACGCTCGGAGAAGCGATCAACTCGACTCGGGTACGTAGATTTCGATACTCTCGTTGGGGACGGCCTTGCTCATCGCATCTCGCATTGCTTTCCGACGCTGTTCGATCATCTGCTTGCGTTGCGCTTCGCGTTTTGCGCGAGCTTCCTCAGCGCCAGCGCTGCGAACACGTGTTGCTGCGGGAAGATTAACTTTTGTTCGAGATTTACCTTTGTCGACTGTGTCAACGGGCTTTGACTATAAGAAGAAATAAATTTTATATATTTTCATTATATAAATGAGTAAAATTTAACTTACAATCACTTCCTGCCAATTATTCGCTCGTAAAACATCTAATTCTTTAAAAATTGAGTCTATCTGGTCCACCTGGAGCATTACCATGTCCCAGAAACCTTGGAGGTCTTGGTTTGTTGTTGGGAATGCTTCACCTTCAGCCTAAAAGTAAAAATTGCAATTTTAACTAAAATTTCTTTAAAAATACTCAATTTTTATGTTTAATTATAATAAAATCACCAACCTGATTTAAATTGTTTGTACACAGCCCTCGGAATTGTTGCATCTTTTGTGAAACCAATAATCTCGCTTTCCCAGCAGCCGAACGCAAGAATCCCTTCCCATTTTCATTCAGCTTGCCTTCACCAGCATCCAGTTCTTCTTCAGCTTTATCAGCAAGTTTCAGCAGTCGTACGGCTTCATTCTCCAAAATTCGCAGGAAATAATGCCCGTCCTTAACATCTGCACACCAAAAACAAAGAATATTCGTAACTCGAACAAGTTTAACATTGCCAGCATAGAGTTTTAGATAGTATCCGAAAAAGACGAGTCCGAATAGAAATAGAAACAAAACGAGCAGCATGTCGATCTCGCGGTTGCTCACGCACAACTAAACTACTCTCTGCAGGACTGCAGCGCGGTGAATTTCGAGAGGCTCGGCCGCACTGAGACGAAAAAATGCACGATGGGCAAGTCCTAATAATTGAGCTTACGTGTCGCCGTCATCTTGAAACAATTAGAGAATTAGTGAAGACCAAAAAACTCTCGCACGTGGAATTTATCACCAGCACAGCCCGGCCACAAAAAGAACCAAGTAAAAAAGAATGTAGAAATGTGAGTGGTAAAGACTTGACTGATGTCAAGAAATAGAACAAATGACGAAAATAGAACACGTCACTTTCAAACATTCACATCAGAAAAAACCAACACTACATACCATCATCAACTGTCGCCACTGTGGCTATCTTCCCCACAGCCCCATTAAGACAATTATTATTCTCGTGAAGATGTTGATGTTCTAGTTGCTTATCCAATTTTGTCATATTTTCGTCATGAAGATGCACACCATTCTGCGAAACAGTTAGAACTTCAGCCTTGAGCATCTCTGCTTCAATGTCTTTGAGCTGCGGTAGTGTATTGCTCTTCTGTAAAGTGTCAACACCACGCCGGGGGCTAAACGTTGGCAATTGCGCGCGGAATTCAGGCGTAAGGTGTCTCAGCACCGGTAGAGATGGACTACTAGCACTTTGTTTCATAATCGAATCACTCTCACCATCCGCATCGAGTAGGATTTTATCAGACATCGATTTCGAGTGTTTATCATTATAATCAACGTTCAAGTGATCGCACTGCACATGCGCATCTGACTCAGAATTACGCGACTTTTGCCGCTTCATTACGAAAAACCCCTGCGCCAGTGCTCCGGGTCCATACAAGCGCTCAACGCGTTGCTGAATAAACGATTTCGGTTCCGATGAACCGTTCACATGACCATTACTATTGCTATGTCCGTTGAGATGACCGTTGTAAGCACGACCGTTGCTTTTCTCCATGCAGGCATCCACACGGTCGATGTAGTTATATTTACGAGACGTTGTCTCTGTGGAAATAAACATCTTCTTCTTGGAGTAAAACTCCTCGTGATGATGGTGATGAGTGATGGTTCGTGTTCTTTCCGTCATTTTTTCAGCGTTTGCGCTCGCTGCTGATGCGAGTCGAAAACGATCGGTGAAAGGTAACGGCACCAAATTCGGCGGTGATAATAGATTATTCTGGATAGCGTACGTCAGGTGGTCGTTGTCGATAAGCGGTCGATGCGGTGACGAATCGCGGGATTTCGCTAATCGCACTGGATCGTAGTTGGTAATCTGGGAATATCCGTTGACTGTGCACGCCAAACTGAGGTATGACGGCAGGCGGTGTTCTTGTTGGGGCGTTAGTGATTTTATACTCGCACTGCGCAGCGTATCCACCGACGGATTCTCACACCAATCTAAAAGAATAAAATGCAAATCAGCGCATGTTATCGAAACACTAAGTAAACTAAGTGAATGTTGAGCGTTTGTTTGTGTTTAATTCAATTAGAATAAACATACGTTGATTGAACTCATTTTAATACTCGTAGAAGAAGAAGAGGAAGAAGAGCCGCCAGCGAAGTAAAGAGAACACTGCCTTTCATCTTTCACCTCGATGCTAATTAGAATTCGAACAAATTCGAAGAAAATCACACGCGCACGCCACTGGAGACTTGAAATATGAATGCAGTTGTCTCTTGTGGTGGAAAGCGATGTAGATCTCGAGATGTGAAGTTCGCGACTGCCCGATCTGGCAAAAGCGGGCGCAAAGAATGGTGTCGCCGCAATCCTCACACGCTCACATCGATGCGAATCGCATTCGAGCTGCGCTTAATTCGGCCGGCCTCACAAGCCATATATAATTTCACATACAGTGTGTTCACAATCACTTTGATCATATCCTATTGATATTCAAATAGAATTATTGGGTATTTGCATTGATTTTATTTTCTTTAATTTTTAAATTTTTAGATTTTTTAAATTTTTGAAGAAAAAAATAATTATTTAAATTATTGAGTTTCATGCAAATACCCAGTTTGATTGTTAATATAACACAGTGTATTATAATGAAAATGTCCACACTAGTGCAAAGTTAAAATCGATGTCGCGAAGGTTGCGAAATAATCAATAACGCAAAGTGGGAGTCGCGCAAAACTATTTTATTAGCGCCGACGTGAGACTCGCCGGCTCCACGAAAACAACGACTGCGAAATGTTGGAAGAAATCTCTACAAGAGTAAAGCACCAAAGTTCCAAGTTGTAAATCAGGCGAAATATTGATGAAAAATCAAAAATAAACTAAAGAGAAAACAATTCCCCAGTATTGTGTCATGTTGTGTTGTTGTTTTGTTTTCTACCTGATAGCAGTTCGGCGGACGCGTCCACATCCAGTGAACACGCCCCGATGGAGTCAACTGAGCGCTCCATATTGGTGACGCAGGACGAAGAGTCGCCTCGACTTTTCTCCTCCGCCGCCGAAGACGACCACTCTACCGGCGACTCAGCATCGCCGCCAACGCCAGAAGCATTCGTCGGCGTATCGTCGCTGCTCTCGCTCGCATCCGCTACCAACGAGGGGGTTTTCAGAAGCAGCGGCTGAAGGCCACACTTGATCTGTGCCAATTCACGCTCCGGAATCGGGGTGGCAGCCGGTGGCCGCGAGAATGTGTACGGATGGACAACGGATACGGGACGAGCACGGGTTGGCTGCGAATTATTGCTGGGATTAACATTTATACCCGTGGGTTTCGATTGGTTGTGGTTGGGTACAAGGGCGAGGGAGCGGGGACGGCGAGGGCGCGGTGGCGGTGACGTCGGTATCCTGGTGACGCCGAGCAGCAGCACCGTCGGCGAGCCGTCCTCCTGCGGCAGGTCGCTGCGTCGAGAGTAAAGAGAGTCATAATTGAGATGACCACACAACACACACAGAAACGCCAGCAGGAAGAGATATGAAGCAACACCACACAATTGTTTAAAACTGTGCATCGAGACGAAATAAGCGAGAAAACAGCGTAAAAAGAGAAGAGAAGCAATAGTGCAAAAACATTATGTGCAACAATCAACATTCACTAAGAACTAAGACAATCAGTGCATTATGCAACGCATTACAGTAAAAATGAGAAAAAACAACAAAAAATTGTTTTTATTTTGATGCAACATCTGCGATATTATTTAACCGATGCTGTTCGCGATGTGGCGAACGCAATTTATGGCATTTACAGTTAGTTGCCTGCATGCCGACGCATCAGATCGCACAGATGCGATGAGACGACAGCCTCCAAAGAACGAACGTTCGCATTCTTATTACTTGTGCGTCGTCGTACGTAATATTGAATGCCGATGCAATAAAATAAAACTTTACGTATGCATTCAGGCTAAGGTCAATAGCAAAAAATACAAATCATAATAAAATCATCAATGTGTTATGTTATCACACAACGTGTGACATATTTTATTGCTTGTTTTGTGGCTTGAGTATGTTTTTCTTATTAACTTGAACTCTTTGATCTTTACTTTCCTTTCGCCTCTTTGCATCTACTAATCCTGAAAGTATTACCGCACTTGCATGTGCATCGTAACTCGACAAGAAGTCAATAGCACCATTTGCGTATATCGGCATCTGCCAGCTCCTCGCTGCCCGAACCACAAATAGGAATTTATAAATAAATTTATCGCTCAAAATCACTCCCATGGCGGGGCCGGGCGCGCGCGCTCGTAAATGTCGCAAAATTAAGAAACAAAATTTAAGCCGCGCAAGAACTAAGCGTACTTAGCGCGCTAACAGCGGTATGGCTAATAAACCTACACGAATGAAACAAGCTCGAATCGGTGCGGTGGCAATAATTTACAACACTTGAGATTTGATTTAGTGAATTTAGAGTTGAATCAACATCAAAATAATGGAAATGAAAAACGAAAGCAGCCTTGTGCGGAACCCACACGATGATTGCGAATATGGATATCATTATAATGCGCACAATATTAATAGAATAAAATTTATTAATAACTGCGCATAAAAATCAAGTCATTTGATCAGATGTCTACCTACGAGTACTTGAAAGTGAAATCTTAATTGGGAAGAGAATTGAATATGGTTTATAGAAGTAATAAAGTTTAAATGAACATTATCAACTAGAGACAGATGAACGTGAGAACGAACATCAATGACGCTCACCGCATGCTGCTTTTATACCTGCGGTCGACCCACAAAAAGTGGTGGGGGTAGACAGAGTGGGAGGCATCTCCCCCCCTTCCTTTTTCAGGACAGCCGCAGGCTCTTCTCTCTTGGTATAAATTAGATCGCTGTTTTAGCCTCATGTCCATAAAATAACAACTATATCACAATGAGATGTTAAAACAAAAATGATAATCATTAACCGTATAGGACAATAAAGTAAAAATTTAATATAAACCATGATTTTATCAACTTTAAGCTCTGATTATTTCAAATTTTATTATTTTATATAAGTGTAATAAATTTTATTAAAACAATAAATACGCTGAGTAATTTCGCGAATATACGATTTTAATTTTAATCATGGCTTAAATAAACAAAAATTAAAAGTGAAAACTTCACTTTAAAGCGTTAGTCATGACAACACAAGAATTCGGAATTCCTTCATGCTTATAAATAGCAATGACACAAATGACATATAAATAAAACACTAAATATTCCGTAAATTACAAGTTGCCAGTTAAAAACCAGTTTATTTAACTGCAGTTGCATATAACTACTTATTTATTGTTGTGTTTAAAACCAACCCGCTTTATTGCTGTAAATATTTGTTACCAATTTATATCAGACCTAGTTTTTAATCCTCCTCAATTTGCATAAAATTAAACACGAAACAGTCTAAACCAAATAATAAAATTACATCCTTCGCCAATAAATCATGCCACTACCAGCTCATTATTTATTTAAATACGCATTCTCATTGGTCAGTCTGCATACTCTAAATTATTTGTTGAAAAGTAATTTTATTCCGATTTTTATCGTGTTGAAACAAAACCGATAATTATGGTAGTGGTGGGTTTTAGAAGAACACGAGTTTGTAATTTATGGTTTCATGTTTTTATAAATGCATGATTTTAATGTATTCCGCAAAACCTTCAACTACCTTTAATTAGTTATTAGTTATTTTATTTAAATTAACAATCGCAAATAGAAATTACAGATACAAACAGAAAAGAGAATGTAATTTTCTCAAAGCACGAGTAAAAGTCGAGCAAATTAAATTCGAAGAATGGCAAGGAAGAATAATTCGCTAATTTGCATATCGCTTCGGTGATTTTGTGTGCTAGATCAAAGGAAAACATTTGATTTGTTTCATTTTTAGTTGGAAAGCGTAGTAACAATAAACAGATGTCGGTGTAAAATATCGTGCAGCGTTAGTTGTGAATTTAGATGAACTTCTTTTTACCTCTGCGAGGTATTTATAGACTTTAGTAAACTTACGTTACTATTTACTACTTTTACGGTTCACTTCGTGAGGGGAAGTGTGATGATTACCGCGCACATGTTAATCACATTCCTTTCCGAAATAGAACTTTGATTAAAGTAATCAGACGAGCACATGTTTGCGGTCAATTTTAATAAGAATTTACCAATTTCGATTATTCATCCCATACTATGAGATTATAGAGTTTTACTACTGATGTATAGTCGTAACATCAGCAAAAGAATAATAAGACGAAGTAGAGTCTCGATTAATTTACAAATTACAGTTTCTCCGAGTAACGACGAAAAATATCTTCGTTAGATATATAATTTAATTAAGATTATACTTTGTTAATTTTTACTTTTTCTTGTGCCATGTAAGGTCGCCATGACTATATTAGCAAAACAATTGCTTACAATGAGTAATTGCAAAGTGAGAAGTCATTCAACCGAATAAAATTTAGTTTATAGTTTCTAGACATCGTAAACCATGATAAACGATGAGTAAACCACTAGAAAAGGCAAATGAAGTAAAACTATTTAAATTATATAAATAGTCATAATAAAAGAGTTCCTCTAAAGTTAATGCAATCATTTAAAAGTACATATTGCAATATAACGTAGCTGAAAACTACTATAGAATATAATAATATTAGAAGCCATTAATAATAAGTACATAAAAAGCCTGAAATTACCTCCAGAAGTTTCTGATATACTTCACTGATGTTACGCATTATAGCCCATTCGATTCATAGGGCAAAACTATTAGAACTGAACCAGAAACTGCAAAATAAGGTTTTGTTCTAACACTGCATCGAATTGCAATCGTACTCCCGCATAGCAAATGCCACGAAATTGCCTATTCTTTATTCTCTGTCGTAAAAAATTACCTTTTCTAAAATTACTCCTTTAAAAACCTTGTTTTAATTACAAAAATAATAAATTTTACGATTATTATCTATCAAGTCTCAGGTTTCCTCTTAAATACTTACTTAAACACTTTCAGGTGTATGACTAAGAAAACATAAAACAGTCCAAGACAAAATTAACGATTGTTACAAACGCTATCTACACAAAAGTAACACGAAACTATTGTAACCAACAAACTGGCTATATCTAACAACGGTTTCATTTAACAACGCTGTGTTCACGGCGGTTCAATTCTCGCAACGGTCGCATGACACTGCGAATTGTAACTGCTCCAACAACCAAACACGAACACAGACATATTACTAATCTAGTAGGTAGATACGAGTAGAAGCATATTCTATACTTTGTCCACCCTTGACGAGTGCATAAACTTCTTGCATACTCGTGATTTGTTTTTATCTGCGCTATAACACTGCCTGTCGTTACATGAATCCACGTGAATAGTTTCGCACGTTTCACCTAAATACTCAACACGAAGACACTTCGTCGGAATAACGGACATAGCGCCATAAAATGAATTGGTATGCAGCAAGTGCAAAGAATGTTTTTCCTGTCTGATTCGTATTTTTATTTCATTTAACAATCGGTGACCAACCAGTTAGTGTGCAGATGATATCGACCGAATAGATGTGAGGTAGACAGTTTCCGTATCCGTATCTCGGTTCAATAAATAATAAATAATTCAATGTCGCTGTGCATGACTGCACCGAGCCGAATCGAAGAGAAACACCGAGCTAATAAGCACTAAAAGCAAACCATGCCAAACGAAGTGCACGTTGAACATGGTGCAAGCGACAATGTTTAGTAGCAGTTGCGCTTGGTCGCGACATCGCCGAGTGGAACTGATCTGTCACTCCTGTCTGCCTGGCGGCGGTGTGATTGGGGTTTCCGAATGAAACGGAACCACGAAAACAAATGTTTCCTATCTGGTTGCTATTAATAGATGATTAACGGAGCGTGCTATTGTCGATAAATCATCAAAGGGAAACAAATTCAATTATTGCAGCGGAATTTATTATCTTGCAATACGGAATCAAAACTAATATTATAAATGCAAATGTGCGTTTGTTACGCATTCACGAAGAAACTACTGAGTGAATTTTTATAAATTTTGGTATAGTTATAGATTTGACATTGAAAAAGAAATAGACTACTTTTTATCGCAAAAATATAACTTACAGGGTGTTAAATTAGGTTAAAAGTTGGTATAAAGATTCAATCGTAGTTACAGTTGTATAAATCACATCGGGATGGCGTTATTGATGGAACCGGTATACAATTGATCCGAAAAGTAAAAAAAAGTAATTAATTAGGCTACTTTTTAATAAAATCTACGCGGATAAAAGCTAAAAATGCATAAAAATAATCAGAAAGTGAAAATTTGATGTTTCCATACGAAAAACCAAAGAAAAACCTTTTAAAATAACTAAAAAAAAAAAAACTCAAAAATAAACATCTTGTCATCAATAGTCTGTAAATACATCCAAAAATAATTTTCCACACTATATAAAACCCAATATCTCCCTAAAATCTAAATTATTTCTAAACAAATGTAGTCTGAGTGATGAAACGAGCACTATTTAACAAATATTGCACTGGTAAACTTCATTTCGCGTTAGTTCAACACCGGATTTTCGCACTTTACGCCTGAATAAACATACACACAGCTACATAGTAAATGCACGCAACTTGCAGCGTAGCCAAATTGAATGTTTTTAATGTTTGTATTCAATTCGCGTTCGCATTCGTGTGGGTTCCGCTCATGTGCGTGTTCATTCTGGCCGTAAACGCTCGAATCATTTTATTTACGCTGCGTCCTGCGGTGATGATTCATTCAAGCAAAACTTATATAAAACACACATAGGTAGTATTTATATTTATCGTTTATGCACCTATCGTTAATTATATTAACTACTACACAACGATTACGAGATACACAAATGTTATTCGGCCAAAAACTTTCGCATGCAGTGTTTCAAGTGTTTAAATGCTTTAAATTAAAGTCAAAAGTCAATGTCGGCGCGCAATTTGTGTTTTGGCACCGCACGCATCCAAACATCACCTCTAACCTTTTGATCCATCTGCTGATCAAACGATTCAAGCGTTTTTTCTTCCCCATTTTCGCCTCTCTGTCTCTTGTCACTTGTATCCTTCGCTTTGAACTTTCACACGTTTTAAATAATCGATGGTTATTTTTACCTCTTCATCGATAACAAATCTGCGTTTACTCAGGTTTTAGCTACCACTTTCGACGCACGGCTGTTGCTGTTAATCTCGTGTTGGCTAAAGTTTTTAACACGTTAGGAAGACGACACGCCGCGTGAATTTCACTCTCGCCGCAGGAATGTGCGACGGATGAACTTGCGTGCACCTCGAAGGAACAACCGAAACAAGCCCGCAGGAAGGCGGTAAGTATATATGCGACTAATGCTGAAATTAGATCGTGCGGCCCAGAGCGTCGCGGCGCGCATCGCCGAGACGCGAGGAATTCCCGACTATTTTTACATCGAGACGCGCGCCGCGTTGCAGGGCTGCTGCAACGGGCACTGCAGTCGAGGCGCGACAGCAATGCGTACTGTTTTGTACAGAAAAACAGCATTTCTGCATGTGCACACAGAGAAGTCATACATTCTTCACATATGCATATACAGGGTGTTGAAGGAAACTAAATATAATTTAATTTTTTCAACGTTTTAGAGGGTTTTTGAAGCTCAAAAGCTTTGAAAACAAAAAAGTTAATCAGCAATATTACCTACTACAATCGTACTTTCTATGTTATAAAAAATGTCATTAAAATTGAAGAAAATTGCGTTAATAAATCATTTAACAAGACATTAACATTAACATTCTACCCAAAGTTCACGAGAAACCAAATTAATCCTGAAATTGTTCAAGTTTTTCACACCAAAAACAGAATAGTCTTTAATTAAAATTTTCTTACCAAATCAGAAATCCTTATGCCTAGATAGGTCAGAAATATACCAAAGAAAAAGAGAAAAGTTCACGCAGTTTTTGCCCTGCGGTAGTCAATTAAAAACTAATGTCATGCACTCATGGTTACTAATATGCCATTCGTTCCAGGGGTGAAGCTAAGCTAATAAACTCAACCGGAAAATTGGAAACAAGTCTTTGTTCAGTACAAGAAGAACATAAGAACCGCTCCACGCACGTTGCAAACCGACTTACGCATACTTACATAAAACATTCATATCAGCGTGTAACTGATATGGTTGACAAAAAGTGCAAATTCAGTAAACATTTCAATGTGAACCAACATGTCATTAACAACTTTAACAACTGCTTAATTTTAAATTTCAGCTTGAAATTAAATTTTGTTTCTCTGATGTTAAATAAGTACTTATTTAATTTAAATGTTATTTTCTTGAATAACATTTTCATCTCTATTTTCCTGATAAAATTAGAAAATGTACATTCCGTGTCATTTCAATCTTTACCACGCTTATTAATTTTTATTTAAAATCATGTGCGTATGCTTTGCAACACTATTCGACTTAGCAAAGCATAAAATCACGCAATTTGTTTACAATACGTTGCGTTTCCGTCCATTTCCGGATGTGGCGCAGTCGCGTGCCAATGTGCATCTCAGCAACAAATAAAAGCAAAGAAGAACGATGCAAGTTTTGCGTTTTTTTTTTTCTAATTGCGTGATGCGCAATTAATTAAACCGCAAGTACCGTTGTGTTTTAATTTATTGCCACGCCAAAGAAGACACGAAGCTTGATTTTCATGCGGTGCTAATTAATAAATTACTATTTTGCATAATCAGCTCTGGTATAAATAATAATAATACGTAAATAAATAACAACATCGCGTGTTAAATACGGCACGTACGTTCACATTAACAAAATTCAAATTAATTAATTAAAGTAGGTTTTTTGTGTTGAATTTTGATGGAAATCGCAGTGAAAATTGCCCCTGGCGATTAGGCAACACATATGCCACATGTTTTTCTGTTTGTAAAATTCAAACAGATGTTAGAATTCTTTCGCAAACGATCACAACTTACGACATTGCATGACAACAACATCAACTTATAACAAAATACCTAGAAAAGCAAGAAGCAACTAACAAAAAAAATAACACTGTGCGCTATGGTAACTAACTGTAACTGTGTAGCACAAGTAACAAGTAACAAGCAACGACGTTTGGTCGTTTCTCAAACAAAACACGATCGCCATGACTCTACGCCTCTCCGGCCATTGCCGTGCTCGTTCGCAGCGATTATGATTTATGTTAGAAGGCACTCACCTAGCACCGCTCTTCTCCTCCTCGGGGTCGTGCCCGGTAACGCACGCACGCAACCTCACGCCTGATTCGGGATGATGGTGATTCTCTCAGGTGGCCGATGGATGACAGGGTGTGACCCACTTCGCTGGCGCAGCGCACTGCACACCGACCGGCTGCTGCAAGAGAACCGCAAGATCCCACGTTTTCCTACGCTAACGTGCTGCTCGACCCACACGCGGCGGACATTTTACCATAGCGGCTGATTGCGGCGACGCACGACGTGAACATTCGACGCGACTTGAGTGACTGTGCCGAGCTGAGGCGCAGCGATGAGGAAGCACACAGCAAACAAGTGCTGCACGATGACGTCATTCCAGTCCATACTGGTGGAAATGCTTGTAGTGGTGTTGGTGTTGTCCGGAGTTCAATGTATGCGCATGCGTAGAATAGTTCTTCTAGAAATTGACAGCTAAATCGTAAAATTGAATTTAAATTTACAGAATAAACGTGCAGAATGGAATCTGCATGTGAAAATGAACTTCAATGGCATTCGCTTGAAAAATTTTACAAGACGTAAGTCGCTTTGCTGTATTTCTCATTCATATCTTTGAATTTTCAAAGTGTTTTGTTTATAAGTTTGGAATTGTTAAACGAATCACTGGAAAACCATACAATAGAACGTGCAGATGTATCAAATCAACTAATGGAAGCAATCGATATAAAACAATCATTGAGCCTGATGAATATATCCATGACTCTCCACCAAAAAGTAAGAAATCAAAAGAAATAAATTGTTGAATTTCAAAATGGCTGCTGTCGAATTTCAGACGCAACTCGATGCAATCGCAAACACATTAATTACGTTGATGAAAGAAACTTTAAAAAGAAATCTTTGTATTACAAATGTCACTGAGTCACCAATCGTACCACAAGAGCCATTAAAAGATGCTTTGGAAGATTTTTTATGTACACCACGCGCGCAGGGGTTTCAAAGCGTGTGTGGCATGCAGGAAGATCTGGAACTCTTCAGCGCCATGTTTATTCTGCCAATATACCAACCGCAACTCTTCCAACACGAATCCACACATCGCAGCCTTCTTCTTCACGGTCCACCTGGATGTGGTAAAACACAACTTGTGCATGCGCTTGCTACAGAACTGAATGCAAAGTTATATTGCCTTACACCAGCAAATGTTATGTCTCAGTTTGTTGGTGCTACTGAAAAGTACGTATAATTTGTTTTACATAAGTAAAATGTAATTTAATTGTTGATAATTAGAGTTGTCCGAAAAGTATTTGAGCACCTGCGGAGTAGAACTGATCCTGTGGTGCTTTTCATTGATGAAGTAGATGCGTTTTGTCGCACGCGAAACGACAACGAAATGGATCACTGCCGCCGGTTGAAAATTGAATTCATGGAGCAGTTGGATCTCTGCACTACAACCAACTCAAAACTGATTGTGGTAGCTGCTACAAATGTACCCTGGGATATCGATAGTGCAATCGTACGACGTTTTGAGAAACAATTGCATCTTGGCCTACCACAAAAAGAACAACGCAACGCATTATTACAATTTTATCTAACTGAATCGTACGGACAATCGTTTCCACCTACAATTATTCCTTCTTTTGTTAATTCAGAACAGTGGCCACTATTGCTTGATCTCACCGAAGGATATTCCAATTCAGATTTAAAGCAAATCGTGCGTTGCGCTAAACAGAAACCAATTCTGGAGCTTGTTAGAGTAACAACTTGGAATTTAGAAAATAATATGTACATTCCTTGTTATTTGGATGCGAAACCTGGAAATATTTCATGTTCGGTGTATGATTTACCTCCATCGTCGGTAATATCTCGTCCTGTGAACATTCAAGATTTACTAATCGCAGCACAAAGCATTCCACGCACTGTAAGCGATCATGAAATCTCAAAATTTCAGGCGTTTGCGTTAAACGCGCGTTAACTTTAGAATAATTTATTTTTTTGTCTTTTAGCGTCTCGTACACGCGTTTTTGTATGAAAAAATGTAGCTTAGTCTGCTTTACGTTTAGTGTACGCTCTAATAATGTTATTGTTACAACAACTTCGTATATGCAATTATTGTATAATCAAAAAATGTAAGTTTAAGTTATTAATTGAGAATTTGTATAATTTTATCATTGTATCAGCTGTTAGGGCTCTATCTATTTGTGTAAAATGTTAAATTGGTGGGCATTTTTGTTTCGTTTTTCAATATTGAGCCGGAATTATCAAAAATCTACTACGATACGCCAGTCTCCTCGAATGTGTAAAATCACATTGATTGGAAGAATTCCTTCCAACACTTGCAATTTAGTTTTGTAAAACAATAGAAAACCGATTACAAGGCATTTTGTTCATTGAATATTCGAAACCAAAATCCACTTATTGACAATAGAGTTCTCAAGACGGAATTACCAGTCCCCACTCATCTGAGATCAAGTCCGATTGGTTTCAACTGATTAGAGCCCCACGATCAACTTAACTTACATTACGCAAACATTTACAAGTATTAACCCTTATCGCATAAGTGTTTTCACTAAGATTATTTGTGTTTGTTGTGTACTTTCAGTCAAAAACCTAATTGCTAACGAGTACGTTGGTGCTTCATTCGTGTTTCGTGTGTGTGTGTGTGCATGTTGTTACATTAGCCGCCATCTTCGAGGCCATTTACACACCTAACCTAATCTTTAAACCTCTAAACAGTACGGTACATTAGTACAATAGGCCGCCGCTCGCCATCTCATCGTTAAATTTACATCACAAACTGAACAAGAATAAATTAACAAACAAGTAACTGAACAATCTCCTGCGGGGCGACCGATATTTACACATTCATAACACTACTACGCCGTTCGACATCACACCATTCACAATGTTGATTAATATTTGTTGTACAACTAAAATGTTTATATGTGGGTTTCTAGAAACTGCTCACGCTACCAGTGTCCTGCACATCCTTCAACTGAGGCGGTCGGAGTGGAACAAACGGTGGTTCCAAGTCGGGAGCGCTGCCCCATTGACATACCATCATTCTATCATCGTAGAGACTAAAACGCGCTGAAGAATCCTTCGCAGCTTTCCCACGCGTCCTCCGCACTGATGGTGGAACATCTCCAGGAGTTTTCACTCTTTCCGAAGGGTTCTTCAACCTGGACAGGTCACTTGTAGAAGAAAATACTTCAGAAAACTGTTCCAAAGATCTTTGTCTAGAGAACGCATCGTCATCATGTATTAAAAGCTGACTTATCCCAGAAGTCTTCATATTAACATTATCATGCCGCGATGGAAGTAAAGGCAACGTCGATGGACGTTGTTTTTCATTTAAAATCGTCGTCACCGCCTGCTGATGCCTCCCATTCACTAATTTATCAGGCGCAATTGTAACCTGTGTGTCTTTCCGTACGATCCGCCCCGTTTTGAAGATTTTCTTCAACCCGGACCAGCGCCCTTTCGCTGAGGATTTCGACGAAGCCGGCGTCACTTCAACATTGTTATGTTTAGGCATAATTACATTACACTCGCGTACGCAGTTTTGAACATACGGAATAGGCATAGCTCTATGATTAATCTGATGATAATTCAGATAATCGTTACTGATTAGATTCTGCGATTCAGAGCTGGTGCAATGTTTGGAGGATTTATCAATTAAAAGACTATCGCTTGAACCAGTCAGTAAATTACGCTCCATGCATGGATTTCTTCCCTGATAGGGTTGTAATGGTGTGATGCATGTGGCCAACTCATTGGAATTCTTGCAATACTCTTCTGTTGGCGAGAGAAGAGTCTCGATCGTTCCGATGGAAGCATCAATGTTATCATGTAGGTGATTGTTGTTTATCAGTGGAGTTGGACTTGAAGGTTGATGCATTGGATGCAGGAATCTTCCTTTTAGATTCGGCAACTCTAGAAGTCTTTCTACAACGCATAGTGATGTTAAACGAGCTTCTGCATCTTGATCCCAGCAATCCTCGGCTGTTTCAGCTAAGAATCTCGCTGGAGCTGTGTCTTTCCAGCTTGCAGGCCACAATGGTCGTGCTTTATGCCGACTTACAAGTGTCTGCATCTGTTCCAGTGTTGGACGCTCACCGATTTCTTTCTCGAATGGCTGTGCATACGGCGCTGGTTCAGCGTTTTGCATATCAGTGCACCGCGTGCCCAACTCCCACAGGATCAACCCGAGAGAGTATACGTCTATTTGTTTTGAGTGCACTCTCACAATCACGAAGATTAACAGCACCTTCTAGTACTTCAGGTGCCATGTACCGCAGAGTGCCTGCTTCACTCAAGGAGCGATTCTCGGTTTTGCGCGGGATTACAGCCAGGCCCAGATCGCATATGCAACAGGATAGATCAGCGCGCACGAGGATGTTGCGCGTATTCAAGTCACGATGCGCAATGCATGCTTTGCCTATATCCGAGTGCAAATGAGCTAATCCTTTGGCGACACCAAGCGCCATACGTGCGTGTGTTGATAAATCAAGTGTATGCTTCTTTAGATACTCCTGCAGGCATTCACGCTCCATACTAAGGATAAGTCCATATTGAGGTGTACCGTTTGGAGTGTTAGGCAATTCACCACCACCGAAACACTTGACAAGCGCCATGTTATCACCAGCTTCTTTGTACAACTCGTGTTCGTTGAGGAAATAGTTACGATGGTGCGGCCGGAAGACTTTTACAGCAACGTCTTGATCCTCGATTGTTCCATGCCACACATCGCCATATCTTCCTTGACCTACACACAAATGAAATATTTAATTATTACATTTTTCACCAATTGTTTAGGATGAGTTAATGTACCTATAGTTTTAATCAAATTCAACTTATTTAAGTTAAACTGCGGTGGTGGTGATATTTGAGTATCACCCATCTCAATGTCACTCTTCACAGGTCGTAGTCTCCAGAGAATCAGAGTGACGAGGATGATAGACAATGCAGCTAGTGACACAAAACCCCAGAAGTATAGCGTCACGGAATGTCGAGGTAATGCTTCTGTAGGAGGTGATGGTGAGGGTATTTCTTTCGCCGGCACGTAGGAGAAGTTATTGTTGCACATGTTACCGCGACAACAGCAGAACATTGTATTATTCATCGCCTTCGTTGGTTTCTTATCAGCGATGCACTGCGATTGACAATCGTGCGAGTCTCCGGAGGATACCCAACATCCTAACAAAAAGCAAAAAAGTTAAAACTATTTTTCCAATGAAAGGAAAAAGATCAAAACCTATGATTACCTTGTCCGAGGATGTGAATAGTCCCATTGATAGCATCCTCCGTCCAGAAAGTATAACAATGGCTATTTTCACTCTCACAACGTTCGAAACCACTGCCATCATCCTCAGCAGCGCCACCCAGATCATCATTGAAATTCGCCGAGTGACTTTTGTGTTTAGCGCATACAATCTGCGAGTCTACACCGCCTAGATTACTCGGCATCACTGCCGACACAGTCGCAAAACACACCGCTGCTATGCAGACGAAGAACCCGCACGTCGACCTCATCTTCATCACGCTGCGCATTTGATTGTCGTAATCAAAACTTCAGCATATCAGCACTCAGCATCAAGTCATATTGCGCCATCTGAAACAACAGCGATAAAAATATGGTGTTCGCGAAAAAATCAAAGTACAAACAAATATTCAACATACACAAAAATAATTATCATTAATGACTGCATGCGCCGTGTGTGTGTATTTGTGTGTGATTCGCGAACGAGCGATAACAGTAACGTAACAAGCGATGAAAATGTTTATTATTAGACGTGTCGGAATGCTTGATGAGCGATTATAATATTCGTAATTGTTTGTTGTGTCTGGCTCGCGGACGCGCACACACATGCAGCGCAACTGGAAAACCGGTCGTGCGGCGATAGACGCGACTTCGCACATCGCACTGTGTAGATAATAAATCAAATCGCATTTGAGACGGCGTCTGCTGAGACGTCCTCGTCAGGTACTCATGCACACAAAACAAAACAAAAAACTCACCGGGTGATCCACATTCGCGACCAAACAATAAACACAAACGATGTGTCCTCGTATGAATTGTCCTTTTGCAGCACGCAGTTTGAGTAACGATTATCCGGGAGAGCGCAGCCCGCTTTTGTTTTGCGTCCGACCGCGAATATTGCAACACGATTACGCCTACGCTGATCCGACGAACACACCGATCCCGGACGGTAGCATTACGCTTGTGATTCTCGCGTGTGTGTCTCCTGCGCCGCCGAAATCGAAAGGTAGTGCAGTGTGTGCGGATGGATGGACTCCAACTCCAGTCGGAGTCGCGGTCGTGGTGTGGCTGGATCTGCGCTGGGTGGTGTGTGCGAGTGTGAGTAAATGCGCAGCGCCGCTTCGCGGTCACGTGACCCGCCGCCGTGACCGTTCGCCGCGCTCGCCGCTCGCGATAAAACAGGTCCTCCAGACAGGCGCCACCGGCCCATGCACGCCGATGCATGCCGGAGTAAATACGGAACATACAGGGCGTGCACGCGTTGATAATCGCTCTATCCGCCCATCAAATTGCATGCGGTGTCTGCGTGCGATGATTCACGAACCTTTTTCGACAGCGCACAACAACAAAACAAATGAATGCAGGCGATGCAAACAAATGCAAGTCATGTTTTACATAGTTAGGAAACAAACCGATTGTTTTTTTAAGTTGGTAGTACTTTTCGTGCGTACTCGGTGGAAATATCGGTTGGACGTGCGAATTTTTTTATATTTAAACCCGTGCATATTCACGGACTCGTTCATCATTCTCATTCAATGCTCGTACGGTTTACACACAGGAAACACGCATATTTTCGTCATACAGTTCCCACAAGCCGATAACAAAAAACGGACTTTGAATCATATTTTTATAAACATTATATAGCCTGTTACTTAATTTATGTATTAAATTGCATAAATTTTATAATCTCACTGGTTGTTTTGCTTTAATTAATCAATAATACGCAATAATGCATATGATGAGCACAATACACACGCCGCAAATGTTTGAGGTTATGTTATTGTTAATTTTAGAAACAAGCAAAGTGAAGCTACAACCACACTGGTCAGTTGTGAATTAATTAGTAAGTAAATGAATAAAACTGACCTTAACTCATCCAGCGCTGTGTATTTCCGCAACTCTGCACCCGAGCGCACGGAAATGCTCAACCACCAATGCTTACGATCGTAGTATGCCACCGAATCATTAATTATATTGCAGGTTATTCTGGGTTATTGTGTTCGTAACCATGGTAATCGCCACTGCCAACATCGGCGGGGCGGCGCTGCGCCAAGTTCGCAACCTATTCTGGACGAAATCGAAGTACGTACATGCACATTATAACAACAGCTTACAACTAACGCGCGAATATGAAAATGCAATCCGGCAATCAAACGATCGATGAACCCACGTCGCGTGCTGTGTTGCAGACCCAATTTCGGCAGGTACGCGATCGTTACGCCCGGCAATGTTTCGCCCAAACTGCACGTCCCCGACCACATCGAGAAACCGACGTATTACTACGATGGCAACCCGCAGGTTGGGCCTGAGATACCGGAAATCAAAAGTGACGCGCAGATCGTCAAGATGCGGGATAGCTGTCGCCTAGCGGCGAATATCCTCAAAGCAGTCGGAGATACAGTTAAAGTAATTATTAACACATGTCATAACCTTGAATAGTATTAATTTTTGGTTATGTTAGGTGGGTATGACCACCGATGAAATTGACAGATACGTCCACAAGCTGTCAATTGAAAACAACGCGTATCCCTCTACATTCAACTACAAGAACTACCCGAAGTCGTCTTGCACTTCGGTTAACAACGTCGCATGTCACGGAATACCCGATGATCGACCATTAGAATCAGGCGATATAATCAATGTCGATATTACAGTAAGTCAATAACAATGTAAAATAAAAAAATGTTGCATCTAATAAATAATTTGATTCGCGTCCAGGTATGGTACAACGGGTATCACGGCGACTGTTCGAAGACATTCCTCATCGGGGACGTCGACGAGCAAGGCCAGAAACTAGTCGCAGCAAGCGAGCAGTGCTTAAACGAATCGATTCTCCTCTGTAAACCAAAGACGCGCTTTAGTGCCATCGGCACATTCATCGAGCAACGCGCCTACGAATTCGGCTTCTTCATCGTACCTTGTTTCCTCGGCCATGGCATAGGAAGTTACTTTCACGGAGCGCCCGACATCTTTCACTTCAGTAAGAAGTTTCCACAAAATTATTTCTATAAAAATAATAATTTTAAAAATTTGTTAGCAAATGAGTTTCCTGGTGTAATGATGCCCGGGATGACATTCACAATCGAGCCGGTATTGACTCAAGGGTGTCGCGAAGTTGAGATCCAGGAGGATAATTGGACAGCACTCACCGCTGACGACGCCCGAACTGGACAATTCGAGCACACCGTGCTTATCACAAAAGACGGCTGTGAAATTCTCACACTTGCATCCTAGGAATATATTCACATTCATATTCTTGCTTCAAGTAATGTCTGCAAAAGATAAACAAAACGCTACAGAAATCTCGGTACGTTTCGAGGAAATGACACCGTTGCGTTAACAGATCTACTTAATGTAATAAGAATTACTTTATAAATGATAACTATTTACAGTGTACAAAGTGAAACAGTTGTATGGGTTTCATTTGCGTTTTTTTTGTATTTTGTCGTCGGTTGTATTATTAATAACTGCTCCTCGTCGAATAACTTAAGAAAACAGATTCAACTCGTCCTGTCGGTTGTGTATTCTATGTACAAAAACAAGAAACTGCACTGCACACGCAGCGAGTAGTCGTTACAAATTCGTCAATCGCAGGAGTCGTCAAGAATTTGAAAATCACGTCCGTCCGTAAGTGAAAATAAGCCAACTGGCATCGCGGGTGCGTGGTTCGTGGGCACATTGTGCTCAAGTTCGATCAAATTTACAAAATTTTCATTATTAGTTGGCGTACGTAACAAAGTGAAAAATGGAATGCTCGATATGCACAATACAACGTGCGACGACAATAATTAGTGTAATTATTGCTCACGGTATTTGTTTAAAGCGCATCTTTTCTTTTTTAAATATATATCCGTAACCACCCCGCGTTTGTTTTGGTTATTTTCACTTACGCACAATTTCATAATAATTGCTATTTCATATTCATTTTCGCCATACTTTCTTTCGTTCTGCTTGTGTAGTAATAAATGTAAACTTATTCTCTTGTATGTATAAATATGTACAGTTTGCATTCATAGAGTTCGTAGCTTGATTTAGTTGCGATTGCTTTTTATCATCAACTTTAGTTGTTGTTCGGCTGGGTGGCATGCGTTTAACAAAAGGACGTCGAGGATCATCTTTTCATTTCTTTTTTTACAATATCTATGCACATGTACAATCACATCGCTCATCAATCTTACGCACACGCAGTTTTCACAAGAGTTTCGTTAATTTAGTTTTTTGCGAATAGAGAATGCTTATAAAAATAGATTCTTTTTGTACCATTTACGTTTTATCTCTCAGCATGTGAGTGAGTGAGTGTGTGGCGCATCATCATTCGCGTCTTCTGCGTATTTTTAAACTTTGAGCGCCGCCTTTTGGAAGCACAGCCAGCGGCACACTTTGCACATCAAATAAAATCAGTGAGTTGTTCCTCATACGCAAAATTTAACATAAAATAACAGCTTAAGTAGAAAAAAAAACACTTGATTTATGACGCGTAACAATTCTAAAACTTTTGTCGAGAGTCGGTCAAAGTGTGATCGAATTGATTTGTGTTAAGTCACAGAGAATTTTTGCGTTTTGTGAATTTTACACTGAAATTTCTGCTGGGTTTGCGCGACACGCTTGCATCCAGCTCCAAATTACCCGTAACATGAAACATGTAACTTATATAAATGTCGAGGATAGCTTGTCGATTGCAAATGTTATAAGTAGCACTTAATAAATTACCTGAATACTAATCATTTAAGTTACAAGAAGGCAGTCGTCGCATTGCATCAATTCGGAGCGTCCGTCAAGCGGGCGCGACAAACACCAAAACAGCGCGCGTAAAATATTAAATACCTGAATGATTGCCAGAACAGCGAAAGAAGGAGATCCTGCTTAACTAATAATGGCTTTCTCGTCTCACGTTTAAAAAGTATATATGTGTGTGTAACTCGAGGGCTTGGGGGCGGGGTGTAAGGAGGGTAAAAGTTAACGCAGGTGAATGCGTGTGGCCGCCGCCGCCGCCGCACGACGGGCGCATCACGTCGAGTCGTCGGCGAACAACTCCACTCGGTAGCGATTGTACACGATGTACGGCGTCAGCGTGAGGTCGTTATTGGTAAGGACGCGCGTCCGATTCCGCACCACATTATCACCGCGCCCCATCAGCCACTCGTTGCACTGTTTGCTCTGCGCATCACTCACATTCACGGCCGCCCACCGCTTGCACCAGGCGCGGAAGCGCGTCGACTTAAATTTCGTTACAGCTGGATGAGTCTGCAACAAAAAGAAGATAGAAGAAAAATAAAACAAACACGCGCAAATCATAAGGAGGGCGGACGTGGTCAAGTGGATGGATGGTCAAAGACTGGGAGGTTTAAGGGGTGGTGTGGTGCAGCCGTACGCGAGAAAAGAAAAAAACAATAACGCGATCAACAAATGAAAGCAAGAAAATTCGACGACGCTTTGCACATCATATCCATCATGTTTCTCGACTCGTTTCTTATTCGTTTCAATTTCGATTATGCTTCGCCATCGTCCCGCCCGCTGCGTATTGTTTTTTTCTTAGCTCGGCGTGCTCCTCGGTGCGCTTCGGGAGTCCATCTGCTTGGTGTTCTGATAAGCAAGACTTAAGCGAAAGTTAACTTACTTGTTTGGCTCTGGTCAAGGCACTTCGTTTATACAGAAAACTGTCTTTATTCGCGACGAACACAATCTTCGAGTCGGCCGTGCTGAAGCGGCACTGCGTCTCATCGGACACGTCGTAGTCGGCGTGCTCGGTTTGATCGCGCTCGGGCGCACCGCCGCCGCCGATGTTCGGCTTCCGCTCCGGCTGCTCGTCGTCTTCGCCTCCGCTGCCGGCGAGCCGTTGAACCGCCGCTGCTGACGGTGCCGCCGTTGGTGCTCCAGGCTTCACATCACACTTTTCCTCGGCGTCGGCGCTCGCCTTATCGCTGTTGGACGTTGTGCTGTTCCGCCGCTTGTTCTTCTTGTTGTATTTGCGCATATTGCGCCGCAGGAACAACGGCGACAGTGGCTTCTGTTCCACGTTAGTGCAGTCCGCATAACTCTCCTTATAAGTGCTCCATTTCTTCGCATCATCCACCTTCTTACCATCGCCTGTATCTTCCGCATCCAACAACTCGACCGTCATCCGCCCATCCAACTTATAAATGTAGATCTTGTAGCAATTTTCCTCGTCGACAATGTGTTCCATTGCGCGCTGATATTGCAGCTCTTTATGTAGACGGCGATGTGCGGTTGCGCATGGTCCGCCAGTAGCGCCACGTTTTTGTTCCCTGGCAAAACGCTCCATCGCTTTGATCGCCAGCTTTTCTGTAACGCAGTGCTGCAACTGACGCATCGCATACTGAATTACCTTGTCCAGCGTAAACGCAATATACGCATGAATGCCGAACATTTCACGCAGTGTATCTTCATAGGTATTAGGATCGGTGTTACCATCTAGCAGGTTCTTCACCAGATCGAGGAAAGTTGGAAAATAGTCTTCTATTCGTATCTGCGGCTTAGGTTTCAGCCGTAGCGCGATTGCCGTTGAGTCTTTACGCGTCTTCGCCACTCTGCTTTCGTCGGCCGCCATCTTGGCCGCGCAGTCGTAGATTTTCGCCAGACGTTCACACAATACAGAATGCAGCCGCAGGAATAAGTACCAATTGTTGGTTCCCATAAATAACGTATATTCTTCATCCTGGTAAATTAAACACTATAATTAGCTAACTTCCCAAACATAAAATGAATTAAATTTGCCGGAATACTCACAGGATAGTTGCTTTGGGCATGCGCAGGCGCATCGGCGTCCTCCACTTTGATTTCCACATTGTCCAGAGAATGTTTGTCGTCCGAGTCGTTTTGATCACTCGTCCGAGGCGACTTTCCTGGACTAACATTGCCCTTCTTCTTGGTTTCTTCTTTACTCGAGTTGCTCGTAGGACTCTCGTTGCCTTCTTCTTTATCTTCTGTAAATAAACCAAGAATTTAATCAGTTTTATAAATAAACATGTTCTCGTTTATGTGATAATTTTACAACTTAATGAGAAAACACTACTCTTGCAACTGCTTAGATTACATCGTACAGAATTGGATTGTTGTATTAGTCACATATTACTCACCGTCTTCTTCCCGCTCGTCATCGCTGAGCTGCTGCCGCGGATGAAAAAACAAATCCGGCAAGAATTGCCGCAGCAAATGCTTGATCCGTCGCTTTTCCCCCTTTTGCACACTCGTATGTCGCTTCACATGATGAATGAGAAGATTGGCGGCGTCGTCCAGGATATTCCGATCCTGATACACTGTCATCCAATGCGGCCCCATGGGCACCTCAAGTCCCCGATCCAACTGTTCATTGCGCTCCTCCAGCGCTTGCTCAATGTCAGCGAGCATACTCTTCGACCGCAACGCTTTCGTATCGTTCTGCTTAAAATTAATCCCCAAATGATCCAGGCTCTTGAGATAGTTCTTTTCATTCTGCTCGCGCCAGATCTTGTTGAATCCTTTCTGCGCTTCCCGCCATTCCTCTTCTTTCGACTTCAGTCGTCGCAGAATGACCGGCACCGCCACAGCCGGATTACGCTTCAGTCCATCGATAATATCCTGCGCCTTGTCGCCGTAGATGCGCTTGAGTGCGCGCTGATGTAACACCGGCGAGGAGCCACCGAGGCAGTCGTCCAGGCGGAACTTGCACAGCTCCTCGGGGCTCATACGGTTCATCTTCTTCGACACACCTTCGAGAACACGTATCGTCGACGCGTTCGTTTCGATAACAACGTCCAGCTCGAAACGTTCGTCCTCACAGCGAAACATGTACTCTTCGTACTGATTCTTACGCGGACCGACGAATGAACTATCCTCGGACCACATGGGAAAAGAAACCCACTGGTTATTGAGCACTTGATTGCACAATTCGGTACGACCGGAGAACTTGAGACCTTCTTGCGCTGGCGGGATGACGCAGTACGAAGCGCCGAGGCGTTTCGCTGTGGAATAATCCACATCATGCGCAAGATCACCCTGTGGTCGTTCAATCCGCGCAGCTACATACGGAATAGCTTCCACTTCGTTCTGGCCGAGAAACTCACGAAACCAGCGCATCAATTCGGGGAATTTGCCTAGAAACGGTGTCACCAGCTGTACCAGCTCCGTTTTCGAGATGATCTCTTGATTGAAAAGCGACAAACATCGCAGGAAATTGTTGTAGACGTCTTGGGAACGCACAGCTTTACGAACCTACGCAACAAAAACAAAATATTCAAACATTTTTCAGAATTTTAAATTAATTATTGTGTCATACCTTGTCAAAAAACGCAAATTCCAATAGTGTACTATGTTTGCTCGCCTCCGAGAAGGTGACGTCGCGCAGGGAAGACGTTTTGTGCTTTTTCGGTGGCGGCGCGTCACGGGTCGGATTCGAGTACGGCGGCGAGCGTTTAATGGGCATCGCCAGATTGTGACTAGGCTTGTGCGAAAGATGATGCCGCTCCGGGCCCATATCCCGATGGTAGGGCTTGCTGGCGGGTAACTGTTTCTTGGCGTTGATATTACCACCGCCCCCGCCACTCACACTGAGACTCACGTTCGGATGATCGCTCAGTGCGGGCGCCGCCGAGATATGACTCGTCGCATCCGGTAGAAACTGACCAAATTCGGCGAGTAAATCGCCTTGATTCTCAAACAGTTTCGCCACCTGTGAGTACACCTCCTGCTCGGTGAGGTGTTTACCGCCTGCGCCTTGACCCTGTACTTCTTTTAGCGTGCGCTGCTCCTTCTGATACGTGTGAAGGATCTCGAGGAATCGCTTGTACTTCTCAGGTTGCCCTTGGAATCGATTCTAACAGAAAATTACAATTTTTTAATAAATTTTATACATTTTTAAAGTTGACAATAGAAAAACTAACCTTAATTTTGTTGACATAGTTGATGGCGTGATTAAACTCGACCGGTTGATTCTGCGGAGCTTCGCCATGACCACCCTGAAGAGCCTGGGTGACTGCTGCTTGCGCCGCAGACAACTGAAGAGTATTCTGCGCGCTGGCGCTGTTCGCGTGCAGCCCCGAATTCGAGTAGGAGTTGTTATAGCCTGCGTTGGCCGGCGGCGGCGTGGGCACCACGGTGTGCAGGATGGTACTCATGGGTTGCGGCTGTGGCTGTGGCTGCTGGGGTGGAGGAGGCGGCGGTGCCTGGGGAGGAGGTGCTTGGGGAGGTTGTGGGGCCAGCGGTATATTCATGGACGACACGTTACTGTGAATAATTGTGCCGGAGCCACTTAAGATCATTGACGGTTTCTGCTGCGCGAGCAGCGCCCCCGTGGGACTTGACGCACTCACGGACACGTGAAAAGCATACCCACTATCATTTCGCTGCACTTCGATTTTGTAACCGGGCGGTAGAAACGTGTTGAAACCGACGATCAGCTCCGGATAGCCGTGAAACAGGCTCGAGACGCGATGAATGACGCCGGGCGTGTCGATCGACTGGCTCTTAAACTCTTTCATAATGTCCAAAAAGTCATTGTACACTTGTGGCTCCTTGCCAAACTTTAGCTTCACCAGGTCGAGGTAGGAGAGCGCGTCCTCCACCTTGAGTTTCTGAAAATTGCTGCCGCCAGGTGAATGCTGCTGCTGTTGCTGCTGCTGTACGACGGGCGCGGGCGCCGGTGCGGCGCTTGTCGGCAGTGGCGCGGACGGTGGCGATGCGCCCTTGACGCGCACTTGCGGATGCCCACCACCGCCGGCGGAGCCAAGTGACTGCATCGCCGCCTGCGGCTTACCGGCATGCGGCGCCGTCGCCGCCGCTGGCATTGCGCCGTAGTTCACCGGCGGCGCGCTCGAGTAGATGCCCGACTGCATACCCTCGCTGACCACCTTCACCGTCGCCGCGTTCTGGTAGGCAACGATGCCCGACGAGGCGTTTGGCAGCCCTGCTGCGCCGCGATACGCGAGACCTTCCTTTGCTTGCTCGTCTGCGCGCACACGTTTCATTTCAAATCACATCTGAACGGCTGCAACAAAACAACACACACACACAAAAATTATTAAATGACAAACAGTCAAAAGACACACATAACCAAACTTGAATAAAATTAGATTAGTCAAAAGTTGACGCACGACTTTTGACTCAAAATATGTCGCAACAAACTAGTTTTGTTTTACGATTATTATAACCTATAGCATAACGTAATTTTCGCCGAGATCGAGTCATTGTGAAAGTCGTCTTCCCATGACTTACGTATTGAAAGTATTGATGAGTTTGTTAACAAGTCGCAACAAGTCGAAACACGTTCAATATAATACAACAATCGATTGATGTAAATAAAATATGAAGACAAAACGAAACACACAATGTTTGTAGCGAAATGTTGCAACTTGCGCAAAGGAGCTGGTAGTAGAATGTCGAGCGACCAATTTTATTAACACCTCGACTAACAACCGTTGCTCGCGCGTGTTGCGTACTGTTTGTTTATTTTACGCATTTAAACTTTCACGCTACACGCGAATTGAGAGTTGACCCTGAAGACGCGCAGCAACGCAAAACGAAGTAACGCACACAAAACAAACGAATATCAGTCATGTGCAAATTTAATGCAAATTAATACGTATTCAAGTTTCATACATACTCGCATGAACCTTGGCCGGCGTGTTATCAGAGTCGAATTTTTCCCTCGGCGGGTGCGGCCGTTGTTGTGCCGTCGTCGTCTCGCCCTCGCCGGCCGCACACGCATTATTCGTGCATCGCGGGCGCGCATCATGCTCCAATCCCGTCCGCCCGAAAACTGGACGAATGCGACACGAGAGCGGCGAACTCGCGCGCGCACACCTAGCAGCACCTCTACTATTATTCCGCCGAAACCCGAACAACGCGAACGCGCAACATGAAACGCGCTGTCTTTGTCTATCGGCATTCGGGCGACGGGTGCCGCGAGACGTGATGCACTTGTTTGGGCCGGTAACACCACTCACTCACTCACTCACTCACGTATACAAACAAAAGCGCAAACGGACGTAACACAGGCGGTGTGGTGTTGTGCGCGCCTGCATTGCGAGTGAGATGACTAGATGTGAGTGTGCTGTGTGACACGATGCAAGTGTGACGCACGGGCGCGCGGCCAACCCGTTCGCGATGCATAAAATCGTCACTGCACGCACACACGACCTCAGAGAACTGAACTCGTGCAGGAGCATGCGATGCATACCGCAATTTCAGTTTAAATTTATCGTCATATTAAAATGATGCGATGTATGTAAACAAATATAGTTTTTCCGACTCGGGCGTCTTCGGCGCAATTCGAATAATGGCGGGAATGGCACAGCACCGGTCGCGATGTGTTTGCTGGTGTGTGTTTGTGTGCAAGCGTATGCTCGGCGTTTTCCCTCGGTGAGGACGCCGAGCTCGCGATTGGCCGCGAAGCGAATCGATCGCAGGAGCGCGGGAATGCTCGCGCGGCGCGGGGCAGCGCGCCCGGCCTCTCTACGCCGCGAGCAAGCTTTATGCGACGTTGCCGCATCGCACGCCCGTAGAGGCGAGAATCGCTCGCGTTCCGCACGAGAGACCCGCTCTCGACTGTACACTCACACGCGCTCGTGCGAAAAGCGCACACATGCTCACACATTCGCACCGCCCGCTCGCACCGATACGACTTTTATCATCCGCGCGCGCGGCTCGCAACAGTAAACAAAACGCGAGCGCGCATCGCACCGATTTTTCGTTTGGGACTTAATAAAACCGAAAACAATTGCATGATGACGTCACACTGTAGTGATTGGCTGTGGTAGTGGTGCTGGTGCAACATGGGTTGCGTTTTTTTCCCCACAACGGCCGTTTGGCTCGGGGCCGCTCATCGCGAGCTCAGTTGGTGGCCGATTTATTTCGGTACGACAACTCCTCGTCCAACCAGCGTCGCCAACATGTGATCACGACCCAAAGAAAGTCGCGCAATGCGTTACGCTCCGGCGCCGCGTTGGGTGATCAACAATAAACAGCTGATTTGTTGTCTCGGAAATGATTGTTGAATTGCGTCGCGCGGAAATGGCGCACGCGAGGAAAGCGAAGACGGCGGGCGCGCGCTTCATCGGACGCACCGAATTAACCCAGTTGCGGTCGTCGCGTGGCTGCGTTTCGCGGGGCCCGCGTTCCCGTTTCGGCGTCTCGTCTCTCGTAATATGTACCAGTCGGTACAAGTACAAGATCATGCACCACTATCTTTTGTAACGACGCACACGGTTCGGGCGCTGCGCGCTCGCCGAGCTGGTCGCGGGCGGTGTTGCCGGTTCGCGCACGTATCCGCAACGTTGCGATTATAACAAACAATGCCTAAATTGGTACTAAAAAAACATCGTGGCCGTATTTTTGTTGTTATTTATACGCCGCCCGGATGCGTTTTCCGCCCGCAATTGCATCATGGACGCTGCGCTCGCACGCGCTGAGCTTTACGCAACACACAAAGATCAGCACTGGCGGCGGCGGCCAGGCGCGCGATTTTTCACCTTTCGGCCCGGTGCCGGCGGCGGCGAAAAGTCTTATCTTTCAGCGGTGAGCTTGCGTTCACTAAACGAAGAAATGCGGTCTGGGAGCACGCCACACCGTCGCATCTCGGCGCGGTGAGAAAATATGTCCGCGTTGCACTCACCTTAGGAAAGCCAGCGGTTGCTTCTCTCCTGCGACGAACCAGCTCACTGTAGCTAACACGCACTCCGCTAGTTTCGCATAACTCGGACACCTTTTTGCACTTGAATTCATCAACGTTGAGCACTGACACATTCTGTTGACAACCTCCCTCAACGATGACCGATTAGCGACTGGCTGCTTACACTTTTCGGAAGCTTGTTTGGGCCGGTCCACTGTTGTGGCGCGGCTCATCTAGAGTGCGCTCCGGCGCACCGGTTGAAACGCGTAGAAGCCGAAAACTTTCAACAAAACTAATCTAAACTACGCATAAATCAATAAAACTTAACTATAAGTAATTATAATTATTAAAATCTGCAAGACTTTTAAAATGTTTGCTTTAAACTAAATACGGACTCCCCTCGACAACAAGTTAGACTCAACCGGTAGGTTTGGTTCTAGTTCATAAAGTCGCCACTAGGGACGACTGGATTCTTTTAAACTTTGAGCGCGAAACAAACAAATTATTGGGAAATTACAAGAAATATTTGCAGGAAAGTATAGAAAACAATTTATAACTAATTAAAATGCGACGCACATATTAAAATGAAATTCTAAACAATAGAATTTTCAGCGTACATAAATTATTTTTACTAAAACATTAAAATTTAGATTTTTTTCAATAAAATTGTTAAAATATCAAACATTTTCATATATGCATTAAAATTGCATAAATAAAATTATCATAATTATAACAACGAATAACAGAACTGTGCATAATAAGCATCCACGTTAGACTACTCCTAATACAGGAACAAATTTTAACCATCCAATGAAACAAACCGAAAAATATTATTTCTTAAATAATATTTAACTCAAATAATCATAATCATTACTTATTCTGTTTAATATTACTACCAAAAATTCAAATTTTTAATTTTAACATATAATTTATTACTGCTTATGTGTGCTGACGTTATGCAACACAGATAACACAAAAACTCGAAAAACAACACGAAACAAAGTTGGCAAATAAGCCCAAGACACGTGTCCACATTGTTCCGCCGCCAAAACACATTATGTGGTTTTGTAAATTTGTCTGATTATCACTTGCACACAATCAGTTACCAATGTGATAACACGTCAGATATTCGCAATCCACTTGCTCCTCAACACTATAACTTCCACGACTTGTTAATTCATTCACAGTGATTTATTAATATTTCATTGAGTGAATAACTGTGTAAAAATGCGAGCTGGGCTTCCATTCACCGTGTTCTGCCTTGTGTTGGTGGCTTGTGCACAGGCAGGTCAGAAAATTGATCCAACTGAATTGAAATGTCTTGGTAATTATTTATAATAATTAATCATTTGATTAATGTAATTTAATTGGTTATGTTGTTAATTTTTCTTCAGTTTGTGAAAAACACTAGAAGAAGCACAGGTTTTATTGAGCAAAGTTGATCCTGATCTGAAAGTAGATGCTGGTGGATACAGACTTGACAGTGATGGCAATGTCAATAGAAAACAAGTTTCCCAGGCCACAAGTGAAATTTATCTATCTGAACTCTTGGAGGAGGTCTGTGGTAAAATGGATGATTATGTGAGAGCCACCTGGAAGACATCAGGTGGACTCACATTGATTAAATTGATTGAAGATGGAAAGATGACTCCTCTTATGGATAAAGTTGATATTATTCAAGATGGTGATCTGAACAAAAGCTTAAAATATTATGTAAGTAATAAATTATATTAATACCATTTATATTCTAAGGATTTTAAATGATTTTTCTGATTATTTCTAGTGTGAAACTTTGGTTGAAGAGTTGGAAGATGTAATTGTGAAAAATTTGGCAGAAGGGGCTGATAACATTGATATCAAAGTATGTTCCATTGCTGCAGGGTATTGTGATAAGAGATTACCTCAAAGTGAATTATAATAATACTTCAAAAAATGTACTAAAACATTCCAGATTGGTATAAAATACAAATATGTTTGCATTTTGTGCAATGATAATGCAATTTTGATAGATTGGTTGATTTTATAATATTTATGCGATTTCCATGAAACTGATGACTTAATAAATAGTTTACCATAATTATTTGTTATCACTTTGTTAAAATATTTAACTGTGCAGTTGATTTTTGTTGGAAAAAATATATTAGTCTATTGTTTCATGTTATTAGGGTTGCCTATCCCAACAGTACTATTTAGTTACTTCCTAGTGATTTTTGGCTTCTCCCGTTAGTATACCTGCACAATTTTACATTTTACAACTTGACATTCGCCTGTTTTCCGATCGAAAAGAATTTCCATCTCAAACACATCCTAAGTAAATTAATTTTTTTGCTCTCATAAACAAAATTAACAGTACTTTCATCTTCAGCTTTCACCAAGATGGCAATGTCGGTATTTCTCCGCAACGGAGCCCGCAGCTCAGGTAAAACTACACCGAATTTCCGCAAAAATATTACATAATTTTCATATTTTATGCATTAACTAACATATTACAAATGTGACAGTGGTGCTTCCCAATCTATTCAAAAACCAAAGCCTTGTCACTCGTCTTGCCGGCCAATACTCGCCGCTGCAACAAGCACTGAAGAAGGAAACCACTTTGGTGCAGAGGGTTAAAGATGTCTGCATTAAGTCCCCAAACAAGAAGAATATGTCCATGATGTCTGCACCAAAACACTGGACTATTGAGAGGGGACTCAGCATTGCATTGTATGCTTTTATTCCCACTGCTATTGCACTGCCAGGCAACTCAATGTTTGATGATATTGCTATCATTGGCATGTTGCTCCACAGCCATTGGTAAGTTAAATATTTTCATGTATAAACGAAATTATCACAAAAAAGTAATTTTGCAAGTACTAAAATCAAAATATTCATGATTTTCTGCTTTGAAATTCGTAATACCGTCGAAATCAAGACGAAAATATTAAAAATTTCGTTAAAATATCACAAAAAACTTAATAATTCACTAAAAAAATATTCTGTTTGCATATTTAGGGGTCTAGAATCAATCGTAGTTGATTACGTCCGCCCTATTCTCTTCGGCCACGTAATTCCGAAGATTGCCTTGGTTGCACTGCACCTGGTGACCATCTTCGCCATGGGCAGCCTCCTCTACTTCAACCACAATGACATTGGTTTCGGCCAGGCCGTCCGCAACCTGTGGACGCTCGAACCCAAAGGCACCAAGCAACAACAAGTTGCAGCCTAAATCAATCTTCAACCACAACTTCACATCGGGGGGTTTTAGCTAGTTATTCCCATCAAAACAGCACACCATCAAAATCGGGTAAAACAAATGTATTATATTTATATTATTGTCAATGTGTCAACTGGCCGCTTCGAGTTTGCCGAGAAACCAAAGCCGCTACGCGCAAATTCGACGAATTGAATATATAATTTATTATAACTCTTAAAAATTGCATTAGAAATCTTGTCTCGAATTGATTTCGCCTCATCTCTTTACCTGATACGCAAACATGATAAATACTTCGTTAAATATTAATTATTGTTTCCTCAATTTCGATTAAAATCCTGTGCGATATTGATTCGTATATATTCATATGCCTATTCGATATGCAATATAATTATTGTCTATTCTGCGTCCGTTTTAAACCTCGTGTGTGATTGATTGCCGCAAAACATTGTTTGTTAATTGTTAAGTTTCAGGAGTTTCGTTTTTTGTTTGTAAGTAAACTCTTTTTAAGATATTGAGCGTCGATTTCGTCTCTTACATCCTATTCTCACTATGTGTATTGTTCGCGTCTTGCGCTCGCAAAACGTAGATTAGTATTAAACGCGTAAAAGTTCAAATCGTTATTATTGTCTCGTTGTTGCTTTTTCTCGCAAATTTTAATTTTACTTCAATATGTACGCAAAAGGGATTGAATTTGAAAGGATTTTCGAAGAAAATAACTACCTAGACCTAGATTATTGCGCTATGCTAGGTCAACGCCGCGTTGTTCTGCAGGATGTCGTTGTAAAACGACCGCAGAGCATTCCACTGCGCCGTGTGCAGCAAAATATGCGGTCGTTTGCTCTTCATATGCGCGACCGCTTCCTCCGGCGTCCAGGAATTTCTCTAAATTGATAAGAAACAGAAGATTATAATTCTGTGATTGTTGTGGGTGTGTTATTGCTCACAGTCATTAAATAACATCCAACTAATGTTGCGCTGCGCGTCCGTCCGGCCTTGCAGTGCACATACACCGTGTCTCCGATTTCATTCTTTTCTATCGCTGTGGTCTTTGACGGCGACGGGTTGGCGGGGAGGTATTTTCTGATAAATTCGACACCGTCGATTAGTTTCTTCTGGCACGGCGTTTCGAATATGTCCGTGGTAGATAACTGCAGAAAGTTGACACCGACGGCTCGCCATTTCTATATAAACACATTAAATGAATGCAACAGCAATTTTGCTTTCAAAATGGCCGGTGTAATGGATGTGTATTAAGTCAATTATAAGTTTATTATAGTTATAAAGTAACTTAGTGTGATTAGCTTACCTCTTTATCATTAGCAAACCACAATTCGTAATCCTCGTTCATGGATATAACGGCCTTGACGTTTTCTTTCTCGATTAGCTGCAAATTAGTTAGCGAATCAATAAAGTTTGTTTTGTGCAGTTAATGTGTTTGTTTATATCATTATAGTCATAAATACAAGAATTTGTTTGGTTTTTTTTAAATAAAATCAATAAATCTTGAAATCAATCAATAAACTTTCTTGAAAATCTTTTTGTGTGTATTTGGTTGCCTAACTAATTCATGGTTTTTCAAAAGTTTCAAAAGTTTTTAAGTTTCTGGCATCGGGAAAAGATATTTACTCAATATTCTACCAAAGAAATTATTTACTGTTAGTTTTTAATAAATATGAGTACGTAAAGAATACTTGAGTATTGGAAATTTCCGCAAACTTTCTTTTCATCGCTTTCTACGTTTTGTCCAAAGCGTGGAAACAATGTTAACCTCAAATCAATAAAACAGCTGTATCCTATCCAGAGGGCATGAGCGACACGCTGCAAACCCCGCAAATGATTGACACCCCTTTGTACAGGTCCGTGCGCAACCACCTCCCCCAAAAACGCAATGATTTTTCACTCACCTCCTGCGTGAGATTCGGAAACGGCAGCGCGCCGAGAATGACATTCTGATCGACACGATCATACCAGTTGCGCTGCGTGAAACGCTCCATGAAGACGTTGTACATCAGCGTCGGATAGAAGGTGATCCGCGCGAACATCCTGCTTCTGTTTGCAGGCGGCAACCGCCCCCCGAATGCAAATACCGGCAGTGGTAGAGAGACGCCCACACACGCAGGTGTACAGATTACAGCCGCATCGCGGGACGTCGGGAAAAACACAAAGTAAGGAACCAAGAAAACAAAGAAAAACACCGGATTAACGAGAGCCCTTTCGCCGGCGCGCTGCTCACTCGTGCGGCGGTGGGATATCAGCCCGTGTGGCGACCGTACCGAATCATCCTGCTAACGGTGGCCGAACTACTGAAGTCGGACTGGGTCGCTGCTGCTGTGAAAGTGCGGCGGCTGGTCTTCTCTTTCTTCGATGTTTGCCGTCGGTGGTTTTCTCTTCGGTGGGTTTGCCGGCCGCGGTGCGCGCGTCGACGTAATCGCGCGCCGCGGGTTCACGGCTACGCGACTGGCACACATACTGGCCGGAAAGTGGGTCACGAGCCGGCACGCGCACAATGCGACACTCCGATGAAATGAGCAGTGTGAGCAGCGGGCGAGCAGTCGGTGGGAAATCGACGGAATCTAATGCCCATTATGTCGTAATGACGAATATCGATAAAATCCGACAGGCTAGAATCAAAAAGGATTAATATTTTTACATTAATCAAAGTGTGCTGGTAGTACAACAATTGTTTTCCGTTTCTGCGCAACGTATTTATCATTTGTTTGTCTATAAACATGATTATTTTCAATTTAACCTTTAAATTTTGCAATTTTAACTGCGCAGTAAAAAAAACTTTAAAAAATTTGTTTTTTGGTAATACTATCGCGAATAATGAGAAAACTAACTACAATGAATGATAAACTACACGATTTGTGAAGTTTTACATAGTAAATGTAGTTTTAGATTAAATTGTTAACAATGCACTTTAGCGCCATCTCGTGTCAAGTTATCGAACTATACTCACTTTGAGCCCACTTTTTATACAACCATTGATTTACTTTTATCCAATCTTCAAGTTATATTTTCGTTACCAAACTTATTAGCTGAAAATATTATCAATATTAGACCAAACGTTTTACAGCCAAAGAGTTACAAACATTTTTTGAAACAACCTTTATTAATTTTTTTTGTGACTTAGTTTCTTTTTTTTTGTAGTTTTTCAGTTTGATATTTAAGTGATCATATTAAATTTTCTTCCATCTGTAAAAATATTTGACTATTTCGATAAATCCGCGCACGACCACAACCACCGCTGCAGTCGCACACCATTTTGTTAAGTAAAACGTATCGCATTTACATGTTTCTCTTTATGCCTCGTATTTCGTAGTTTTTCTCATCTTTTCTAAAAATCGCTCTCAACAAAAAGAGTAAGTTTCAAAACGCTGCCCATTTCATAAACATTATTAGGCTTCTCGAATTGAGAATTCGTTCATTCTCACCAAAGTTTAACACAGCTGTATTGTTTTCCGCGTGACAAAATGCTCATCGTTTCTCGCATTTTCCAAAAATTTTCATCTTCTTATCCTCACACTAATATCTTAATAATATAACGTAACAGATTTGACTTTTTCACTTTCATTTTCACGTAGATTCAGACGTAGATAGGTAAATATTATATTTATATCACAATATCTTCAATTTTGTTTTTGCTTAGGTTTGCTTATCAGTTTCCTTCCGGTTTGTAGGAATTATTGTTGACGGCAGATGTACTCGGTAGCATGAAAATGAATAATAACATTCAACATGTAACACGCGCTTTCGATACTACGATAATTACAAACTTAATTACACGCAAAATTCGCTTTGACTTTAGATTTACAAAAAGAAAGATACACAACAGACAGGAAGAGCTTGTACTCGAAGAGACACTTTCACAATACAAATTCTCGCCTCGCTCTCTGCTGTCCCGCAAACATAACTTAATATTGCACTTAACAAAAACAGCTGCTTAAAAGTCAAACCCAAATTCTTCCTCATTTAGCAATGGCTTGTTTGTGACAACTATATATCGATGATACATGATTATCATCAGATTTGAGCATTCATAAGCATTAACATTACAGACAATTTTTCATCAAATTCTTTGTCATTGGTTTTCGTGTTTTTTTTTTCTTCTTCTTCTTCTCCTGACTAACCGATCGGGGCAGTGTTTGTATGTGTGTGTATGGTGGCGAACCAAACTGTTTCAGCGAACAGAGCTACGCCGACGCGCAGCTCATTGGTCAATGGTGTTCCATGAATGTCATGAAACGTCTCAAGATGATGGCCGGTTGGTTCGCGCACCGGCGCCCAGAATCGCGTCGCCGTTGCTCAGTCCGCATCGCGCATGCGCCACGCAATCAATGTGTCTTTATAAATTTTCATTGATTTCCCTCCGTCTTCCGCATCGCCTGCTCCTCTCGGATTTGGCGTTAAACATGTATCGTATAACATATCAACAGCTTAAACTTAATCAATTATCACTACGATTAATTATAATTTAAAAATATTTACAGACGCAGCGAATACCTTACGCATCTAAATCGATTATGTACAATTTGGTAGGAAAGTTCCTCTCGGTGCTTCGTGCTTGCAATCGTCACAATGATACTTTTGCAGTTGGAACGTAGTTGGATTCATTATTTTCTTTTCTCCACGATGACGATGACGATGACTTAAATTAACTTTTTTCGAAATTATGTATTTTTTTTGGGTGTTACTCTAATTATCTATGTACAAATTCACGCAGGCGCATTAATTCGCGATACTTATTGAATAGTTTGTTCTTAAAACGTAAATAAATCACAGCATTGGTCATAGATATTCCTACAAATCTCGCCGCGCGCGGAAATCATGACGTACTAATTCTGCTTTTTGGTTTTAATTTTTTTTGTGTGTTTGTTTCTTGTCTTCAACCGCACTTTGGTAACGTAAGTATATGACTGGTGTAAGATAATCATTGTGACTAATAAAAAAGAAAGAAAGGTTGCGAGACTTTCGGAAGCGCGATCGCCGCCATCTAGCGGATCAGGAACTCGGCGTTTTAAGTAAAACGAATAGAGTGTGCGCGCGCAGGCCGCCCAAAATGTAACGTAAAATCACTTCTTCGAATCGTAACGTAAAACAAATTCCAGATAAAATAATCAAACAAACAAGAGAAACAACAACCGTCGCCGCCATTTTGTGAATGTGCGAATGTAGAATAAACCGGTCTATTTTTCATTGTAGTTTTTTTGTTGTTGTTGTAGTTGTGGTTTTAGTTTCGTTAGCTCACCGTGAATGCAAAAAATGTAAATAAAGGTAGTAAAACGTCGGGCAACGATTTCTAAAAGCGTTTTCTTCTTTTTTTTTTGAGTTTTCCTGCGGGAAGGGCGCAAGCCCGGACCTGAAAAAAAGTCCGTGTGATCGCCCCGCTCGTCCGCGTCGCACGTTTTTGTAGTTTTTTGTTGTTGTTGTTATGTTGGTTGTCTTCTTGCAGTTTTCCGTAGCGTGTGGGACTTGTCTACGCAGAGTAATAAACATCACATAAGCACGCGCGCACCATTCGCAGTCGCTTTCACTCTTTAGTCTCCATCCGGAAGTCACGGAAGGGCTTCGTCGTTTTCTTTGGGTTGCGGCTCTTGTTGGGACGCGCGCTCACGCCTCCGCCACCGCCGCCTCCGGCCCCGTTCTGTGCGCTGCTCTTGTAGTGTGCGTAGTTGGAGCCGCGTGAAAGCCGATGAGTTTGACCGCGTATTGACTGCGCGTGCTTGTTGGGCGGGTCACGTCGTATACTCGTGGTGGAGACTTGTTCACGCGTTTCAGATTCGGAACCCTGCAAAACAACGCACGATAGGAGTTTGAAATCGAGGTGCTTGAAATTAGGTTATGACTCACTTCACATGATGCGCTTCCGGTGGAACTCGATGTGCTCCCGCTCGAGAGCGAGCGCGGACGGCGAGGTGTGACGTGGGCTGCGTTCGACATTGTCATGTAGGCGGGCGGGGGCAGCATGTTACCGAAAGTCTTTTGCACCCACATGCGGTAGCGCACCACGTCGTCGGACACTTTCAGGATCTTGAAGAGTATTGAATTGTTGTGCAGATCTCCTGTCGAGCTGTGTACGGCTCTTGTTAGCGTGTAGTAGGCAAAGTCGAATGATTTTTTAACCTTCAAACACATTAAAAATAAATAAATCATTTTTCACCCAATTTTAAAACTTCAATCAACGTTTGTACACTAATAGGAAATGTGAGGTTATAAATGCATGGAACTAGGTTTGACTCTCGGCGCATGACATTTCATTACTTCTTATACTGCACTGGAGGAAACTGCGCATGCGCAAGCTCAACCGTCAAAAAAATGGCGCTTTCAAAGTGGAAGTGAAAAAAACTAAATATTCAACAATGACTTACTTGTAAGACACCATAGCTGCTCCTGCCGATGTCGTTGCTCGGCAGGAGCGGATCTTCAATGCAGAGCAAACTGGGCCGATGGCCGTCCGTCATGTCCTTCTGCATCTCCTCCTTGTTAATGTAGCGGCCGCCGTCACGTATCCGAATGCCGGTTTGCAGATAATTAAACTTACGCCCGTACAGCTCGAGGAATTCAATCAGCAGCACGCCGAGATTACTGCCGGCGTTCTCTTCGCGACGCGGATGCAGCTGCAGGAAGCTGATGCACATGAGAATAAGGCTATAACTAGAAATACCGCCCGTGAAGACTTCATTGAGGTCGCGCTCGAGTAGGAACTGTTTCAGCACGTACACTAGCTTCGGCAGCACCGGGTACGTTTTCATATAGTTGCCGATCAGTTCGGCCGACTTGATGCCGTTGCTCATGTTGAACGAAATGTCCACCTTGATTTCGGTCTTCTTGTCGGTCAGCTTCACGATCGGCACCGACGCGCGGTCCAGCACCTTGATGCAGTGCTCGTCGGCGATGTTATTGTTGAGGAACTCTTGCTCCAGCGTCCACAGCGGCAGATTTGACCATTTACCTAGAGATTTAAAGCAAAATAAGCTATTTTTATAGTAAAATATAACGTGTAAAATATTGTAAAATAAGAAATGAAAGTTATTGTTAACTAATAGTAGTAGATGGCGCTACTGGCATTTCTCAATGCTTTAAAAACGAAATGGGAAATCTTATTAGAGGAATCTGCACATAAAAGGTCATAAAACCATAAACTAATGATTGAATAATAAAAATAAACTTACCTATTACTACAAGATCTATATCACTGGTGGGTAAGTACAGTCGGGTGCGAAACGACCCAAAGACCTGCACTTGTGCGTCGGGCCACAAAGATTTAATAATTTTCTCAATTCTGTGAATGACATCCTCTCGAATCTGATGCTCCACATGCGACGGCGACATGTACGCATAAAAGTGTTCCATCTCTTGGTGCAAACTAAAAGCAGAAGAAAAAAACACTCAAGGTAAGCAAACATAACCAAAACCTTCTTAGACAGAGAGAAAGTTAATATTAATTGTCAAGTTCAATGTTGAATGGGTTGGAATTCTCAGCAAGGAAAGGAAGTGGCGAAGGTTGTTGCATACCAACGTAATTGAAATTCCAACAAGAATCTGGTTTTTAATTCCGATTGATAAAACAAAATGGCGCAATCGCCAGCCGCTAATCATCATAATCAAGTCATTGGAAACACACGCTGAGGCGCGTGTAAAATAATAAACGCGCGTGTGGGCGCGGACCGACGCACAAATCTGCATAACAACCGAAAATCGAGTGCGGCTAGATTCACGTCTGCATTAGAAGCACAAGGACGTGCTCTCAATTCGCACAATGCCATCGCGGTGCTGGCTGGGCGCAGGTACCGGACACACAATATACGCCGTGAAACAAACAGCATAATTTCGAAAAGATCAATAAATCTGCTTGGTGCATGTAATACGCTAAGATTTACAATCAACAGAAATACATACAATGTGTTTAAACATAAATTAATGCAAAATTTGAGTTTTTTTTTTTGTTTTTTTATTGACTTGGCGTCTATAAATATGCAAAACGAAAACCATTCAGTTTTACTGGCCAGAGTTTAATCTCTCCACAGGCCAAAACCTCACAAATCTCGCGCTAATCGACTCTAACCGAATGCGATGCTGTGCGCGCACACATACTCATCGAGTGCCGCGAGTCGTGACATGTGATTACACACTTGAAATATCAAACTCGTCATTTTTACTCAATCAACACACAAATAATAATGTTATTTACAACGAAATAAAACAAAACACGAAAGTGCGTCGCACGTTTAATGAATTTTCGCAGCGGATTTTCTAGATTAGATAATTTCCAATTCGCCTGACAACTGCATGAAAAATGTGTATGTACTGGATGTTTTGCGGGGAATTTAAATGTGATGTATGTTAAGCATGTAATACACGACTTGTGTTGTGTGAGTCACGCTTTTCATTTCATGCTTTTCGGTCGTTGCGTCGCATATTTTCGATGCGGCGTTTGCCAAATCAGTCCTGCGAGCGCCAGCTCCACACACCGACGACACTTGGACATTTTATTAGACGTTTCCTAATTTAATGTTACTCTTACTACGAACTTACTACAAGCAATATCTTTGAGTTTTTCTGAAGATATTTTTCTCTATTCACATGTTTATTAACCTAACTTTTGATTAAAAAACAACATAACCTTCGTGATACGTAATACGTAATATGTTTCCAAGTGAAATGTGTACATTGGGAAGCCTAGTTTCGAATGTTTTTTTGTTTCACCTCGCAGAAAATAAATCCGCGCGGCGCATTGGAAAAAAGCCTATTAATAAGTTTGCGGTGGTGTATAAACTGTCGTTATTCCGCGCTTCGTCCAAACAACTTTCGGCCAGCGTTCGAAATACGAACGAGAACAACAAAATTAACGACACGTTGTTTCTTGCATAATCTGCGACGGCGTGCGAAAATAAAATAAAAGGCCGCCCAAAAACTCTAAACTCTTGTGTGTTTTAACACACATACAAAATCTGATTGACCATGAAAATGATTGACTGATACTCAATCAGATTGATTGGAATAGAAACGCGAAAAACCCAAACAAAATAATAATAATACCGAAATGTACTTAATTGTTTCACGCGATTACATAAAAAAATAAGTTGCGTCAAAAAATATTATGCTGAAGCTGTGTGTGTGTGGGTATGTGATAAGATAATACACAACAAAAATTGATATGCGCTCACTGCGCGTCAAACAATAGACATGCGATTGTTTCCTACGCCCGAAAAAACTGCGCACATTCACATACACACAAACACGTGTTTAAATCGCAATTGTACAGGTTACTAGCCTGTAATGTGTAATTAATTGTAATCTACACGAAAAGTATGCAGTTTAAATGCATATGTCAATAATATTGCTCTTATTTTTTATCCCGAAGGTCAATGTTAGACATTTTTAAATTAAAAAAAAACATGGCGAACTTTGACATTTGACAAGAAACTAAAGTAAGGTTATAATATTGAATGAAACTAGTTTAAGAGGTACTTGGGTTATAATGGTGTAGTTTTGAAGTGTTAATCTAGATGCTAATTAGGAGAAATGTCCAAATCAAACGTGCGTGTGTGTAAGCGCGTCGCGCCTCATTTATTATTTTGTTATTTATACCCGTGCGTAGAATGCCCTCTTGTGGACGAACACATAGGTACGCATCTCTGTGGGTCAAAGTTTGGTGCGCACGGACGATCTATATCGCCCATCGCGAAAAAACGTGCTCGCCCGCTAGCGCAACACGTCCGCGCGGAAGTGGAACGCACCAGGAGATGGTCTAATAAGACAATTGGACGCTTACCCAATGATGCCGGGTCCGTAGCTGAAGTCGGCGCGGCGCCACGGCGCACCCCCGAACTCCTTCAGCATGTCGGTGGGGTGTCGTGACCGCAAGCTGGCACGATTTGTCTCCAGCTTGCGGCGCCGCTGCACGAACACGCCGCCGTTCTTGTCCGCCGACGGTGGGCCGACTTTACCGTTGATATAGTGACCGGGCGGCGTGGTCGTCGCGGGCGGCGGCGGCGGTTGGTGCTGCTGCTGATTGAGCGTGTTATTAATCGCCTCCAGATCAGCGGCGTCTGTCGGCTCCTTGACGATGTTCATATTCTCAAACTCTGACTGCGTCGACTGCCAAAGACGCAGCCACAGTTTTTTCGCTGGTCCTTCCTGCTCCGGCTGGAAGTAGTACGGATCCATTCAGCACGCGGCCGCGCGGTTGGCGGGAGCCGTGGGGCAGCGCCCGCGGTGCGGATGAATTTACGATCCGCTGGCAACGCTCACAATTTTCTCGCCAACCCTTTTTGGATGCAGTGATACTTTTATCTCTATCAGCGGCGATGCGTGCGGCGTGCGAAATAATTCTCACTGCGCTATCACTGTGTGCACACTGTCGTGCGGGATCCTCGCGCTCCTCTTGCACACCGGACTGAGACTGACACGGCGCGCACAGGTGGCGACACAACCGACACTACTTGGCGGCCATTTTTCAGCTGGCGACGTTTGCGCACCTATTTCAAATTACACACACTGCACAATATTGCAAAATATATCTTCACTGCTTTACAATTCTTCTATCAACTACCCAGAGTTTATTTTAATGACAACACGCGTTATTGCACTGGTAATGAGCTTCACTTCACTTGTATTCCGATTATTCTAGAATCTGGAAATTGACATCACGCGAAAATGGCAAACCATCACCGTATCACAATGCGACGAAATGCAACCAATATGAAAAAAACTTAAATAAATGCCACAAATGTCAACGCATTACAATTTTGACAGCGATATTGTATCATTAGTTGTTATTATTTAACAATATTGCACAACCACCGCAACACAATCGACAGGAAATTAAAAACTACATTTTACGTTAGGCTACCAACATTACACCATCGACACGACTGAAACAAAACTTGTTTATCCGCAGATATTTTTTGAGTACGTAGGTGAGTACTGGAAGTTTTCAATATACCTTATCTAATAATTACAATAATAACATATATAAATAAATAAATTTGAATGTCATCAATAATTCAAATACATCAGTCTTTCATCGATATTACCACAAAGTCAATATCTACTCATTGTATGATTAAATAGGCATATAAGTAAAAAACACAATTTCCTCGAATATTTCTCGCGAGTAACCAAACAATTGCCGCAGAACACCCACCCAAAAAGTCCGAAACAAGCGTGAAACAATAAATCACATCGTAGGCGGGAATAAACTCTTGACGAGTTCCTTCTTGTTCACTTTGCCCATTGCGTTCTTATCAAGCAGCGGCAGAATTTTCAGCTCTCTCGGCACAGCGTATTGGGGCATTTTCGTGATGGCCCATTCTTTAAACTCTTCAAAATTCATCTCTTCCTTTTTCTTCAGTACAATCACCGCAACCACCCGCTCACCCAACGTATCATCCTTCACGCCCACAACCGAAGCTTCCGCAATCTTCGGATGGCCTAATAAATTGGTCTCAATTTCCAGTGCAGATACTTTATAACCGCCTGTTTTCAAAATGTCCACACTCGTCCTGCCCAACATCTTGAACAATTGTTTATTTGCATTGAACCGTGCAAGATCACCGGTTTTGAACCATCCATCAGCGGTGAATTCTTTCTGCGTCGCATGCGGACGATTAAAATACTCCTTGAAAACATTATCGCCCTTAACATGCAATTCTCCAATTGGATCCGTGTAAAGGCACTGATTGTCAATGACAACATTGCCATCCTTATTGGTGACCTCAATCAAAGTCTCGTATTTATCATCACCTAGTGATTTGGTTAATCTAACAGTGACGCCAGGAGAGGTAGACCTACATAACCGGGTTCGCGGTCACCTTCGTATGAATTAGATAGGCACATGCCGATTTCAGTCATGCCAAAACGCTCCAGCAGTTTATGCCCGCTGATTTCTGCCATTTTTGATAGATGGGTGTTGGTAGTGGCGCGCTACCACATACCATAAGACGTATTTTAGTTTGAAGCGTTTGTTTAATGTACTCGCACATTTTCGGGTCCTGAGCGAAGAGTTTTTTGTGCTCGTCGATAAGTTTCGCGTAGATGGTCGGTACGGCCATGAAGATAGAACAGCGATTGGCAGCTTTTTCGTTGACGCCGAGTAGATGCGACCAGACGTTGTTCTTGTCGAATTTGGGAAGCATGTTAATACGTGCGCCGCAATACAGGGGACAGAGAAGTGCGTTGACGATGCCGTGAACGTGGTGTAGAGGCAGGCAATGGAGGAGGGTATCGGCTTCCGTCCATTTCCACGCGTCAATTAGGGTTGTTACTTGGGAGACTAGGTTTTTATGTGATAGGACTACACCTGGAAGTAAAAAAATGAATTTTAGTAAAATATAAGAAAAATATCCATAATTTGTTCAAAATCTGGTTTAGAAATGTTCATAAAGCATATAAATGAATAAAATAAAACCTTCAGTTTAATCTGAACAAATTTTGAAATTTTAAAATAAACTAAGCTAATAAATAACAATGACGCCATTTTGTCAATCCAAAAATACATATTTCTCATTAATTCTCTTCAAAATGTAAATATTTACTTAATATTACAATAATCTCTGCAGTTTCATGTTTTATTGGTGATAAACACGATGAAATTAGAAAACAAATCGTTAATTCGCAATAAAATCCCGATAATTCTATAAATACCGCATAAAATAAACCAATTTGTTCTGTAATTCACCATCTAATCACAAAATTATTGAAATATCCTCAAAATATCACAATATCAAATCAATGATTTAAATGCTTGAAAACTTATTTACCTTTTGGATTTCCAGTTGTGCCACTTGTATATAAAATCATAGCATTCGATCGATTATAGAAATCTTTCGATAGCCCAGCCTCTGTGTCGACCTTCTTGGTCGGATTCATTGTGGTCGCATTGTGACGCATCTTGTCATCTAACACCAATAACTCTTTATTGCAATTGCGCGCCACGCGATACATGACTTCCTTGTATTCGGGCGTGCAGACCAAAAGTTTTGCATTGCTGTCATTGCAGTAGTATTCTAGGAGGTTCTGTGGATGGAGGACACTTAATGGTACAGCTGCAACACAAAATAAATAAAATAATTGTAAATATATCGTAGACAATTTTTTATACCCCTAAATATTAAAGAACTTCAGGTTTTTGAAAACTTTTTCGGCAAAACATTAAAAAATCAATTTGGCATCAAAAAACACTTGTAATTCAAAATTTTCTCTCTTATTTTTATGTAACTGCCAAAATATTAACCAAAATTAATTTATATTGGAAAACTACGTATATTGTGTCAACTACCATGGAATATTCATGTTTTTTCTTTAATATAAAAGTTTTAAACCTTTTTTTCTTACCAATTTGTCCAGACATCCATATAGCCCATTGCGTCAGCACATAAGTCGCATCATTCGGACATAAAAACAAAATCCGCTCACTGTTCTTCCTCCCAACTTGAACAGTAATATCATTGCAGAGGTCCTTCGCACCCAGAAACAAATTGCCATAAGTGTAGGAGCCCAACGAGTCGCGCAGCGCAATCCTATCCGTGTAATTGGCCGCTTTTCTAAACACCGGTATCACATCCTGCGGCAAACTCTTTGGCAGTGGGCTGCTGACGATGCTCTGGTGGCGGATGCAGCTGGAACTTTTGCTTGTGTTACGGATTGCTTTCAGAAGTGAAGACATATTGAAACTGCAAATAAACAACAAATTAATATGAATTTACTTGTAAATTATTGCTAATTTAATTTCGGATAATTTTTGGCAACTTTTAACTGGTTATCATGTGTTTTACATGTGTATTGAATGTGTTAACATCACAAGGTTGAATAAGCAAGATAAAAATAACTTGCAAGGTTAATTTTAAAAAGAAAAAACAAATATTTCAGAAAAAGCTTGAGGTGTACGAATACTGCAGTGGTTTTTAATGAAAAATACCAAGAAATTCATTCAATTTGAACTGTATTAAGCATTTTTAATCACTAATAAACTATAATTTTGTTCAACATTAAAAATATAGTACCAGTATGTTAAGTTTTCTTGTAATTTACTAATTTTAACACTTTTACCACAATTACTGTGTTTATTTCTAGTTATTTCCAATTGTACTTGTTGTTAATTTATCTAAACTAACCCGCTTTTCAAATTTAGAACACCAAACGAAGTTTACACTGGAATTCACAAATAAACAATTAACTAAATTGTTTCGTTGGTCGGCGACTCAAAGCGCAAACTACACAGTACAATTTTTGTTGAATAAATTTCTCAATTAACGTGCGACTGATGTAATTTTAATTGAATGTTCAGCGTTGCGAACGCCGAGATGTTACCGTTTCGACTGACCGAACAAAGTGTCGCATTGACAACGCTCAACGCCAACAATCACCGTTTGAAGTTCCCAACAATTTGCATTATTACTATTCCGGTTGCCTAGCCGGAAACACGGAAGTAATAAGGAAGCGAATAACTTTTAAAATTTCAAGTTCGTCCGGTTCAAAGCACTGCAAATGTTAAGTGTATCTTACCAATGTTCCGCTGGTGACGAAACTGCAAGGTGAACTTGTTACGCGAGCGTATACACATGCACAACAGATGAATAACTTAACAAGCAACTTCAAGTGTTGAAAACAATTGGAAATAAAAGTATTATGAGTGAAAAATCAAGAAAATAATTAGGAATCGCGACGTCACGCGCACACGGTGGCCGGTTGCGGCCCTGCGCATAAAATTTTCAGGTTAGAATGGGTGGTATGCAGGAATGTATCAACGCATACATGACTTGCAATGTATTTTTGAAGCTATAAATTTTGATTTCTAAAAGATGTTCAATCAAAATTATTAAATTTATAGATAATCTGACTTAACAACAATAATTAAAGACGTCATATATTTAAATAAACAACAATTACTTGCAATAAAACAAAAACTTACGTAATACGAAAATTATCTCATGTTGAGTTTAGTTAACGCTTGAAATTAAACAAATCGCGAGAGTAGGCGGCGTACTTGATGTTAAACACGCATCATATTGCGCACAGAATTTGTGGAGGGTATGCGCTATGTGCACGAGGAAGTTGTGTATTTTTGAACACACTTTCCAAAGCGAGGACGACAAGTAAAGGTAGGCGCCATCTTGTGGATGTCAGAAAATATGAATTATACTACGTGTCAAAAGAAATTTTTAAATCAAAACTTTAAAAAATGTTATTTTAAGTCAAATCAATAATAAAACAGATCAAAAAGTAATAAATTAATATTTTTTTAAGGATATTTAATAAATATATGTGAAAATAGCGCTTAAAACTGTAAAATATTTAGAGAGAATTAATTTTTCAACATTTTTTTTGTGTATATACTTTGTATAAGTAAAGAAAGTTGCCGACATTTTAAAATACGCAATATATTGAAACGTATTAAACTTTGATAGTTTTTAATGTAACTTACGTGCTTAATGTGTGTTTAACAAACCGAGGTCGTTCCTTAACGATGCACACAACTAAATTTTACGAGCTGATAATTATTGGATCAAATTTCTATACAATTTTTACAAATTGATTGATAAAATAATTGTTTTGATTCACATCAAATCATATCAATCACGCTAATCATTACAAACCATTGTTTTCCACATTTAATTAATCTTATCACGACACTAGTAACAATTATCACCACAATTAATCTTTAGAAATCAATATTTGAATGCTGACGAGTCACAACTTTCTGTTTTAGAGTTTCGAGTGCAACAGCAGTGTCTCCGAATGATTTCAGCGTTTCATGTTACACTGCGGTTTGGTTTTATTATTCAGCCTTGTTCGTCAGCGTGCTAAAATTACGACACACTCGTGAAACATTCGTCAATGAAGTATGCTTCGGACGCCAAACATTTTTGCACGCAAAAAGCTGCTGTTTTTTCAGATTCTAAACATAAACACAACACGCGTAATCTCAACGCTTTGCAGTGTTCGTCGTGGTGCACTTTCACGTTCACATTCAAGGGCTAATTAAATTTTTTGGCATCGCGCTGATAAACAAGCGTTTGAAATATTTGCGAGTATGTCCGTCACACATCACACGCTGTTTGGTCACGAGCAAGTTAACACAAGTTAAATTAAAAATGGAATGAGCAGATATTGAAATAATAACAAATTGCGATTAGGATTGGTTGTTATTGTAGATCACTGGGAGATTTATGTGCTTATTTATGAGTAAATGAGTAAATCGTGATCGAATTTCATTGAGACACAAGACGCTTTTGAAATTTGCAATGACCTTTAGTTTTGTTTTGTTGGAGTTCAAGCACGTTGACATAAAAGAACTTATTGGTACTGAATACATGTACTCTAACAGTGTATTCATCAATATTTTGACTTAGATAAGTAGAAAAGCATTGAAAACATTTAATTACGACGCGAAACTTCTTACAAACACATTTTTTAAATCATTTTTTTTTGAGGTTTTTTTATAAAGTATTTAAGTTATTGTAGGTTTTTTCATTAGGAGCAACACTAGGAATACTCAAAAACGGTTCTATGTGAAATTAACTGTCTGTCTACTGAGCATAGTAAGTTTTAAATGCTTCCAGCGGCTTTAGAATGCAAGCTATAAACTTTTTATAGATGAAACAATTTTTTTTAATGTTACCTCAAAATCTAACCTTAAAATAACATATTCATTAATCCACTCAACAAGATTTAACAAAAAAATACAATAATAGTATCAAATTAGATCTCTGATGACTTTTTCTTTAACAAATTGATTACTATCACTTTGTCCTGTAATAAAACTACAAACTGGTCAACATGCAACCAAATTTGCACCTAACAGAACACTCAGTTCTTAAATAAACTAGTCCTCAGTAGAAATATTCATTGTTTAACTGTTATAACCAGAAAAACTTACTTTTCACAAATATTCAATTACATATTGCAACACAAATTTATGTACATTTAAAGTATAAAAACTTACGTGAAAATCTTAAAGCACACTACAATCAACCACACATTTTGCTGTAGTGTTTATCACAATGAGACTAAATATAAAACCTGCTATCAACTCACAACTAGTAAATGCGTTATCGCGTCCTTTATCATGAGGGGCGTCGCTGATGACGTCGTATTTACGCGCCAGTCAAACAAAAGATAACTCAGAACAAATAATTCACAACAAAAACAACCTTAAGCATTACACTCATTCATCCACAGGACAAATACTAAAGTCTATAGAGTAAACTGCAACTATAAACCTATAAAATGCAGTTTATAACCTGTTATCTTTATAAATTATCTTTGCATTGCATGGACTTGTTCCTTAACCTCCTCAATCTGCTGACAAGACCTTAGCAAGTTGTCCTGATGAGTGTTCAATGTCTCCAGAAGTGCATTGAGCTTCTTCAGGTTGTTGTCAGTGTTCTCAATGGCATGTTCTTGTAGCGCAAAGTTTCTTGCTGTGTGCATCAATATCTAAAAAGTACAGAAATATTCAATCATTGCATATGTTTACTATAAAGTTGGGAATATTGTCAGAAGATGAGAGGAAATAAATACTGACCTCGTTAGATTTTGATCCTCTGACTATTTGTCGTACCAACGAGGCGACATAATTCACATTTACCTGTACACGATCAGCGAGGCGCATTTTCGAATCGGCGAACAGCGAGCGAGCGCTTGTACTACTCGCCGACGTCATCGCAAAGCACCCGAATGTGGTCGTGGATCTTTATCGGCGTGTAAATAAATTATTTATTTAAATTAACAGGTCACTAACACACATGTATAAGGTGGGTAAGCGCATAAAACTGAGCGAAACAACTTCACAGTTGATATGTACTTGACATAACCATGAAATATGACAGCAAATGACGGAGAGATAGAAATTCAAAGGCACATTCACACCGATGATTGATCGCTGGCTTCAAAATGATTGACAAGCTTTTTTGATGTTTTGTGATTGTTTGGAAGTGTTAGTGTTGAATCAGAACGGAAGTTAATGGCGAATTTACGGACGTAGCGTAGTCTGGTATTTCTAAAAAGTAATTAGTATTGTTAATAAGGAAACGAGAATAATTATACATATGCATAAACAACAAATTTCGAAAAGAACAACAAACCATGCAAATTACGGACGAATAATTAAAATTATAACCGAAGACAGAAGTGTGCTGATAATACGCTCAACATCAAACAAATTTAATAATTAAGTTTTCTTCAAAAATAGGATCATTTGCGATAATCATTACAAACCATTGTTTTCCACATTTAATTAATCTTATCACGACACTAGTAACAATTATCACTGCAATAAATCAATAGAAATCAATGTATGAATGTTGACGAGTCACAACTTTCTGTTTTAGAGTTTCGAATGCAACAGCAGTGTCTCCGAATGATTTCAGCGTTTCATGTTACACTGCGGTTTGGTTTTATTATTCAGCCTTGTTCGTCAGCGTGCTAAAATTACGACACACTCGTGAAACCTTCGTCAATGAAGTACGCTTCGGACGCCAAACATTTTTGCACGCAAAAAGCTGCTGTTTTTTCAGATTCTAAACATAAGCACAACACGCGTAATCTCAACGCTTTGCAGTGTTCGTCGTGGTGCACTTTCACGTTCACATTCAAGGGCTAATTAGATTTTTTGGCATCGCGCTGATAAACAAGCGTTTGAAATATTTGCGAGTATGTCCGTCACACATCACACGCTGTTTGGTCACGAGCAAGTTAACACGAGTTAAATTAAAAATGGACTGAGCAGATATTGAAATAATAACAAATTGTGATTAGAAATGGTTGTTATTGTAGATCACTGGGAGATTTATGTGCTTATTTATGAGTAAATGAGTAAATCGTGATCGAATTTCATTGAGACACAAGACGCTTTTGAAATTTGCAATGACCTTTAGTTTTGTTTTGTTGGAGTTCAAGCACGTTGACATAAAAGAACTTATTGGTACTGAATACATGTACTCTAACAGTGTATTCATCAATATTTTGACTTAGATAAGTAGAAAAGCATTGAAAACATTTAATTACGACGCGAAACTTCTTACAAACACATTTTTAAATCATTTTTTTGAGGTTTTTATAAAGTATTTAAGTTATTGTAGGTTTTTCATTAGGAGCAACACTAGGAATACTCAAAAACGGTTCTATGTGAAATTAACTGTCTGTCTACTGAGCATAGTAAGTTTTAAATGCTTCCAGCGGCTTTAGAATGCAAGCTATAAACTTTTTATAGATGAAACAATTTTTTTTTAATGTTACCTCAAAATCTAACCTTAAAATAACATATTCATTAATCCACTCAACAAGATTTAACAAAAAAATACAATAATAGTATCAAATTAGATCTCTGATGACTTTTTCTTTAACAAATTGATTACTATCACTTTGTCCTGTAATAAAACTACAAACTGGTCAACATGCAACCAAATTTGCACCTAACAGAACACTCAGTTCTTAAATAAACTAGTCCTCAGTAGAAATATTCATTGTTTAACTGTTATAACCAGAAAAACTTACTTTTCACAAATATTCAATTACATATTGCAACACAAATTTATGTACATTTAAAGTATAAAAACTTACGTGAAAATCTTAAAGCACACTACAATCAACCACACATTTTGCTGTAGTGTTTATCACAATGAGACTAAATATAAAACCTGCTATCAACTCACAACTAGTAAATGCGTTATCGCGTCCTTTATCATGAGGGGCGTCGCTGATGACGTCGTATTTACGCGCCAGTCAAACAAAAGATAACTCAGAACAAATAATTCACAACAAAAACAACCTTAAGCATTACACTCATTCATCCACAGGACAAATACTAAAGTCTATAGAGTAAACTGCAACTATAAACCTATAAAATGCAGTTTATAACCTGTTATCTTTATAAATTATCTTTGCATTGCATGGACTTGTTCCTTAACCTCCTCAATCTGCTGACAAGACCTTAGCAAGTTGTCCTGATGAGTGTTCAATGTCTCCAGAAGTGCATTGAGCTTCTTCAGGTTGTTGTCAGTGTTCTCAATGGCATGTTCTTGTAGCGCAAAGTTTCTTGCTGTGTGCATCAATATCTAAAATGTAGAGAAATATTCAATCATTGCATATGTTTAGTATAAAGTTGGGAATATTGTCAGAAGATGAGAGGAAATAAATACTGACCTCGTTAGATTTTGATCCTCTGACTATTTGTCGTACCAACGAGGCGACATAATTCACATTTACCTGTACACGATCAGCGAGGCGCATTTTCGAATCGGCGAACAGCGAGCGAGCGCTTGTACTACTCGCCGACGTCATCGCAAAGCACCCGAAAGTGGTCGTGGATCTTTATCGGCGTGTAAATAAATTATTTATTTAAATTAGCAGGTCACTAACACACATGTATAAGGTGGGTAAGCGCATAAAACTGAGCGAAACAACTTCACAGTTGATATGTACTTGACATAACCATGAAATATGACAGCAAATGACGGAGAGATAGAAATTCAAAGGCACATTCACACCAATGATTGATCGCTGGCTTCAAAATGATTGACAAGCTTTTTTGATGTTCTGTGATTGTTTTGAAGTGTTAGTGTTGAATCAGAACGGAAGTTAATGGCGAATTTACGGACGTAGCGTAGTCTGGTATTTCTAAAAAGTAATTAGTATTGTTAATAAGGAAACGAGAATAATTATACATATGCATAAACAACAAATTTCGAAAAGAACAACAAACCATGCAAATTACGGACGAATAATTAAAAATTATAACCGAAGACAGAAGTGTGCTGATAATACGCTCAACATCAAACAAATTTAATAATTAAGTTTTCTTCAAAAATAGGATCATTTGCGATGGCCACGGTCAACAACAATCTACGAAGTCATAGTCTTCTGTCAACTTCGCAGATTGACAACGTCACTCCCAGCAAGGGACTTAGAACCTTGCTACCGTCCTTGCTTAGTTTCTGAGTTATCATATGACTCCTCTGCGGAGTCGTCCAGAATCCTAGCAAACACCGCAGGACGATATGCCGGCTTATCCAGAGCTGGTGGGTACGCAGCACATGGCGTAATTAAACGCTATTGCTGCGTGGACGCTTCCAAATTTCTTCACCGAGCACATTCCGGATCCTTGGCGAAGGCGAGCGCCTACGACATATTTATACACAATTCATTTACAATAATTAGTGTTAGACGAAATATTGAATTAAATGATTTTGATAGGCGATTACGTTTTGGAACAAAAATATTTGTCTACAAATATCTTCAAAACTACAAATTGATCACGATTTAATTGTTGGAATCCTATTAAAACTTAAATTATGTTCTGAATAATTAATTTACTATTCTCTATGTAATACATGCGCAAAGCAGTACTCGTAAGTTATAGTAGGAGCGCTAAAGTCGAATGAGGGACATCTGTTAATTACAAAGAGAAGCTTTTGGAAATTTCAGTGTTTCTTCAAAGTTTTAAAATACAAAAATTTAGTCTTGTCTTTTGACTGATTGTTATTTATTAACCAAACCAAAAAAACTTTTATATCAATTGAAATACATTTATTAGAGACAGAAAAAATCGAAAATATAATTTACAGCTTACAAACGGTAGGAACTTATCAGCTAAGCTTAAACAAGACGAAACACAAAACACTGGGAGATACATTTCTATGTTAGGACATTCGCGCGATTCACACACAAATAAACATTATTAGGCAACCCCCCATGCGACGAGTTGCTCATGCTCGACGTGAATGCGTCGCACATTCCAATCCAACCATAGACTACTTGTTATACACATTAGTCAATGGCTGAACTAAGCTGGAAAATGTACACGCTTAGCAATGCTAACAACTATATATATCGGTCCCTATCGGTAATTGTTTAAAAATCACAATTCGTAACATAAAAGTAAAATTAAAGCACGATAAAAATGCGAATTGACGCTTGATCTGTTTTGGCAGTTGGCAGTGAGTACATGAATTGGTATTTCCGTTGTCTTTTCGTTGTTTTCGTTGATTGTCGATGCGGAAGTGTGTGTGACATGTGTGCATGAGCTAAGTTTAATTGTATATACATCTTATGAATTAAAAACTCGGCGCGCATGCTCCGTGCTATCGGGTAAATAAAGTTACGAAGTAATATTTACAAAAAAATACGCTGCGATACACGCACATAAAGTTTCTCGTTTAGTCTAGTCTCTTAAGGCACTTTAAACACCATTGGACACCAAGTGGCGCCACTGTAGTTGATTGTATTGACGTTTTGATTGAGGTGGCGCTAGCGTCGCGCTTCAAAGTGTCGATGCTCTTTCTACTGTCGTAGGCTGTAAAAACATTACATTAATCAATCAATTCACATACTGCGAGATGGTACGAAAATGCAAGAGACGAAATAAGCAGAATAAAATTAAACAAAACGTGCAATACAATAAATTAATACGAGTAGGCAACACAATGTACGCAAAGTGCGCAGAAAGGTAACAGAAAACTGTAAATTAAAATGTGTTAGAAGTGTAAAATATGTAAATGTACGTCGCTTGAGCTGAAATAGTAAAAAAATAAACAAAAAATAAATAAAGTCGTTAGGTAAGTCAAGTCAAAATTATAAGTCAAACAAGAGTCATAGGTTCATTCTCAGATTCGGATGCGATGAGAGTGTTGATTGAGGTTGAAGTGAAGATGCTGAGAATATGAACGGCGCCATTTTGTTGTGACGCCATATATATGTTTTTGGTTTCAGCGTGTGCTTACCGCGTCACGTTGCGCACGCTACTCGCGTCGCTATAGTAACTCGCCGAATTGTACGAGCGTTTCAGATAGTTATTATTGTAATCGTCGTGATAGTGCGGCGTGCTCGATGAGGTCGCGTAGTGCTTGCCAAAATTGGCAAAGTCGTACGGATTCCGCGTTGTCTTTTGCCGCAGTATGTAATAGTTGCCAATGTAGGGATTTTTCGTCGATGGCGTTTGCGTCGTCGTGGTCGTCGTTGGTGTAGTCGTATACGCATGCGCATAGAATGGTCTACGCGTACTCGTCGTGCTTGTATACTTGTTGGCGAAGTGCTGAAAGTCATACGGGGATCGCGTCGTCGAAATCGAAAACAGTTTGAATGTCGTCTTGGGTCGGTTGTTATAAACAGTCTTTTGTGTTTGATAATAATAAGGTCTTTGTGTCGTTGTAGTCGTGGTTGCAGTGGTAAAGTATTTGTAAGTCTTTTTTGGTGTGGTACTTGAATAATAATAGTATGGATTACGAGTCGTAGATGGCGTTGGTGTCGTTGTCGTGGTCGTTGGGGTGTAGTACGCATGCGCGTTAGGGTTTTGTGTCGAATAGTACGAGTTATAGTCGTAAGGGGGTTTGGTGGTGTACTCAGGTTGTTGTTGATAGTATGTGTTGTGTGGTGGTGGTGGCGGTTCGTGGTTTGCGTCCTCCTCGTCGTCATAGAACCTGTGGTGGTATATTAATTTGTATACATTTTTGTTTAATCATCACAAGTGCTCGCAAGCGGTGCGCTCGTAAAATTAAGGTTAGATTCTCCCATCCACACCGACACAACAAAATATATACTTGCGACACTCGACAGCAGGTGGCGTTACTTACAATGGCCGTCCTTGATTCGCTTGTCCATCGCGTCGGATGTACGCGGGTGTGTTCTGTGAGTAATCTGGGATGATATTTTCATGTTCAGCTACGCATCTTCCATTCAAACAGTACTAAAATAACACATTATAACCTTAAATGTTATTTTTGGTTATGTTTATTTACCTGGCCATCGCCACAGGGTGAACCTTCAGCTGCCGGTCTATAGGCAACACAATAACCACTACCGGCATCGAAACAGAATAGTTGTGCGCAGACTCGATCGTCTTTCTGTTAAAAAATAAACAAAATACAAATAACTAACCTAAATTTTAAACTAGTTATTAATACGTACAAAACAGGCACTTGTTCCACGATCCCGTCGGCACTGCGCGTCCAATGTAAGTAATTTACCCGGAAGTACTCGAGGAAGACTGTCATCTTCATGTGGTGAGTTGTACAAACAAGTAGCTGTGTCACCACTATAAAAAAACATACATATCAATCATAACCTTAAATTTAGTATATAATATTTAGTAAATACTTTAAAAAGTGATGAAAACTGGCAACGCTGCATGACGACCAGCGGAAACCTCTTTCGGTATGTCTGAGATCAGACATAATGTATCCGTCCGTCCATTGACACTTCTCCGCACCGGGACCACCCAAATAAGATGGCGGCGGACTTCCGTCGTGAACAGCTCCCAATAAATGACCAACTTCATGAGCAGCTACGATGATACCGCTAAAACCACCGGTGTCCTCAATGATGGCGACCGAATTGACCTTCTCGAGACGTTTGTTCACCACGCATGCGCCGCCCACATACGCGAATCCTATTGGATGACTTAAGTTACTCTCAATTCATCATAACCACAAATCAATGTTATTCAAAAAAGTGTGAGTGAAATTTTGACTTTGGTTAAGAATTCATAGCGATTAGGGACTTACAGCTCAAGTCCGAGTATTAATCTCCATTACAGCATAGCAAAACATTCGCAATTAGTAATCAATTAGTAAAAGTTTTATAAAAATATATAAATAAATTATTAGATGAGCGGTAAAAATACGCATGCGAAATGTGTACGACACTCACGTTACGTTACGTTACATTCACGAGTAAATTAAACTATAAAAGGAGAACAAAGTTGAGAAAATAAAATGAAGTCACTAATCAAGGCAACTAATGCCATCTCGTGGCGAATTTTGAAATAACACACAAAAACAAATATAAAAAAAAAGTTATGTGCAAGTATAAATTTACAAACATCGGAAGAATACAAATCTCGCATCGAGATGTGTCGTACCTGCCGTGCCACGATTGCACACGTCTGAGGGATACGAGCGTCTGCACATGTCTAGTCTGCAAACAGATCGGAAGCGGAAGCCCCGGTCAGTTCGGGTGGCGTTACACGCACTCATGACAACAATGTTAATGTATTTTTATGGCCACAATCAAAAATCCCACTCGCAAACACTTAGAAATCAATATAAGCAACCAGACGTACACTGTGTAACGTGTAGTGTTGGTTGCCTACAGTGTTTAAGATATAAGTGTATAGTGATTTGTGTTTTTCGAGTAAGATTTTTATGTGGTGCGTTGTTGGGATCCACATCGTCGGAAGCGTTCCCCCTGTTTTATTAGTGTACCTGTCGTTTACCAATAAATAAATAAATAAATAAATTAAATGCACCCATTCAGTAATGTCTGCTGGTCCAGCTTGGACCATAATATTTGTTTTGTTTGTTGTTAGTGTCGTATGCCGTCGTATGTCGTATGCAACCAAATGCACGCCCCTTTTAATTTATTAAATAATTGTTTGAAAAATAATTAATGACACTTTGTGCGTGTCCGTACCGGCTGTTCCTTTTGTGCATCTACCGCCTTTTCGTCGACGACACATATCGTACCTAAATTAAATATTTAAACATTTAAAACAATAAAAAAAATAAAAATTTACAAAAAAAAACCGTGAAAATTAGGCTATAAAATTAAATATTTCATTGTGAATGTATAGATACTGACTTTGTAATGGCGACAGCTATGTCATAGACCGGAAGTCGTCGCTCTCGGAAGAGATATTTGCCCATGTCAGTGAGAGCAGCTGCTGAGTCGATGGCGTCACGTCCGACACGATTGCGTTCCAAATATGGCGTCGCATCACGTCCCTAATAAATAAATTTTATGTAATTAATAATATAAAAATGAATCAAAAGCAAAATCTGTTGGTAAGCGCATAACTCAACAACGCGTAGACCAATTTGGTCAATTCTTTTTTTTAAATGTTCGGAAAAGTCCAAGGATGGTTTTTACGGCGAGAAAAATTTGAATAATTGCCGGAAAAACCCTAAAGACAGCCCTTTTCTATAGGATAAAAGTTGGCATTGAGATTCAATCATAGTTATAGTTAAATAGTTGAATCCGAGATGGCGCGCTGAAGTGCATTATAAGCAATTCTTTATATAATTAATTACTTTAAAATAAAATTGCGAATCTTATTGATAGAATTGACTCTTACTACGAATATGTCTAGAACAAGAGAGTAAAAACGAATTACATTTTTATTAAACACAATCGGGACGAAGTCGCGGGCAAAAACTAGTTTGGTAATAATTTGAGGTTATGAAATACTTACTCTACTGATGATAATACCAGCGATAGAAATACGAATCTTAGGTCCTTTTAATAACTTGTATCTTAGGTCAACTCCATTCCAAAAACTAACAAAATATCGTTTGATTTGTAAATTGTCGCCGCCATGCAACCGATATCCATCGTAATCAACAATTACTAAAATCTCCGGATATATTGTATAAGGTGCTTCGCGTTTGTTTCTCGAATGGGATGATGTTGCATTTTGTAAGAGAGTACTGCGGCGATAACGTTTGGCAAGATGGTCGGGTTCCATAAGTGCTAAAAAGATAAAAATCAGTGATTTTGTTTTTGAATGAATTTAAAACTTACCATAATCACTTTCTGTGTCGTCTTGGTTGTCTTTACGTTTGAATACAATGTGGTGTGTACTTGGTTGCAGCTCATATGCGTCGTCATTTTGTGATTTTGAAGCTTTAGCATCATCAATTTCAATTTCATCAATATTGTCAGTTTTCCTATGAATTGGCAAGCCTGTATCAATGGCGACCTCTGCACTTAATTCTCCATCATCATCCAGGAACATTTCATCATCATCGGCTGGATTGGGCAAGTTTTTTCTTTTAGTCACCGTTTGTTGATTCACCAAAGGATGTAATCGCGCTGGCAGTGGTTTAATCACTAAATCCTCACCGATACTTCCTTCCTGCAACATAAAAATCCACCAGTTTAAGGTTAAGATTAATTTGGTGTAAATGTAAGTCTGGTTGCATATATTAAAAGTAATCATTGTGCAACCGTAGAGAAAATATAACTCATGCACCAATAATCGCACAAAACGATTACAACCAACAACAACGCAATGATTATTACAAATTATCGTTATGGTCATTAACCATAACTGCGATGCGGTTGTATAACGAATATTTGGCTTTCAAAATTAACCAAAAAACTGAAAAAAAAAAACCACCAAGATTTCTTTCTCATATTGCATTAGCATTACTTTTATTACTTTGTTTTTTGCGTCATTTGGAAAGTAAATTAGTTCCTCTTCAATTTTAATAGCAACACGAAACGAAAGCAGTGTTGGCCAGGCCAAAAAATCGTGATTACATAAAAATTGCACCGGGTCACTAATTATCCATCATCAATTTGGATTTTGGAAGTTATGATTTTGTCTAGAAAACAAAATATGAAAGTTCAGCGAGTAATAAATTACTGATCATCTTGAACATGAGCCGGAAATCGGTTATTTCTACAAATTCGGCGCCATAAAAACATTAAACGTTAACATTCATATCTTTCCGTTCCCATGAAATTATTTTCGATTAATTTTGACATTTACAAGTTAAATATTTAGACATTTAAGTTTTCAAAATTGATGTTTTTTGATGTTGAAGTTCATTACGAGTAATTTGAAACTCTCTGACTTTTAAATCAACAATAAAAATTGTTAATTGTTCGTAGACATTGTAATTTGATCCGCTACATCGTAAGTAAACAACATTTAATTTATGCAACCATTGAAGCAGTCATAAATGTAATGCGGCGTTTACTGTTATTGTATAATGCGTCAATTATTACTATTACCATCGATATCGATCGAACTCAGTTGATTGACGCAATAATTAACACGTTATGCAACTCAATGTCGCTTAAAATGGCCGACGGTTGTCAAATGTCAAACATCACAAACCATAACCTACAAAGTGTCACTCTGACACAAATATTCAATCAAATTTCTTTTGTTTTGTTTTATTATTGCATAAGTTTAAAGTTGCGTGAGGAAACACTGACTTCCTGGTCTATTAATCATTGATCAGTCGGATTCGATTAATTGCCAGTGGATTTACATCGCCATTAACACGTAATATAATAACAATCGGAGATCAAACACATAGTGAATTGATTATTACTCGTATTTATAGAAACGTGCAAAACAAAGTCAAACAAAGCAAAAAACTCGGTAATAACAAAAAGTCATGGCTGCCTGCAAACGGCCTTGATGCCGCATAATTTCATCGTTTTCAACGTTGTAACCTCACTTTTATTTCCAAATGCTCCCTCTAACCTATATAAATCTCGCTGTTACATAAGTAATAGTCGAATAGAAATTGCAAGCCTATAACAGTGGAAATAGTAATTTAAACTTTCACGTGGGTGCGGTTGAGAGACACGCCAAACCCGTTCGTGTGCGTAACGCGTTTAATTAAGCAATTAATGTCTCGTTTTAATGTGTCCGGAAGATGTCGTGCTTGTTTATCGTTACAATTATACCATTTTTATACGCTTGTTAATGATCGAAAATCGCCTTGTATTTTATTGTTTCGCGCCTATTTAAAGCGATTTCGATCGATTTGACGCGCTTAAATTGATTTTTACAATGTTTGGTCGTGTTTAATAGTGTTTCTGGGTGGTTGCAGTGATGACACGGAGAGGATTTCAGGAAGTATTGACCAAAATTAACGCTAATCAGGTTATTCTTGAAACTTGGGATCATGTAATGACTAGAGATTTGATTGTGTAATGCTTCGGTACTAAGTTTTGTCTTCGTTTTGTTTGCGTTAATGATTTGTGGTTTGTTTGGTGTGAAAATGCGAAGGTAAGATTCATTAGTGGCAAATTTGTATGGTTTCAATGTGATTATGCGTAAAGTTTCAGTTTTACGATTTTATTTGGGTATTAAACGAATTTCGAGGGCGTAAAAGAAGGTTTTACATCAGAATTAATAAAAATTTTGCTCTGGAAAAGATATTTTTAGATATTAATGTCATTAAACGCATTTAGCGCCATCTCCGATTGAATTATGCAACTGTAACTATGAATAAACCTCTATATTAACTTTCATCCCTTATTTAACACCCTTAATATAATAATTTTTAATATTTTAATAATTATTCTCCTATTCAGGATTAAGACAAATCCAAAAAATCATAGATCATCAAAATCTGTCCAGTGGTTCTTGAGTTATAAATGATGTAACTAACAAAATACATAAAAAATGTGTAAAAATTAATTTTTTTGAGTTATATTATGAGAATTTCCATCTTTCAAATTTAATAGTAACTATATCACCTTTACTATTGTATTTTACACACTTAATAGCCTATAAACTATATCTGCCTGTCATAGCCTTGTATAGCATGTCGACAGTCGTAACCGACTACAACTATTTTAATCAATGACACTTTCATTCCCAACGAATGCAATGCATAACTATGACATACAAAAGAATCAACAAAAGTACCGTTTGATTGTCTCATTCTACAAATCATATCATATTCACCTACACTTATTAGAAACGTCATTATCCGCCACGCAATTCGCGAATATAACTGCACTTTTCATCGCGTGCGACATTTTACAGCGTCGCGCACGTGTCGCGTTCAATTTGAACCTGTTAACATTTGTTGGACTTTCAATAGTATAGTGTGATTTGTGATACGAGTATATTACACATTCATTACACTCGCACAATTTGTTTGATTAGTTGTTCTGTGATGGCTTGAGTGACTTTCAAATTGGCTTTCGATTGCTGTTTCAATGACTGCAGTGTGAAGCTATTTGTCGGGTGGTTAATTTCCTTGTTGGGTTTTCTTGCGTTTGTTTTTTGCGCCTGCGTTTACGAGCGGAGATTAAAGTTTATTTATTGCTTGACGCAAGTCAGCGAGTCATCGAGGTGATGGCGAGGATTACATAATTAATGTGTGGGTAATGAATACAAGAAGCACGCGACATGTTTACTTATATCTTGTTGATATTTGCTTTGTTAAGATTAGAAAATTATTAATTAACTAGCTGTTGCCCGCGACTTCGTTCCGGCAGTGTTTCATAAAAATGTAATTCGTTTTTACTCTCTTGTTCTAGACATACTCGTAGTAAGAGTCAATTCTATCAATAAGATTAGCAATTTTAATTTAAACAAATTATGCATATAAAGTTTTGTTAATAATGCACTTCAGCGCGCCATCTCGAATTCAACTATTTAACTATAACTATGATTGAATCTCAATGTCAAATTTTATTCTATAGAAAAGAGCTGTTTTGAGGATTTTCCCGACAATTATTCGAATTTTTCTCACCTTTTAAACCTTCCCTAGACCTCCACGAATAATTCAAGACCAAGATAAGATTAATCCGTTCAGCCGTTCTCGAGTTTTAGCGAGACTAACGAACAGCAATTCATTTTGACGTGATAACGTCTTTAAAATCGTTTTAGTCGGGTGACATGTTCAGAAACTTGTGTCACGAGGCCGATCGCAGGTATAGCGAGAGAGAGAGAGACGGACCGATCTCCCGTCTCATCTCGAGCGCTGCCAGTCATTCCGTGAAACTTGTCACGCGGAATCCACACGAGCGGAGGCAGGCATAGCGTTCGAGTGAGTGGACCGATCTTCCGTCTCTCCCACTCTAGCGGCATACAAACGAATGGAGATTTTCTCGTGCGGTTAAGTTTTGGTTGAATATTTAACAGTGAAACAAAATGTGAAGTGCAAGTGAAGTGTTACAACAATTTCAACAAAAAACACTTATATCACCAATAAGACGTTATCACGTAAACATCTCGATCGTAAACCTACTTTACAAACAACCATTTTTATATATATAGATTAATTAATTAATCATGATATATTATTGTTTCTTTTTGTATCTTTTTAAATTATTTAATTTTGGTATTTTGCAGAGTGTAATGTTGGAGTTCACGTATAAGGACCGAACACGATTGATATTAACTAGTAAAATTGCTATTTTGAGCATAATTTTATTAATTTTTGCAAAAATTAATTTTATTACTTAATATAGAAAATTTTATTTTATTAAAACACAAATAATTCATTTAAAAACCGTTGCTATTCGTATTAGCTACGCCACTGATCTTGCTGCGTCCTATGTTGGAGTTCCGGTATACGCACCGAACACGGTTGATATTAAAGTTTTAAAAAATTTTTATGACTAAATATCGATAAAAAAATCACCAAATTTGTCATCTAAAACAATTTCTACCGCACATATACATTTCTTTGCTTATTATTTTTAAGAAAAATAATTTTTCCATTTAAATTTTTAATTTTTTGATATTTCAATAATCAAAATATTAATTAAATTATAGTCCAATATTGATAATATTTTACAATTTAAATATACAATACTTTTACTACCCTAAATTTAAATTTAATTTCACAATTTTCGCGAATTTTGAATTTTAATCCCATTGACTTAACTTGAGTCATTTTCAAGGAATGCATACACCGCGATTTTTGCGGTGTCACGCCTTCAGTTCTATATATTCAAGCCTTAATCAATATCACATTGTTCCTACCGGTTAAAACCTCAATAAATAATGCCTATAAATGTTCAACCGCATTCGCGAATGAGTCTCTACTATAGGTTAGACTGGAAATGAAAACCTTAAGTTTTAGAATGTCGAAGAAATGCCATTTGTTGCAAAGGAATATTGTCTTAAAGTCTTGCATATTGTTATTTTGTTGCGCGTCGAGTAACAATTTGTGAATGCGACAAGGTCGATCTTTAAACCGCAAAGAATTCGAAATGCGAGCACATATTACTTCTACTAGTACACAGTTAGGTAACAAGCAGATATTGAAAATACATTTGCAATGAAATTTGCAAATTCAGCAAAGAAATTATCTCTGCATGCAATTTGCAAAAATGAGATTGTGTGGAATTTACATAATTGACATAATAGACTATTATATGCAGATTAGTTGAAACATAAACAAAAATGCTTTGAATTTGAATTTCAGTGTTTTTCAATGTTTTTTTGCCTTGAAAATATCAATATCAAAGGAATAATTGTTATTAATAACGAATTAAACGTGTAAGGTGAGTTTGCGGTGAGATAATCATCGAAAAAATCAATTTAACCTTGACTTCTTGACGATGTCGAACAATGATTACGTGGATTATTTAGATCGGAATAAATTGTTGCTCTAAATTTACTTCATCATCGTCCAATTTGCAATTAGCGCGTTAAAGCATTAAAGGTGTCAACTCAGACAATAACTCACGTCGAATGCTGATCGAGGAGAAATAATCAAGAAATCAAATCAACAATCAAAAAATTAAAGTTAATTATTTTCGTATATATTTAATGTATTTGTGATTTATCAGGTTTTATTTACGTTAAATTAATAATTATAGCTGCAGGGGTTTATTGCACCTGAGTTTAATAATTGTCATCATATATTGGTCAAGGATATTTAAAGGATATAAAATATTAGTGCACGCATGCAAATTATTTTCGATTTTTCAAAAATATATTGAAAATGATTACTGTGATTGAAAAACACTAAAATTATGTATTAATTTCTAAAATGTGACATCAGCGTTGGATTCTTTCAGCAACTTAATATTTGATTTGATGTCCCTTATTTCGTTTTTGCTTGAACGGCTCCAGGTGCTTTAAAACAGAGCCTCCATGCCCTTCATGATAGCTTTCATCGATGGTGGTTCCACGTCTTCGGTGTCCACTTCGTCCTCCTCTACCTCTTCCATATCCACAATACGAGTACTAACCTCCAAATCACAACTATTGCAATGCCATTTGGCAATCCCATATTTTTAAAGTCCGACGCTAATTTATTAAAACCATTGTTATCTAACCCACTACACGTCTTATGAAACCATTTTTTACAAACACAACAGTAAACTACCCGAATTTTCCCTGATTTGCTTATCACATTTTATACACACGTGTTTACTCGGCGCCATCTCAATTTAAACTCAAAATGAATTACTCAGAATGAACTCAGAATGAACCCAAAAATGAAAATGAAATTAATTTCTTATAAAAATCAACTTTTTGTTACTCCAAAAATGTAATTCAATTAAATAACTGTCATTTATGACATAAATTATATTAAATAAATTCAAAAACGTCATATTAAATCAATTTAAATCAATATAAAATAATATAAATCAATATAAATCAATGCACATTTTTTCTGTTTATAAATGTCGGGGTTATAATAAAATAAATTTTATTTTACAATGACTAAACTTTAACAAAAAACACTGCACTACACTAAAATTAATTGGACTCTAGTAACTTTAAAAAACCAACCGAAAAATTGATTAATTTTAAATAATTCAATTTTTTGTGCAAAAAATGAAGTAAAAAGTTAAAAGTCGCGCAGAAACAAAGGTTAACAACTTGTTAACTAGATAAATATTGGCAAAAAATAATAAGCCACGCATAATTATAGCATAGCATAGCACAGCATAATATGGCATAGAAAATTGCCATTTGTTTGGTTTTATTTATGATATGAACGCGTATAATTAACATTCTAGACCGGATTTAGGAATTCAAACGTTTGTCTCCATTAATTCCAAAAATATTCCACTAACTACAAGTATAAATTTGAAATTTGATAATTTAATCAGCATTTAGCAAATATCATATGTCAGGATATGGTTGGACTTATGTTTAAGCATTAGAAATAAAGTATGATTTGTAGTTTACTCACCAAAAGTAAATGTCCCAATAATTGATCGTTGCGTAACAAGATGGCGGCCTGATTCTCTTGATCTTGATAAATTTCACCGACATCTTCATGACTCTGAAAATTAAAACATAAAATATTTAGTTTTCATTCATTTAACTAAGAATATTTACAAATTTTCAACATTACGATTAATTAAGAGCTGAAAAACGTGCATTACTGTTAAACTTTGCAATATATGCAACCATATTCACTCAATGTATATTTTCTAGGTTATACTGCATATTTTCAACTGCATTTCTATCCGATAGAGGGCGCCATGTTCACAAAACTTATAAAAATCTTATATTTGGTATCAACATTTACCAAATCAACAAATATGCATAATATTTATTTATATTGCAGAGAACTTCATTATTTTCCGAATACACAAACAAATATATTTTTAAAATTTAATAACTTAATTGTAAATTGTAACTTTTGGCATTCTCCAAACACTTGCAATGCCGAAACTTAATTTTTGTTACGAATATGGAGCAGACTTGTATTGTCATTGTTGCGCTGTGAGTGTGTGACACTCACGTTTCACGTTGTGTGTGCAATTACAACACGCATTGTTTTACGCGCAGCGAGTGCGCGTACGAGCGCCTAATTTGCATATCGCAACAAGTCGCACGAAATCTTCCAAGATGCCAACGACAGCGCGGCTTCAGAGTAAGCGAGATACAATGGGACTTCACATGACACAACAGAGTCAAATACTACGAGTACATATACACATACAATTATTCTGCATATACTAGTACACGATATCAGTATGAATATAATATCAGAGTGTATGAGAGTATTAAGAGAGTGTGTGTAAGTTTGAAACACTCCCAAGTGATGGAATCTTGTAATTGAAGGCAATTTACTTTCAATTTCATTTTGTCAAAATTTGAATAAATCAGTTCACACAAAGTAAATAGAATTTAATTTCAGTGTTATTGTTGAAAGTAACTATTCCAGTGAATAATTATTAAATTATTTATTAAAAAAATTAGATTCACTTGTGTTTTTAATGTAAAATTAATTTTGTAAAGTGTGAATTGCTAATAATGCACTTTAGCGACATCTATGATTCAATTATTAAGTTAAAACTATGATTTACTTCCTATACCAATTTTCATCCCTTATTTAACAATCTTTAAATCATAATTTTTAATATTTTAATAGTTAATGTCCTACTCGAGGCAAAGACGAATCCAACAAATTATAAATCATGAAAATCTGCCAAGCCGTTCTTAAGTTATAAGAGGTGTAACTAACACAATTTTATTTTATAGGTATATCACTATAAAAATTTAAAATTCTTAATTTTCAATACCACTCAGTATAATAACTGTAATAAATAAAATGAATATATTGACTAAATTAACCAAAGAACTAAATAATTAGTTCATATTAGCAAATCCACCCACAATCTTTGCACAATTCCCAACGTAGCCTAATTTATTCTTATTCACTAATTTTATTCACACATTAGCAATATTTGTGTTCATCCAATTTGTATCTTACATTATCGAGTTTGTTTCACGCCCGCCATTTAACCATTAAGGCGTCGTTCGACACGACGCAAATCAAATAAATTAAGTTGTATTAGCGATTGTCAATTTTATTGTCGCATCGGTTTAAATAGCCATTGTGCGCGCCATTGTGTGCAAATTTCAGTTATACACGCTTGAATTTCGCAAAGAATGCAAATTATTGCCGACTGAGACAAGATGGCGGCCGGTGGGTGCTTGACGCATGATGAATATATCATTCGGATTGCGCGACACCAAAAATTTCATAATGTGTGAAATATTTCGGCAATTTGGAGCAACACTTGCTATATGTATACATCACATTAATGACATTGACAGGTTTACTTAAGTAGACATACGAAATGAGGATATTGCGTATAATAACCTCAAATGTTTAGATTTGGGGAGGCATGAAACGAATTAAACCAAAAAATTTAAATAAATAATTCATTGATAGGCATTACATTCTAACCCGTTTCTAAAACCCGTGACTAAAGTACTTTAGTCACGGCTTTGACCATACGTGTTTAAATTAGCACTTTTTGTGTCTCTAAACCGCGGAAAAATAAAAAAAAAGTGAAATGAAAAAGTATATTAAGAATCAAGTGTGCTAAACTGCACTTTAACCACGAGATTAATAATATAATAATGTAAATAATTGATAATTTAAATATTTACGTACAAAAACTAAATTTTTAATCCCAAAATTCCAAATAAATTAATAAAATATAAAAATATCAAAAATTTCAAGAAATAATCTTTATGTAGTTCATTTTTTTCCACCAGATGGCACCCGTGACTAAATAAGAGTTTTATGACTTTATTTTTAAGGTTAAGATAAATAACACTGATTTGTGATCGTGTGCACGCAGCAACGGAGAAATATCTAATGTATAATAGGAACACGGTGAAATGTGAAAGCCCGAATTGGTTGTGCAACATTGGCATAATAAGCGCCGGCGTGTGTTCCTAGAGCAACAACATGCCGACGCAATGTGCACTATGACTATACGGTGAGCCGGTTGCGAATCAAGTTTAAGTATGGAATTAACATCGCACATGGCTGACTCGCTCGCCACACTTGGCTCACTTTCGTTATGAAATATTAAATTCTTACGGCGCACAAAAAAAATTGAAGCGGAATTTCATTTCTTCAACTTAAATCACCTTAGGAAATAGATAAGAAATGAGGTTAGGTATGTTACAGCTATTGACATTTATTCATTTGACATTAAATCTTATAAATACATTAAATTTGGGTTACAATTAATGATTGTGACTGTGATTAATGCTTTTTGACGCATAACTTCCGGTTTAATTTTTTACACTTTCGATTGATTACGTTGTTTGCGTTTTCATTTGTTAGATCGACGTAATTAGTAATTAGTCTTATTCTTTATGTTTTAATAAATCAGTTTGTAGTTGCATTTGTATTCAGCACGCTTTTGATTCATTAATTACCTTTCGATTTTAATTCGAATGTGGCGCGCTGATGCATTACGACCTGTGTGGGACAGGTTTAGTTTCAATCAGAATGCGAATCAGAAACTAAATCGGATTCTTGGGGCGAGGCGCGCCGCCGGCGGCGCAAATGAAAAGAAGAAAAGAACCGCACGACAAACGACGACGGACGGCAAACAGCGTGAAACGAGGAAGTCTCGTTTCGATTCATTGATCGCCTTTTTTACAAAACGCGCCAATGTGCATGGATTACATAAAATTACAACCAAAATGGACAATGGTTAAGCAAAGTATTTGAATTGTCGCCAAGTAACATTTCTAGGGTGATTAAAAAAATAATCTGTAATTATTAGTTATTTTATAAAATAATAACCAGATGGCGTTGGAGTAGCAAAAAGTTAAATTAACAAGAAAAATGCAACCGTGAGAGTATTTGTGTGTTTGTAACGCATTCAGGCCTAAACCACTCAACCAAATTTGATAAAACTTTACAATATTATAGATTATTTATTAAAATAGAACATAGGCTATTTTTTGTTGCAAAAATATAACTTTAACAATGTAAAATTAGGGTTGAAAGTTGATATGGAGATTTAATTAATCTTATAGTTGTATAATTCAAATATAGATGGCGCTGGAGTAGTAAAAAGTTAATTAACAAGAAAAATACAACCGTGAGAGTATTAGTGTGTTTGTAACGCATTCAGGCCTAAACCACTCAACCAAATTTAATAAAACTTTACATTGATATAGATTATTTATTAAAATAGAACATAGGCTATTTTTTGTTGAAAAAATATAACCCTAACAATGTAAAACTGAGGTTGAAAGTTGATATGGGGATTTAATGAATCTTATAGTTGTATAATTTAAATACAGATGGCGCTGACGTGTACTACAAGTAAGTATATCTATTTTTTAAATTTAAATTTGATAATTAATTGAAAAATTCATATTTTATCCATTAAAAACGTATAAAATGTGATTTATAAAATGACAGGTAAATGTAGTGTTGATCTAGTTGCTATTGTGCGCATTGTTAATGTAAACTCAACGTCTAACGGAAGTCTAAGTTGATATGTTAAAAGCAAATAATTGGAATGTTGATATTTATCGTGTAGGCTCGCGTGTTTTACTTTTTCTTTTCTTCAGTAAATTACCTTCATAATGTTCGTAATAATTGATACCAACTTAAACAGCACATTTAATCGATTTGTTTATAACTTATAAGCTGTCTGTTTCTATTTATAAAATGCCGTAAGTACAAATTAAACATAAAACATTTTCATTCAATATTAAAATGATTTTGCAATATTCAAATATTCCACCTACACATGATTTTTTCACACTAATCTAAAAATACAAAAATGTTGAATGTTTGACTTTGAATTCCAAATCAAACTTGACGCTTAATTTAAATTCTTTTGTGTTTATTCCTTTTAGCAGATTTTGTAGCGTTTAAGTACCAATATGATGTCAACGTGCAAGGTGAATGTTAAACATTAGATGAATGAAGTCTGAAGATGAAGGTGGCGATGAAGATGCTTGAAAAGTGTTAAAAAGTTTAAGGTTGCGACACGTCAACGACACAATAAACATGTCCACATGTCCATAGACAACGAAAAATAATCAGATAATCAAGTGGATAGTGAATAATCTATTGAGTTTATCTTTTCGTGAGATTAATTTCTTTAGTTTCATTTGAATATTTTCAAGGGAGGCCTTGACCATGCTTATATTACAAATTAAAATTTAATTTAAATTTAATTACAAATACTGACACAAATAATTCTATATTGTGTACCAAGGGCAGAAAATTATAAAAAGTTTTTGAAAAATTATTTCATGTTTAGATTTATAAATTATATAAATCAATATAAATCAATGCGATTCACAAATTTATTTTAATATGTTCAATATTAACTTTCACCCCCTATTTAACACTCTTTCAGTCATAATTTTTGATATTTCAATAGTTATTCGGTTATTCAGAGCGGAGACCAATCGAACAAATCATAGATCATCAAAATCTGTCCAGCCGTTCTTGAGTTATAAAAGGTGTAACTAACATAAGCGGGAGATAAAGCAATTTAGACGCGCGCACAATAAGCTAGAAAAGTAGGCTATCCAAAATTGATTACTTTTTATATAAGTTATGCAATTTTTTATACATTGCGTGTAATTTACTTATTGTTCTGTCATTTATTGTTAGATAATGATTTCTGCAAGTTAAGATTGGTGACATTACGTCATCTATTTGATTAGAAACACAATCTTCCAAAGAATATTTTTATATAACTACAAAATATTTTTAATACTTAAATTCTCATAAGCAACTTATTATCAAAATTATTTTTAGTATAAGTACTTGAATTATTGATATTGCCAAAGAAAAAATCACGATTATTTTATTTGTTAGTGTAGCTCGTATTTTAATCAACAAATAAAAAGATTGCAATGTATTTGCACATCAAATTAATGATTACTTCACGAGTAATTGTATTGTTAATTATTTTAGATGGAAATAGATTAAAACTATTGCAAAAATATAAATTTTGTGATGCAATTTATACGTCCAATGGTTTTTTATAACAATCAACTACTTAGTTAATTTTTGATTTGTTCTAACTATTCTGCCGTCTTGTATAACAATAAAAATCGTGTACGAGTATTGTGCAAATATAATTTATTGCGTGCATTCCAATGATTAATATAATTATGATTGTTTAAAGAAAAAAAAATACAAAAGTGCAAAGAATAAATGTTTGTATCATGATAAACCGTTAAACAAATTTATATCCATAAAAAATAATTTTTGTTTAAATTTTCGCAGAAAAAGTAAATTTTTGCAATTTTGAAGTAAAAATTTATTATTTTTGAAATTAACTCGTGTTAAAATATAAATAATTATTTTTAAATAGCATTTAATTCATCAACACCCTGTATAATTAATAGCATTCAAAGTTTAAACACTTGTAAGATACTCTTACTACAATTTCCACATACTTTTATTTAATTTGCCAATTTGCAAAACGTCTATTAAAATAATTACATAACGGTGATTTTTGTTTAATGGATAAACGCTTGGAGCAATCAACACGGCGTGCGCAAAGCTACCAAACGAAATAAAATCAAATAATTAAATAAATACATAAAGTAAAAATGAAACACAAACACCGCACACTTACTCAACTAAACGCTTTAGCAGCATTTGTGAGTGAAATGTATGTACTTAAATTAATTAATAGTAATCGACATGATGACGTACGGAGTCACAACCCAACCCAACTCAAATCCGTCGAAATGCGAGACATGTAAGAAGTCCGACTTTAATGACCGAGTGATATTATAAAACAAAATGTATGTGTAACATGCGAGTGCCTGACCGATTGAGAATTTTAATTTTATGATCATGCCGTGTTTATCATACTTATTAAAGCGTCAAAATGCATGTAAATTTAGGGAACAATTTTAAGAAGGGAAATAATAGACTTAAGTCAGTTTAGTTGCTTAAATGCATGTTAAAATTACTTTTTGGGAGAAAATTTACTTTTTATAGAAAAAATGAGGGAAAAACATTGTTGACTTGAAATGTATTGATTTTAACGTCATTTTATTGAACAAAAACTCAGTATTCAAGAAAAGTGAGTAAAAATACTGATTTTTTCCCTTTTTAGGCTTTAGAAATTAATAAATATAATAACGGTTAAATATTTTAGTGTGTAAATACTGAAAATGGAAAGAAATGCACCTCAGCGCCACCTGTCTCCAAATTAAACAACTAAAACAAGAATTAACTTCAAATACATTCATTTTTCTCATATTTTAACTACATTTTTGCATTAAAAAGTAGCTTATGACTTTTCCTATGCTCAAATCTACTTATATACCAAAATTTATCAAAATTGATCAAATAGTTTAGGCGTGAAACGAAAACAAACAAACAAACATACAGAAAACATTAGTTTTACATTTAAAACATCAATTTAAATTAACTCTAACCTCAAAAACATGTATTAAACCATAATACACAAATTACTAACCTAGATAACAATAAACATTTTGTAAATGACTAAATAAACAATAAAACCCGCAACAAACCAACAAATTATAATGCATAATGCGTAGAACAAACCATAAAATGATTGCAAAAGTGATTACATAAGTAATGATGAGATTACTTAACGTTTTCAAGTCACATACGCACGAAATTCAATAAATTTAAATTTTTGCAATTGATTTCGCATTGTTTTGCATTTCTTTGTTTACACTCAGAAAAATATTCGAAAGGCGAGGTTCAAATGTCACATGCCATCAATTCATCCAAGTCACAGTGTCATCAAACACACACATACGACTTAAGCTACACCTTACAATACCAATAATCCAAATAGTTATTGTTACCTAACCTATCATATATCACGCTAAGCGCAGTAACACGACGCACCTTTATTGTTTGTCAGTGTGTCGATTCCACCGATGATGATTATTCAATTTTCTTGCGATGAAGCGCCCGCCGTTTTGAACTCGTTGAGGCTTGTTAGCGGTGTTAAGTAATCGGTGTCGTATCATGAGAATCGCGTGTCGATAAATCACAAGTGGCAACAAGCAACAAGCCTGCGTTCTCTTAGTGTGGCGAAACGAATAATGAGATTTGTGATTTGTGATTGGCGACTGAGCCATGAAAGTCATGAAAGATGCAAATCAATTGAATGACTGCTAGACAACTTGTGGTGATTTAAGACGGTTTAACTGCGCATGCGCGTGTTACATAAACATAAAACAAAATGTGTGAAAATATAAAGTGTAGCATGACACTCACTGATTTAATCAATCCGGAAAATTTCACTTGAATTTGACACCTTTGAAGTGACTTAAGTTACATTACTTAACTAACTTGACTTAAGTTAACTTCCGTAATAATTTTTTTTTTGTAAATAAAATTGTTTTTACTCACGTGTTGTGGCATTTCAACATACTCGACGCCATGTTGTGACGTTGCATTGGGTTCAACCGTCCATATTTTCAGCCCGGTTTTCTTAAATAAATCTTCGTTTTTCACCAAACTAAGATTTAATGGTCTTCCGAATGCTTTTAGTTTTATATTTGCCGTTCGTGGCTTTTCATTGTAAGGCACTTTACTAACGCTTGCTTTAGCGCTAAGCGTAAGCTTTTCTTGTTGTTTGCCGTTCGATGGGTTGCCTATACTCCAGTGGTTGTCGAAACCACCGTTGGTGGCTATGCTACGGCGTCGGCGCACGTTGTGATCCGTGATGTGTACTACTTCATATTCAGGAACTAAAAAATTAAATTAAAAGAAAACTTAGTAAATACACTTTGTATATTATTAAATCAATTAAACAATTACAATTGCAATTACAATTAGTAAATCGTAAATTGCGGAAATGTGGGTTTGAAATGCAGCGATTGCAAGTGTTCGTCGTGCGTTTAAGGCAATGTGTAACGGAAGCGAATTAAGCAAATATTCAATCTTCCTTCTTCCGCCCACACGTCGTTAAACGCAAACGAGCATCACCTGTGCGCAGGCTACCGCGAGCGCGTAAATTAAATGTGCGGCGAGTAGGCAGCATTACATGGGCACTATACACATTGGCGAGATAAACAAGTGTTGCTAATGATATAAATCAGGCGCGCATAATGGTTGAAAACAAATTAGAAAACAAATTATGTACAAGTATTGAATGAGTAAAGCTACTGGATAAGAAAATAAAAGATAAGTAATAGTTTATTCTTATTACTGTAGTAGTGAAGCTACTAAAATTATGAAGCAATTTTTGTGAAATTGTCACTCATAAATTATGTAATTTTCAATAAAAACAAAAAAGTCAATTTTTGAAAAATTACACTAAGAAATTCATTTAAAAGTTTTATGTTTATTGTAAAATGAGTCAAATAGCTCTTAAAACCATTTTCCTGTTTTAATTAACTTCATAAATTGAAATGTTCAACTCCTAAGTGTTTAATTCTGTTTAAAACCGGAAAAGAACTTTCAAACTTTGAAGTTTCAACCACGCGAAGGTTTTAAATCTGCTCTACTTCCGTATCCTACTCGCCAACGTTTTAATTTTCATAAATTTCGTTTTTATACATAAAATCACGAGCGTGTGGACACCAGAAGTGTTTCTAACATGTTAAACGTTTAGTGTAGTTTAGTTCGATAGTAGTTGATAGTCTGATCGTGATCGTATTAAATTGAAATTGCCTCTACCAATACACAAAAAAAAAAACAAAAACAAGGAAATGATCTGGATACATATTCGCGTTTAAATTACCATTATTATTGATAAGAAACACGATACACGGCACAAGTCCATAAATTACTGGTTTTGTAAATAATTATTATATAATCGAAATTTTCACTTTAAATTAATCGGCAAATATTTGCTGTAAGTTAAGTAAATTTAATTTAATTTAAAAATAAAATAAAACAACATTTTAGTTTATGTATATGTGAAAATTGTTAATTATCTAATATATTTCAAAATACTGCTCCAATTACTAAAGAATTTCTGTTGATTTACTGGTTAATTTACGGTTTGCTTTGAACTGTTGACTTAATTATGCAAATTAATTTCCTTTTGCGTTATTTACGTTTTCGTTTTCGGATTTTTAAAGGTTTTTAAATCGGTTTTTGTTTGTTTTTGAATTGTAGGTCAATATTTCATCATGTTGTAATCATTTACATCTCAATCTGCTGTAATTAACCAAGATAATTAATTGATACAAGTCACTTTTGCTTTCTACTTGTTTTATTTTTCATTTAAATTTTGTTTTTAATTTTTTTAACATCTTTGAGAAGGTCTGGAGGGCGAATAAAGCAATTTACACCTAAACCAAAACCTTTAATTGATTTATTGACTTATTATCTTTAATCTAAACTATTATTTTTCTTTGTCAAACGTTTGATTTTATTATTATTTGATTTTTAGAGAAAAAAAAACACGTTTTTTCGTAAAAATGTTAAAAAACTAATTTTACGTTATTTGTATGAAAAACTTACTTTTAGTTAAGAATATTGAACAAAAATGATTTTATTCAATTCCTCAATAAATTATCCAAATCTTGAGTTATCAGCCAATAAAATAAAAATATCAAAAATTTTGCGATGTTTTTCCACAAAAAAATTCAAAAAAATTGTTTTCCTTCTATTTTACAATTTATTCATACTATTATTAAATAATTACCACTAAAATTTTTAAATTTTATTATAAATCAACTTTTAACTCACCTAAATCATGATTATCGACGTGAAACGTGCTCCGCAGTTCATCGACTGTCATGTGTTTGTGAATCTGTAACAAAATAAAATAATTAATCATAAAACCAGCGCCTATGCAACATTATTTAACGCTAATGATTCAATTAACATTTGAAAGAACAAATTCACGCCGTAAACAGATTAAGAGTTAGTCAATCCGTCGATTTTTACAACTTAATTATTCATCGTTAGTTTTAATTCAATTTAACACCACGCATTGTCAATACTCGCAGTGTAGTTATATTTCTCGTAATCGAAATAACGTTGTAGAGTTAGCGTTAGTGTTAGAGTCGTGTTCGCATTGCAATTCGAACTAGGTCCAATGTCAGTCACACTTTTTGCGTTTCGTCACTTTCGTGCACGCTCGAAATCGACGCGCAATCGTGTAATCGTGTCTAGGTTACCGCCGGCGTTTTATCACAGAACACGTTAGCCAATTAATCGACAATCAACAAATACTGCAAAAAATTAAAAATTAAATATTGTGTAATGAGTTGCATAGATATATACCTTTAGAGAAAATAGGGTTGCATAACTTTTTGTTTTGTTTTTCAACAAAAATTAAACATCTTCCTGTTGCAAATAAAAAATAAAATATTGTGTAATGGGTTGCATATATTTATATCCAAAGTGTAAATTGGGTTGTATAGCTTTTTGTTTTAGTTTTCTTTTGAAAAGTTAAGCATCTTCCTGTTCCACATTCAAGTTTTTCTTCATTTTCTAATGTTTTATGATTCATGCTTAACAATAACCAGCAAAAAAAATCTCAAACCACAGCGAAGAAATGCGATATAATCAAGTATAACAAAGTGTATTATACGCTTCATAATTTACATAACTTTTTTGTGCATTTCTTTTCATTAAAAGATGAAAATTCATCACTGATGCAATAAAACGTGAATAAAACTAAGTAATAAAAATGTTTCATTCGTAGACTGCTTCCGTAGTGGTTTTCAACATAATTTCTAGTGTTTATGCAGTTTTTCACAATATTTTTGGTTCATTTGCGTTGTTTTCACTATTTACCTTTTACAAAAATCAAGTGGTTTTATAGGCGCTCGTTACAACGCTCTATTTGCTTGGGTTAGTTTCATTTCGTTTCCTACCGCAAATATTTCATAAATTTAAAGAAAACTGTCGTATAATTTACGATAGGCAACTTTTTTAATATTTACATGTTTCTTGGACAATAGTTGACGTTTAAATTAATTATAAGGTGCAAAGTAAAGTTGAATGTTTAAATGTTACGTAAATAAACGTATAATTAGACTAAGGACGAAGCTCGGATGCGTTTGAATGCAAATGAATGCTCATTGACTTCAGCGATTCAACAATGACAATGTTTGTAAACGTTTGTTAATGTTATTTAATGTTATTTTTTAAGTGCGCTTGCATCCGTTTCTACTACAAGTTACAAGCGATAAATTGTCTACAATTTATGTAAAATTACAAAGCGTATCCTTACTTGTCGCTGTAATTGCAAAGTTCACACTTTTACAATGATTGCGTTTAACAATCAAGATATTGAAAATATAAAAACATAGAAAAATTAATTTTAGTAAATTATTATGATGTATTTTGCCGTATTTTCTTATTAATGCGTAAAAATGATATTTTATACACTTATATCTCCTACTAGCTTTAACCCGCGGCTTCGCTTGCGAATATCTAAAATAATGAAGTTGCTTCCGTACGCGTCTGTAGTCACAGAAGAAGTAACAATGAAGTAGAATGGCGGGAAGTTTAAAATGGCTGAAAGTATAGTCTATGGAAGTATAGTGTACAGTCTCCATAGTGTAGTCAATTGGATTTGATGTTGACGTAGCTGTCGGTACTACAGTGTGATAATACAGTGTGATGGTACTATAGTACTTAGGTTTGAGCTTCATTGCTGGAATGCTAGATGGCGTTAAAGTAGTCAAATAGCCAGATGCAGAGGTATTATTGGCTAAACAATTTCTTTATTTTATTTTAAAAATTAATTTTTTTATTAAATAAAAAGTAGCCCATAACCATTCGGGGACCACTAAGAATATGTGTACAAATTTTCATGATGATCGGTTAAGTAGTTTTTGCGTGAAAGTGTAACAAACATCAGAACTTTTGCATGTATAATATTAGTAGGGATGTGTTAGTTACAACACTTATAACTCAAGAACGGCTGGACAGATTTTGATGATCTATGGTTTATTGAATTCGTTTTGACTTTCAATAGCAGAATAATTAATAAAATTACAAAAATTATAATTTAGAGGGTGTTAAATAAGGGATGAAAGTTTGTATAAAGATTCTGTCATATTTATAGTTGAATAATTAAGTCATAGATTGAGCTAAAGTGTATTATTATCATTTCTCATTTTTTTTATAAATAAAACACTTTCTAGATTAAAAAAAAAACAAAAAGGAAAAATTTAACTCAGACAAAGTTGCGTATCAAATCAGGTAATAAAATAAAGTATACTTTAAATTTTTAGTTAATGAAGTAATGAGATAATCTTGAAGTTTGTAAACGCGTATAAACAATGAGTACATAAATAAGTATTGATTGATGGCTCAATGTAATCCACGCGTAAACTTGAAGATCGCGTAACCGCGTAACGCATTATCTCTAAACTTAGTCATTCCGCGTGTCATTGCGAGTGATTTACATTGTGTTAAAGGCGCTTTTTCGTCTCGTCTCGGTACGTTCTTCCGTTTTGTCGTTGACGCTCTCAGCTCGTCGGCCATGTAACATTAAAGTACATCCGTTTTCATCCCAACTTAGCTTGTAATGAAACTGAAGGTAAAATCAAGTTACGTACATTTTAGATAAACAATTAATCAAAGCAATACGTGTATTCTAATTGATTACGTTGTAAATTAATTGTAAATTAAATCTGAATATAAATTATAAATTTTGCTTTAGATATTGCTATGAAATTTTGAAAATGTTGCAAAAATGAGAAGATTTTTTAATGTTTTGTGTTTTTTTTTTTGATTTTTTAGCTTTTAAGATATTCACAATTAAAAATCTTAATTAATTTTGACCAAAAATAATAAAAAATCTACCCCGTGACTAAAGCCCGTGACTAAAGCACTTTAGTCACTTTTTCCACTTTTTGAGTCTTAAAACCGTAGAAAAAGTGGTGCTTTAAAAGTGGAAGCAAAAAAAAAAACAATTTTTGATGTTTCTCAAGACTGTAACTGCATTAATACCTAAACATAGAAATATTTCTTATAGAATTTAATTGAATTATAACAAACTCTATAAAATCCATTATATTATGTTACAAATTATAACGTAATTATCAACCATTCTCCACAATTAATTCAGGAACCATTGTTGTACATTGACATTTATTTCTCCGCGCAATTGTTTATTTCCCAACGGAATGTCTACCGACAATGTAATAATTTCTTCATGTGCACATACTCTGCATATTACACACAAACGATTAAAACAAAAACAACTTGAAACTGCTCGCGACTAATTAAAGCACTTTCTTCTGCGAACCGTAGAATACCGCATTTAAATAAAATGCATTTGCATATGTTGTGCATCGACAAATAACCAACAGACAAATGACAGTACGACACTCGAATAAATAATAAATAATAAATAAATTAATTCAGTAATAATATCATAAGATCATAGCATGGAAATAAATCAGTGTGAGAGTAAAAAATCCAACGACCTTTAAACGTACTTGTAAAGAGACACGCAAGTGTATTTTATTTGTCTTTTGTTTTCTTGTGTTGTTGTTTCTTGGTTTGTTAATTTGTTTATCGATTGCTGGGTGATAATTCAATCGGTGCTTGTGTTTGGTATCTAAATGCTCAGTCAATCTTGGTTGGCAATTTGTAATTGGAAAAATCGTTTGTTCTTGAGACTGCTATAATTATTTATAAGAATTTATCGTAATTTCTAATTACTATTGTGCGACAGATTATTTTATAACATTTGAATAATGGGCGGAACATGACACCTGTCTATTTATCTATTTGATTGAAATGCATAATAAATTATTAAATTATTAATTAATTTTGATACAAAATTAAATAGTATATTAAGTATCAAGTGGATAAATGGGGACTTTACTCACGAGATTGATTGAGGGCGAGCCTAGCAAGCGTTTAAGCATTCGAGTGTTTAACAACGTTTAGCCACGTGATGCTTAAGCTATTTTTTCTACTTTCACTCTAGTTTTACGTTGAGGTGATAATCCCTATTAATATTATAAATGCGAAAGTCCTGATGTTTGTTACACTTTCACGCAAAAACTACTTAACCGATCATCATGAAAATTTGTACATATATTCTTAGTGGTCCCCGAATGGTTATAGGCTACTTTTTATTTAATAAAAAAATTATTTTTTAAATAAAATAAAGAAATAGTTTAGCCAATAATACCTCTGCATCTGGCTATTTGACTACTTAAACGCCATCTAGCATTCCAGCAATGAAGCTCAAACCTAAGTACTGTAGTACCATCACACTGTATTATCACACTGTATTACCGACAGCTACGTCAACATCAAATCCAATTGACTACACTATGGAGACTGTACACTATACTTCCATAGACTATACTTTCAGCCATTTTAAACTTCCCGCCATTCTACTTCATTGTTACTTCTTCTGTGACTACAGACGCGTACGGAAGCAACTTCATTATTTTAGATATTCGCGAGCGAAGCCAAGGGTTAAAGCTAGTAAACATATAATTTACTAAAATATTAATTAATTTTTATACAAAATTAAATAGTATATTAAGTATCAAGTGGATAAATGGGGACTTTACTCACAAGATTGATTGAGAGCGAACGTTTAAGCATTCGAGTGTTTAACAACGTTTAGCCACGTGATGCTTACGCTATGTTTTCTACTTACACTCTAATTCTACGTTAAGGTGACAATTATTAATAAAGTATTATAAAATAAAAAGGAAATCTTAAACTTCTAACATTTGACAGGAGATACAGAGTGTTTAATAAAAATAACACTTTTTTTGTTGACAATACATTTATAATTTGAATGTTTTTAAACTTTACACA